GGTTGCGAAAATATCATCAATAATTCTCCAGAAGTAGCCGTGCAGGAGCATCCACCAGGCGAATCTGGCAAGGAGGAGGAATAGCGACCAGCAGACACCAAGGCAACAACTCTGGGCTGAGCTATCTGTACAAGAAGTTTGGGCGCATGACGAGAAAAAAGTTGCAGAGGACAAGCTCGTCAAGGCAGCCGAAAAGGTCTCGAGAGTGATCATAGTGATTCCATTCCAAGCCCCATGACGAAAGAAACCATACCTGCAATTCTGACCAAGGAACTCGAAACTGCTTTGGCATTGCAGTCGGTTGCCACGGTAAATGGTGCTGAAGCATTGCCGGGCGTAATCGATGATTCTCAGAAAGGGCCAAAAATAGGCTCAGGGTTGTCATGCCTGTATAATCAAATGCGGTCGACTCTTCGAAGGAAAAAGGCGCTGCTTCTGAAAGTGCCGAGCTGGGTGCAACCTAAGCGAGTGGTGCTACAGTGCTTAACGAATTGAAGGTCGAGCTAGAGCACCCAGCAGCTGCAGCACATCGCAAGATCGAAGACTGAAGTAGCAAGAAGCCGAGCACAAAGATGAAAGGAGCAGCATGATCACGAAATGGCAACAGAAACTGAGAAAGCCAAGGAGCAAAAGTAGCAGCTCAAAGATGCTCGAGAGATGGCCACAGCTGCCGCTATTTCTGCAGTTGTTTCATGGCATGTCAAAGGGGCGAACGAGATTGAAGCCGCCAACAAGGCTGCGGAAGAAGAGAAAACTAACGACATAGTCCTGGATAGTGCCACTCTGGCTGCTAGTGTCAAGACTTTGCACAAGGTCACCCAGAAGGTGAAGAAAGACTCAGAAAATTCGGCTGCTGGAGGAGGCAGTGGACAAGGGGCATGCCGCGAATGTGCCCGATGTGACTGCAAGCAATGTTAAGCTTGTTCTGGAGAAGGTTTAAGTACAGGAAGCTAAGAGCTTGAACCGGCCGTTTGCACCTTGGCGGAATTTGCCAACCATGTTCAGAAGGATGCACCAAAGATGGACATGGACATATAGGAGAAGGAGCGCGCAACTGGCACCCTGCATGTTGCAACATCCCAAGATCACGTACGACAAAAGGGTCGACAGAAACGCAAATATCGCCGACCCGTTTACCAAGCCGCTGCAAAGAAAGCAATTGGAAACGTATTGCGCGACACTTCGCGTGCTTGAATGTACGAGAGAAGCTCTATTGAAGGAATGGCTTACTAGAACCAAGCTAGGATGCTCTGACCTCTTGTTGTTCTTGACGCAGAAGCAGTGGCAGCGCAGGCGCCTGGGTCCAAGCCAACGGAGCGAACTGCAGCAAGTCATGGCGAAGCAGGTCGAGGCAGCACAGCCATAGAATACCATCGAACATCATGGGAAGGTTCGAGAGTATGAGCCAAGCTACAGCAGCCGCACGTGAAAAGTCAGCACCTTGTGGATAAGGACCCACACGCATAACACCCAGAGTTCGTTCAACGGAGAGAATATTAAAATGTCAGAGCATCCTATGTTAACCGTAATGAGCCTTCCCTTTCAATGCTACGATTGTCGCCGATGACATCAACCACAGCTTCAATCGGAAATTTTCCAAACCCTCGAAATCAATCTACGCATTCCCACCGATGTTCTTGCTGCATATTATGATGTAAAGGAGTCCCACGCAACGTGTGCACGAGACAATGAGTCATCTGCAACTTCATCACAATATATGACTACACAAGCAAGACAGCTGATAAGGTGAGTCTGCCCTCTGACTGGGTTTCTTGGACTTGCATCATTTCGAAGCAAAGCCATACTCATCTGCAGCCGGTGTCACCTGAGTGAATGGAGGAAGGACGACATGGTATGTCGAAATCATCCCCGGACTCGCATCCAGATACCAGCTCCCGCAGTGCACTCGCCGTGGCCGACGACGCCACTCGCAAGCATGTATGTCTCTGATTCGGAAGGTGGATGCAACGGATGTGCTGTTCGACCGTTTCCAATGCCTTGACTGCCAGAGGCAGCCAGCGAAGAAGTCGAGGACGGACGACAATGGAAAATTTGTCAATTACCGCATCGACCAGTCGTTGTCGCAGCGCGGCATCACCCGCCAGCACAGCGTAGCTAACAACTCAGCGCAGAACGGGATTGCTGAAAAGCGAATGCTCGTTCCAAGATCGTATAGGCGCGATGTTGGCAGATGCAGCAATGTCTATCAATTTCTGGCCAAAAGCCATGACAGCAGCAATAGTTTGCTTGCTTAGGTCGTCAAGCGGTGACGTAGTCAAGTAAACATGCACTCTCCGTTCCAAAATAATCGCTGTACTCTGCACGATTCGAGATTTGAGGTCGCTAAGCAACGACGAAGAGCGGGCGGATCCCTACGGACGCGTTGATGACGATGATATATCAGACCTTGAAACTCAGCATAAGTTTGAAATACAGGACTTCAGCGTATGACGATGAACGACGACCCTGATGTACAGTGAGTCAGGCTCTTGACTAAATTTTGGATGAAGCTCTACAAGCAGCTTATTTCGACCAAGAGACTGGCGCCATCATGCGCTGGCGCTCACCGCTGCAAAAATATCAGCGGTTGTGGGCTCAACTCTGGCGTCTGGCACGAAAGAGGCCGCTATTGATAGTGCTGGGCTCGTCACAGCTGGCGAAATGCTGGTTTAGATGCATCATTGAAGTACATGGGATTACTAGTGCATCAAGAGGGCTCTTCCACGGTGGCCTGTCCTGAACGCGGCGATTGAGACGTGGGCACAGCCGCCTGGCCCTGAGGCAGCACTGATCGATGCAAGGTTAAGTCAATGAAAACATTCTTGATGATGTGCGGAAAGGGTGCCCACCTAGGTTCGCATTGAAGCCTTGGGGGCCACCCTTCATGTGAGAGGGGACAGGATGTGCACTGCTGTTTGGTCGCTGCAGCGTGTTGCCGGGTCCTCCAGGGGGCAGGCCACCACCAACAACGAAGATGGGTGCAGGCCCAGACGCAGGGACATTGCTCAAATGTGGGCTGTAGCCGCCTGGTTCAAATTTGACGGTCAGCACTTGGCAGCATCCGGCGACGCGGAAGAAATCAGACACTCACCCGCTGGTCCGTGGGGTGGCATCGGAGGCGAAAAGGGGGTTGGGGCAAAGTACGGGGCCGCCATAGACATAGGGGGCATGCCATGTGCTGCAGGGAAGGGTTGCCCTGGGGCAGGGCCCTGCATGAACCTCAACTTAGTAAAAGAAGCTCGGCGTGGTTGCATGCTGTGCTTACCTGAGGGAAGCGGTAAGGAGCACCCATAGGCGGGTACGCAAATCCGTACGGAGCAGGGCCAGCACCACCTGCGCTGCTCATGATAAATGGTTGATTCTGCATTGGCCCTCCAGACGCTACCTGCGCTGACGCAGGTACTGGGGATTTCGCAGCGGGAACTTCCGCGGATGTGAGGGGAGGCGGTAAGAAAGCTGCTGGTGTGCTCGCAGCGGGGGCAAAGATCTGTCGGAACGGCCTGCCGCTGAATGGCCACAGTGGACCTGCAGAACAAATGCCGGACATGGCATGATGTAAGCAATCCTGTTGGTTTGAGGCAGGCGGTACGACTCGGATGGTACGCACCTATCATGGTCGGATCACTCTTCCGTGGCGTTCTCACCGGACTGAACTCGCTAAAAACGTTCACAGGGGCGCCTCCGACAGGACGTTTGGGCTCGCGCAAGCCAAAGAATGGATTGGAACCTCGAGCAAGAGTCTGTGGCTCCTCCAATGTCTGCAACAGGAAGAATCCATAAGCGCTCAGCCTGGACAAGCCGGCCGAATCGAGACTCACAGAAGGGCCCGACGATACCGTTGCGAGCTGCACGGGCGGTACGGTCTGTGCAGGCTGCGAAGGCCCCGGTTTAAAGACTGCCGCACTTGGGTTGAAGGGCTTGAAAGCAGACGCTTTCGCGCTCAGCCGAGGTGCATTGGACGAGCTGGCAGCGCTGGCGGCGGGTGCTTTTTCTCGTCCCTGGTCGGAAGCTGGTGGATTCTGCGTCGTGTCATTACTAGATGCGCTAGCTCTGCTTTTATCAGGATTGAATGGGGGGATCTTGGGGATCGTCATCTTAGCCAGCGACGATTTGGCTTCCTCCGGGGTCTTGAATGGAGATGCTTCGTCGATCTTTGGAAGCCTGCACGGGGCGCTTGCTTGACCGGAAGAAGGCGTAGATGACGACAGAGATCCTGTCGTGGAGTCATCGGCAGCCTGCTTGTGTGGGGCGATGCCAGGAATGTCAGCGGGCGCCGGCGACTTGAGCTTGAACGTCGAGCCCCAATTCTTCAATTCAGCAAGACGTTGGTCCTTTTCCTTCTTCGCTTGCTGATGCTGCAAAGCTGCTGCCCTTGACTGCTCCTTCTGCACAAATCTGTTAAACTCGTCATATACCATGGACTTGTCTTTCTTTGATACGGGTGCAGTAGCAGCTGCACCTCGGACAGCAGCACCATTTTCGCCCGAAGATCTGGCGATTGCAGCTTGGCTCACAGCGGCCAGATTCGTCCGGCCTGAAGCACCCTGAGAAGACAATCTCCGGGCGGGTGGCACGTATGCATTTGGGCTCCTTTGAACAGCACCGTATCTGATGCAGGCAGGAAATCGTCAGAATCTCAACAATCTTCTGCGCATGCTTTCTGACGCACTTGTCCTCCTCGTTAAGTCCAGAATCATCTTTCTGACCTCGCTCTTCGGCAAGATGAGCATCATTAGTGGCCGTCTGCAAATAGGAGCCCGTTAGCTCATCTGCGCTGTTATCGGGCCGCCGAAAGTTAAGACTCACGCTCATAATCTCCGCTGCTAATCTTGCTGCCTCCTTCTCCCGGACAGCGAAATCGACACCGCTCTTGTCCAGTTTCGTGGTGTACAACTCCTCGTTGTAATCCGTCTTGAGCCCGAATTTGGCTTCATTGGTGGCAAATTGATCCCATCTGCCGCCCGCCGCACTCAACCCCGCCCCTGGACCTAAGTCTGGCACGTTTCCGTCGTCTGACCACTTCTGCAACGACCTCCCAGCACCGCCATCAGCAATTCTGCTTGCAGAGATCTCGACGTCTGTCCGGAAATCTATGCAACCGAGCGCAGGATTAGCGTACGAGACCCCGATGCGACATCACAAGATACACACCTGATCGCGCTTGCCTGTCTTCACGCACACTTGGCCCGAACTTGACATCAGTAGCTTCCAGTTCTGACACATCTCTCCCGGGGATGAGCAAACTCTGTAAAGGGCCTTCCGGCTGTGCTGAATCTTTGAGTCTGTAAGCCTGGGACAGCAAAACCCCCAAGTCACCCGCGTCGGTCATCACGGCAGCAAGGATTCCGACATATTTGCAATCTGCTGTTTTCACGATGACTTGGCAGCCCTGAAAAGAATGTACAAGGCATTAGCACCACAGGTCTGACCTTGACAGTCAAAATAAGCCTCACAATCAAGGCGACGGTAAGCATGGCCATGCGGGTCCGCATCAATTCGTCAATCTGCGGATCGGCATATGATGTGGTAGAAGCAGGAGAGGAAGGAGGTCCAGTGCCGTTGACCACTGTGCTGCTCTGCTTCTTGGCAGGGAGGTTGTAACCCGACCCTGACGATGCAGCAATCTCCCTTGGCCCGCTCTGTCCACCACCTGCATGTTGGGCTGCGGGATCCCATCGAGCTTGTTGTTGAGCTGCAGTGTATGGCTTGCCGGTGCTACCGCCAGTCGGAGCAGCACCCAGACCATGAGATTGACCTCCGCCATAACTTTGCCTCTTTGGCGCTGGACCTGCACTCCTGCCGCGTCCGGCTGCGCTGGACGAGCTCATATTTCGCACAGGGAGGCTGTGCTCCGGGGACCGCTTTGGAGGATGTATCAGTTTCGTATGTGGCCCGATTGCCGTCAGAACATTACCGTCTTCCCGTGAGCTGATCCGTGGAACGCTCCTGGGCCGTAAAGCTCTGGTGTCTGCTTCCAATCATGCGCGTCACAACAGAAGATCGATCCGCCAGCGGCGAGAGCAGGCGTTTAGGAGATGCCAGCCTCGTCGCAGCTCACGAATGAGCCCTTAAGAGAATTTGTAGCAGCTCCTTAGGCGGCGTCCGAGCCCAAGTCCAGATCATAACCCTTATGAAATTGTATGATACTTGTTGGATTCGAATTGGATCTGGATCTGGATTTGTACAGTGTCCAGCGTCCCTTGTCAAGCGGGCACCAGCCTGCGACGGTGAAGTCGCTACGGCCAAGACGGCTGTCGCTCGCGGAAGGTGGAAACGGGCGGCAGGGGGCACGCGGTGATCCCTTTATCGAATCAAGAGGCACTGCACCTGCCTTCTTAGCATCTGGACTGAGGATGAGCAAGCCCACTTAACCAGCAGAGCACCATGTTGCTTTCTTCCAATCACATCCAGTCATCGAAGAATCAACTTCCACACCGCAGTAGTGACAGGTCCTTCGATCGAAGTCTCTACGTCTACCTTTCTCATTGCGACTTTTGATTCACAGCTGAATCCTGAATCGAGGAGCTGGACAGCATCAGGCAACAAGATGCGGGCTTCAATGATGCAAGTGGCCGCAGCCAAGTACATGGCATATATCCTCTTGCTAGCATTGTCGCCATTGCTGGCCGCAGCGCAATCCGATGACAGTGGGTCCTGCCCGAGGTAGCATCGCTAATGGCGGGACTGGTGCTAATCTCACATATATACTTCTTCCTTCGCTTTGCAGCGCCACAGCTGGGCATTACAACCTCATTCCCGGGGAACGAACTCTCGCTTGTCAAGAATGGACAGCTCAACCGAGTCGTCTTCTCCATCTCCAACCTGCCCTCAGCAGACCGTGTGTTGACTCTGGAAGGCATCACCGGTGCATTCTTGAATCAGAAGAAGCTTGATGGGCAAAGGGGAAGAGTGGTCCGTAACATGACCACCACAAAGCTCAAGAGCGTGCCTTTGCGCATGGTAGGCGGCAAGCCCGTGCAGGTGCCGTACGACTTCCACTCCGAGTTCAAACCACAAAATATGGATGTCGAGTTCCGCCTGCTTGTCGCTGACGGCGTGAGAGAAGGAGCTTAGGACATGGAGGCTAGTGCGTCTACTGACAAAAACAATGCTGACTTGGGTTTGGACAGCAAACGAGTAAGGCCCATAACCTGCTCGCGTACAAGGGCAGCGTGACTATCGTTGAACCTCCGAAAAGTTGGTTTGACATCCAATTGTGAGCCCCATGCGGTTACGCCGAATGCCCTTTGTCAAAATGCTTATTTTGAACCTGTCCTGATGTATCCCAGGCTTTCGCTGTACGCACTGTTGGCCGCTGGCATCGCCTTCTCCGGGTCGTTTGCTTATAAGTCATACCTTGGAGGCTCCAAGCGGAAAGGTGGAAGCACGCGCAAAGCTGTTGAGCCAGCGACAGCTGCAAGCGTGGCCGCTCAAAGTCCCGCGGCATCGTCTAAAACGGGGTACGAGGAGGATTGGATTGTGAGTCTGGCTTCAAGTCGTGACTTCGTATTTTGTTTGCTGAAGGTCGCAAACAAAAATTCACAGCCCGAGCAGCATCTCCGTACTCGCTCAAAAAAAGGCAAGGGAAAGTCGTAAGAAGACACTTTCTATAGGGAAAAATGAAATTTGAATGCCTGCAGTTGCTATTCCCCAGTGCAATCATCGTTGTAAGCATTCAACTACAGCGCTCTCTCCTTGCCATGGTGGTAACTGATCTCCCATCAGGGCGTGTGTGGGTGATTTTGTCATGATTTGTGCTACCCAATTCGGATCTGTGAGGGGAGACAAGTCGTTTGGTCTATACGGCGGCAGCTTCTGTTAAACCGATCGAAGAACATTGTCAGCTTCAAGCGGGGCACTTTCTGGAGACAAAAGCATCCACATACCGCTCTAAGAGCATCGTATGGCCACTGGACACCCTGAAGGTCGCGAATGATGCGGCATGAGTGGGCCGGATTCGGTGCGAATGCACCAGTAGAGAAGGGGACGAAGAGTCGGGTGTCAAAGATGCGGAATGCGACTTTGTCTACCCTGAGGAAGAAGCGCTGAAGAACCAAGAGACAGGACGGCATGACCCTCTATACGCAGATGCAGCGAGTGAGGTAACGTTGTTGGAATATTAATGAAGCTGAGCGCAATAGCAGACTGCCGAGTGACTTGCACTGCTGTTGGACTTACAACTTTGATCGACAATACGCTCGTACCATTGTCGCCCAACTCATCCTCGAACAGGACCATCTCATTGAAAAACAAGATGGGCTCGCTGCCCGCGCCAAGCCTCTCAACTGGAATCCGGTCTTGTGTTGGATGTGATGCTGGAACGAAATCCCCCTCGGCAGATTCGGACGATGGCATTCCTGAAGAGAGGGAGCCGGCCCATGTGCAGGAGTACGTCCAGTCGTACTTTCTGGAGTTAGAAGCAAGTGGCATGGTGCCTCCTTGAGACCTGACGAGGCGAACCCACATCAGCATCTCAGCCTTGTTTCCCAAGCCGCAGTCGCACTGACCGGTTTTTGCCCCACTCTTTCGCGTATGAGACTTTCAGGAGTGACGTTTCAAGCTCTGTAGAAGCCCCAGGATTGCGAAGTTTTCCTTTGCCTTTGTTTTTTGGATGGACACCGTTGATGCTACAGAGCGCATCAGTTGCATTCAAGGTGTAATAAGTGTCGGTTGGCTCATGATGCAGGGTGAGGGAGTTGTGTGGAAAGACCATCTCTGGCGGAGGTATACCGAGCAGGTCTGCCATTTCGTCCATCTCTTGCGCATTACCGATGGGCCCAATTACGGCTGTGACGGTCCACCCGGCGACGTGGATCGCTTTGTGTTCGATTTTGATTTGAGGCAGAACTTGGCCCGCTTGGGAGGTGGTCGCGGACGCTGGCGTTAAAGAAGCAGTGGGCTGCTCATGCTCGATGACCTTGTGGCCGACGCGGTAATCAACACCATTGACATTTTTGTCTTGCCATTGCCAACTTTCACTTTCAAAGTTGACACCGGCATCGACATTGGGGGCGGAGAGCCGAGAAGGGAATGACGCTTCATACGAAGAAGGCATGGTATTCTGCGCTCCGCGCCCATCCGTGAGTGTTGCTGTTGCTACTGCTCGATGCCTTCGAAACTCTAAATGTAAGCGCCGTGAAGGTTTCCACTCGCAGCGACCGTGAGTCAGGACACTGAACAAGTACAACCTTCTACATGCACTCTCACGAGCGACGCGCTGGCGATCGACGACAGACTAATTCACGAGTCACGACGGAACCAGATCCAGGTGTCAGATGTCAGCATGTCCGACACGTGTCGGCGCTCATCGATGAGCTTCCAGATGTTCAGTCGAAGCGGGCCAAATGATGAATGAAGACATGAAGCCGTGCGGTGACAATGAAGCGATGAGTTGGATAGTTTTGAGCGCGGCTCACGGGTCGCGGCAAGCAAAGCGAGAGTCCCGCTATGCCCAATGTTCATCTCTGCTGCTGTGCATGATTTTCGTACTGTAAGCTGTTGCATCGTACCTAGACAAGTGCTTCGAGCCCGTTCCGCTCCACTTATTTTCAAGGACGAAGCATCAATTTGGCACACCTTGCTTCACATCGCGTTTGTCATTGTCCATCCAATCTAATGCTCCCCATGTACATTCTGTCTATGATCTACATCATTTGCAAATGCGATTATGACCTCCTAGGGCCTGCTGTGTTTCTGGTGGCCACCATCACGACCTAACAAACGCGACCAACGCTTTATGTCAACCTGGCACTCGCAAGGAGACCAGATATCCCTACTTCCTGCCGTCGAAGGCGCGACAGCTGACAATTCTCTACATTTAAAGACTTGCAAATGATTCGCATTACTAAGTGCATGCACTATTTATTCAGTCAAGTCTTTAGTTCGCAGCAAGAATTTGAGCGTCATCTAATTCATGTTCCTCTGGCTTGAAGGAACACATGAGCTGACCCTTCTCGTCATCATATGTTTTCGTATAACACAAGTCCTCCATCATGGCCATGATGATCACCCATCAATCCCACGTATCAATTTATCAAGGACAACCATGTGCAAGTCTCAAAGCCCCGCTTGACAAAGCGATCAGTGGTACTTTCTCGCTTTGCGCGCATTGGTTTCCCCCATCCTGGCACTGTCTCCACCGTCTCCAACAACTTCTGAGGGAGAGAACCGTGCATTGGGCCAGAGTAGATAAACGTTTGGCTGACTAATCCTATCACCAAGAGTGACCAGTGAGTTCCTTCATTGGTGTTATGGGTATTAGCACACCTTCCGCGCCTGATGTGACGAATTGTTTCTAGCCCTGCAGCGAAACAAACGATATACTGCCCGAAAGCTTTCACGCCCAGCGTCACCTACACCATCACCTTTGAAGGCTTCGAGCCTGTGTCCAGTGCTTGGAGATATATTTCTCCAAAGATACTTCGTGAGAATCAGTATCAATCATATACGTTTCAAGCCTGTTCTGCAATTCGGCTGTTCCAGTCCGTTCCACGGTGCGTTATTATCATGAGTCGATCTGTCTCGATCCCCAGGAGTTTTGGTGTCAGTTGATCCATTGTGTCAGGCGTCGCTGAAGGACAGAAGATGAACGACGCACCAGGTTCGTGCGCCGATCATGGCTTATGATGTCGCCGGCCGACCGTCAGTCGTCACCAGCAGCGGTCGTCCAAGCGTTCAGCCGCAGCGGCAAGTGTACCGAACACAGATCGGGTTCAGCTTCCATCAATCAACATATTTGTTTGACATGTGCAGTCCATCTTGTGTATGCATAGAAATTTTCTTGCATCGCATAAAGAGTAGCTACACGCATCTCATCGCGTTCCCTCGATGAATCTATTCCCCAACGAATTCACTGCAGTCTGTCCAGAAAGTGACTCGCACTTGATCCCACTACTTCTGGCCCTCTGCTCTTTGGAGGTCGCGACCTGCCTGCCCCAAAGTGATCCACGGTGACAAACGTAGAGCAGCATGTATTACATGAATGCTCGTCCAGCCCTGTGTATCATGCTACGGCTCTTGCTCATTTTCCAACATAAGAAGCTGGCAACCAAAGAGCACCCGGAAAAGTGTATTTAATGAAGAGTTAGTAAGATTTGGTGCCTCGAATGATGGCCGGGATCGAGATGAAGATCCCAGGCGCCATCTTCACGGTGTACAATGTGGAAGAAACATGCTTATGTGCCGTACAATTGAACCTAGCGAGAATGGACGGCGGTGAAGAAGTGAAGCAATTTGTTCAAGGTCGATGCTTCGCACTTGGGAAAGTAGAGCGGAACGGGCTCGCAGCCCCTTGTCTGGGTACAAAGCAACAACTTTGGAACGAAAATCAACAACCATGTGCAAACATATATGCTGGAGACTTTGACTTGTTTGGAGAGATCAGAGAATTGTCAGAAATTGCGCATGGGCCACCCTGCAGCCTGCTACTCTTGCCATCGGTTCTTGTAGCATCCGCATGCTGTTACACGTGACTCGGCCCTCGTGTCGTGTCTCAGGGCTCGCGAATTGCTTCTAGATTTCTTCCTCCAGTCGGTTTTTAGGAGTCTACGTGACAAGATGCTACTAAAGAATGAAAAGTGAATATGGTATGTTAGACGTAACGTGTCAAGACTGCAAGAAAGAGTGGGAAGGAGAGACAAGTGAGAATGAGAGTGATCGGCTAGGCGTGACGCGGCGGAAACATGCATCGCTGGAGTCACGGAACGACACTCGGCATCCAGGCTGTTTCACGCGATATGAGCCGGGTGACCGAATGTAACGGTAACCGAGGGAGAAAGAGGATGGCTGGATGGCTGGCTCTATTTGGGGGATCATCCTGGTCCCCAGAGCGAGCAAGCGATCACAAGGGATCAAGGAGACCAGCTGTGAGGAAGAGAGAGCCTTGATCTCAATAATCGCTGCCATTCAGTCATCACAGTAGACAGTTAGACACCCGCCCCAGTCTCTCCTCCCTCTTGTTGCGTCTCCGCCGGCCGTCCCCGCATCACTCCTCTTGACTGTGGGCTGCGAACTCGTCTCTCTTTTCCATCCTCCATCAACATAAACGGTTCATCTTCTTTCCCTTTCCCCTCTACATACACCCGTCGCTCGTCGTTGATGCTATTCCCATTCTTAGCATTTCCTCTTTTGGTCATTCTTATAGTCGAGCCCGACTCTCTCACCCGTCAACAGCCAACAGACAAGTCCCACTTTCCCCACAATGGCTGCCTCGTCTAAACTTCTCAACGCCGCCGTTGGTGTCGCCGTTGCTGCCTACCTGGATGCAAAACATGGTATCGGCGCAGACCTTCACCTCGCTCGTGCCATTGGCACCGCTTCCATCAAGTGAGCGCACCCCTCCTCTCTCACATCTGACCTTGCTGGCTTTGCCCTATCTGACCCCACTGCCGACTCCAATAGGCACAAACTTCGCAGCCTCCGCAGTCGTCCCTCTCTTTGGCACTTCTTCCACGACACTGCGCAAAAGTATCCCAATGACATCTGCTACATTTACGCGGGAAAGTCGTGGTCCTGGAAAGATGTGGAGATTGGTACGTACCTCAACAAACTGTCTGCGCCGCCCTCCCCTCTTTCTTTTCTCCATCTCTTGTTTCCTCGTCCTCCTTCTTGTCTGGGCGTGGCGCATCTATCCAGCAATGATGAGAAACTTCTACAGCACCTCTGCAGTTTTAGCAGCCAGGTCAGCTAGCACAGGAACGCTGGATCCTACCAGCGTTCCGATGATTGCCCCTCCTACACTTGATCTGAGCCGCTCAAGTCTCTAACCAAGTGAGTGTCAAAGCTGACGCCCTTCTCCTTTGCCAAACAAACAGAATCGCGGAGGATTGCCAACTATCTCATCTCCCTCGACCTTCAATCAGGCGGTATGTATGCCCAACCGCCTCCCCACCCTAAAGCCTTATGGAAAGTTTTCTGACTCTTCGCCACGCCTGTGGCCATCAACATCCAGACCGCATCGCTATTTTCATGGGCAACAGCGCTAGCTTCGTGATCCTTTGGCTTGCCTGCCTTTCTGCCAACATTGTGCCGGCTTTCATCAACACTAGTCTCACTGGAAAGGGTCTTGAGCATTGCATCAATATATCGAAAGCCAAGGCGGTCATTTTTGAGCCGGAACTTGAGTCTGCCCTCGCAGAAGTGAAACACACTCTTGCTAGCAGCATTGCTCACTACGTTCGCTTCGACGATGGAGTCAGGTACCCCAGCGAAAAATCTGGCTCTCCTGCATCACGGATTGCGAACGCCCTCGATGTCAACTTCCAGATACTCAGCGGTCACAGTACTAAGGAAATTCCTGAGCAACGCCGCACCCCCGTCACCGAAGCTAGTCCCGCCGCTTTGATCTACACTTCAGGCACCACTGGACTTCCCAAGGCTGCGCTCTGTTCGCACGGGAGAATGGGAGTCGCAGTCGTCATGTGGCCATCTCTCAATGAATGGAAGCGCAGCGACCGTATCTACACCCCCATGCCGCTCTACCACAGCTCTGCCGCCTTCCTATGCGTGGCTGCCTCTTGGTACGGCAGTTCCACAGTCATCATCGGTCGGAAGTTTAGCGCTACTCGATTCTGGGACGAAGTGCGTGCAAACAATGCTACAGTTATACAATACATTGGCGAAATCTGCAGATATCTCCTTGCGGTACCGCCAAGGGCCGATGACAAGGACCACAACGTCAGGATGGCTTATGGCAACGGCATGCGGCCCGATGTATGGAACAGATTCAGGGACCGCTTCGGAGTTCCCATCATCTCAGAATTCTACGCCAGCAGCGAAGGCAATGGTGCATTGGTGAACTACAACTCCGGTCCTTTCGGTAGCGGAGGAGTCGGTCGGTTCGCAAAACTTGCCAGCAGAGCCGTCCCTGACTACAAGATCATTCGCGTGGACCCCATCTCGGAAGACATTTACCGTGACCCCAAGACCGGGCTGTGTGTGGAATGCGCTCCTGGCGAATCTGGCGAGTTCTGCGCTAGGATCGTCACTTCGAAACCGCACGCACAGTTCCAAGGCTATGCGGACAACGTGGCCGCAACCCAAAAGAAAATTGCCGTCGACGTTCTTCAGAAAGGCGATGCTTGGTTCAGGTCCGGAGATCTAATGAAGAAGGATGCCGACGGTTTCTTCTGGTTCGGCGATCGCATGGGTGACACTTTCAGATGGAGGTCAGAAAACGTCAGTACGGCGGAGGTCAGCGCTGCACTGGGAGAGATTCTCGAAGAAGCGAATGTCTACGGTGTGCTCGTCCCTTCGCACGACGGCAGGGCGGGCTGCGCTGCCATCCCCGTCAGCGCCACCAAGGCGATCGACTACAAGAAGTTGGCCTCCCACGCAAGGTCGCGCCTGCCAAAATACGCAGTACCGCTCTTTCTACGTGTCGTACCCGCCATAGAAGCCACAGGAACCGTCAAGCAGTTGAAGGGAAATCTGCGCAACGAAGGAATCGACCCTACCAAGGTCGGCACTGACCCGCTCTTCTGGCTGCCCCCCGGTTCAGATGCGTACAAGCCTTTTACCCACAAGGACTTCAAAGACCTCAAAGCTGGCCTCGTCAAGCTTTAGTTTTAGCTCTTCGCCTCCCGTAGATCGATCGCGACTTTTAGAACGACTTGCAGTGATGATGTGAAGGAATTGTAAACAGGCCTGAAAACGCTCCCACCTCACTAGCCCTCTGCTCACGACCATTGTACCTGTCCGGTCGTCTTGCCCGCATGCCTGCACTTGCAGTGAAGCCTTCAGCATCGATCCTTAGCGGTTCGCTGTCGAAGGCGGTCCCTAGTCCGGCGCCAACCCGCTGAAAGCTGCCTATCAGGACCCTGCGGATCCAGTGGCAGCCCTGAGAGGATGAATGCGGAGTAGGAGTCACCAGCCAAGCGTCATGACTCACATCGCCTCGATTCTCGCGCCGGGGAGTGCACTCTGAGACATGATCTAACCGCGTTCGGGATTTCCATCAGCGCGGGGCCAATTACGGAAAGGGTAAAGCTCTCATGATTGATGACATAATCTCAATTCTGCTTCTAAGTATACTCGCGAGTGGAATCCAAGCGTTCTCAATTTTACCCTACCTGTTTGAACTCGACCATATGTCATCCCATCGTCGCCTATGTTCGATCCTTTCGGACTTGTACAGAATCTGTACTTTCGATCGTCTCCTACCAAAATATTCTGGATTGTCCCGCACGCTGTCCATTGGCTCGCAATTTACAGCCAACATGGCGCCAACCCACTGTGTTTCAAGGTGCGCTTTTCGCCATGTGGCCCATTCTATATTAGCGTACGCCACACGCCTCATTTTGGTGCCATTCGATAGTGCGTCTCCTGCGCTTTCTGCGGATGTGTTTTCATAGCCTTTTCATCACGCTGTCGCTCCAAAGCTGCTCAAACCCTCGCCTTGCCTTTTTCTGACGTTCCACAACCTTCTCAGCTCTCCCACTCGCTGCTCGCTGCAGCCTCCGATGGCAGACACTCCGACGGCAGACACTCACTCCGAACACTCGAACGCCCATTGTTCGTGCCAAATTTACACCCGTTCATTCTGCCCATTTATTTGTTCATATTGACCCTGCCTTTGTCCGCCCTGCACTGCGCTCTTTGCCTTCAACTCATTTGCCGGGCTTTGGCAATGTGGCTGTTCCCTGATTTCGTTCACCCCACCACCCAACTGCGCACTGTTCCACTTCGCGGCTTCAAACAACTTATTCCCGATGTTGACTTTCTGGCTGAAGCCAACACGTTGATCAGTTTCCCTCCCTCCTCCACTTTGATTTGCTACTTTCTCTCAGAGTATCCATCCAGGACTTTACGAAGCTGACGTGCAGATATTGCCGTCCGGACCTTTTTGGTCGCTACCTGCGCCTATCAATCCCCTCCTCGGTGAGAGCTTCCCGAGGCAAGTCTTGCTCGGCCGGAGTGCAGAGGGTCAGCCAAAGGTCATGTACCACGGGTTGCGGAGGGCCAGCGGATGCGTTGCTGTCGCAGACGGCCGATGCTCAAAACATTCCGCAATGGCTTTTCCGGATTCCACCGAGGGACTTACGGCTTTGCACCGCGGTGCTTTAAATCCTTAAACTTGCATTTTTATATCTTTTGAAGATTCATCCCAACATTGAAGAAGTTCAACAAGCAAATCCTCAAAGATGTCGCTCGCTCAATACCCAACGCGGTGACGGGCCAGCAGCAAGAGCAGCATGAGGTACAATGGTGCTTGTATGCGCACACGATTTGTCCTGTTGATGCCGAGTCGGAGCTCTTCGCCTATGGAGGACGCGCACATTGGCCGTTCGTCCAGAATTGCCAAATGCACTCTTCAACATGAGAAGAAAAGCTTCCTTGCGCCAAACGAAGATACTTCACATGACAGCCAAACCCTTCTGCGATGCTGCATGCTTTCTCATCACACAATGTGACCATATGCGTTTCACCACAGCGCAATGTAACCGGCTTTTGCTGCTACGCATGGGTCCTATTGGTTTGCATGACGAATCAGAACAGTTGGACTATCGGCGACGCGGGAGCTGGCCTGTTTGGACGGTGATACGTCAGTGCAGGAAGACATGACATGGGCGTCTTTGCATCGCACGGTGGTGACATGCGCCGAATCACCGTCTTCACGGTCCAGACTTTCCATTGCAGCCGCTTTCACGGGGCATTGCATAGACTTATATTTGAGAGCCATTCGGCGTAACACCGTCCAAGGCCAATTCGAGCGTAGGGGCTATATTTCCGTCGGCGCTCAAAGCTACGCCTGGCAGAGGCAATGCTTGGAATATACCTCGGCAGCTAAGTAGGCTCAAGGGGGGCTTTTTGCTTTGCGGACCGTTTCAAGAGAGGCAGACATTCGTGCTCGCTGCTGGAGATGCCGCTGATGAGACATGGCACCTTGAGGATAAATCATTCGACTCACTCAACGGACGGAGGTACTTGAAAGAGCTTCGAAATGATCTGTGTGCTACGTTGATCGTGCAGTTAGGCTCGACAGCGAAGCCGTACGGCATCCCATCGTTCACCGTGGTGAAGCAGAGGCAGAAAGTGAGTCCGGATCGCAGTAGACGAGCGCACGCTGCAACGGAGACAACAATCGGAAGAACGTTGAAACGTATTATACTGGCATGCGTGCACGGGATAAACCTATGTATCGATCCAAAGGATCTGGCGTTTCTTCTTGCTTCATGCGCCATGCTTTCATCATTCATTGGCCACCTTTTCTATTATATATTTGTGATGCAGCCTGTTCAGTCGTCCGCCTTGCGTTCACTTCCTCCCGTGTTCCGAGCTTAAACCCGATGAAATCCATGCGACACTAACGCGGGCTGAACTCCCTTATATTCAACGCAAGGTTACGGGGTAGCTAGTTACCTGCCACTCTTGAGGTTATCCCAGGCAAATCGCGTTACACTGCTCCATGCGATTCTCGACACAATGACTTTATCGACGACAGCGAGGGGAACAGCATTCGAGCTAGCGACGCTGTCATGGCTGTCTCGGCAGTTATTCATGAATCTCGTCCGCTCCGGTGGCGCAGGCGACAAAGGTATTGATCTCAAAGGGTGGTGGAAGCTCCCTTCTCGCGAATCCTCATCGGCCCAAGCGGAGAATGTGCGAGTCTTGGTGCAATGCAAAGCGGAGGCCAAAAAGCTGGGCCCACGGACGTTGCGAGAGCTGGAAGGTAGCATGCACCGCAGCGCCCATGCTGCTCAAGCGAACCTTTCGAACATGATCGGCATCATCTCCTCCACGTCGACCTTCTCTCCAAAAAGCATTCAGGAAACGATGGCTTCGCCGCTGCCGCTTTTGTTGCTTCAGCTGGCGATGATACAGTGCCGGCAGGAGCCCGAAGATGCAATAGCTGAATGCCTCGCCCTCATACCGAACAGAGTGCTACAAACGAGGCTGGAAGGCATTCTAGATATTTCAACATCGTCATTGGTACCTACCGGCAAGCCTGTACGGGACGCAATCAGCAGACCACATCTTCGCTGGATTTCGCGACCCCCCACGGTCACTGCAATTGGGGTAGACTAGGTTCATTCCTAATGCTGGGTATGCAAGTTACAACTGTCGCGAAGGACTGAAGCCAACCAGACAAGTTTGAGGTGGATATTCCTCTCCTCCAGTCTGACTCATCCGAGGTCTCGTCTTCCTCGGCGGCGTGAGCGGCGGATACGACTGGTGCACCTGACACCCATCTTCAGCGTGTACAGTGCCTTCTGCGGTCCGCAAGCGCCTTCGGCGTGCGCGCACATCCACGTTCGCAAACGTATCAGGGTGTAGCACGCCCGCTCGAGACGCCTCTTGCCTATCCAAATACTCCCATTTGATCAGCTCAGAGGCTGTTGCAGGTCGGGCCGTAGTAGCCCCATTTGTGTTGGAACGTGGGCGGGACAAAGCAGGGCGTCCGAGATTTGAATTGGGAGCCACAGCAGCGCGGTGCTCAGCAAGACCGGCAGGCAGCGCAGGCAGCGCAGGCACAGCAGGCGCAGCTGCTGCTGCCGCTTGCTCAGCTTGTAGCTTTGCCGACTGACGAAGGGAGGCTTTACTGACCTTGGAGCGTGCCATTTTGAATGGGACCAGGCCACCAGGCGTCGTCGGTCGGGCGTCTGTCGGCTGCCGCTCGCGCCCTTCTGACGTGAGCAAGCTAGATTCATGCCGTGGACTGGATGGCCGGGATGCAGGCGCAGCGTGTGGTAAGTAGCTGTTCTGTAATGGCGTGTCCGAGCGTTGTGGAGATGACAAGGCTGAAACAGACTCGTCATGGATCGAACCTTGGCAGGACGGGATGGACACTGGTGTCGCCACAATCTGCGAGCCGATCTGTTTCTTTACCAACTTCAAGAGACGGGACTTGCGTGCTCTATCTGGATCAAGCAAAGTGGCCGAGCAGGCAAAGGACACTGGCTTGATGAGCTTTTGCAGCACGGAGGCAGCCAATGAAGAATGGTGTCAGAATTGATTGAACCGCAAATTGCAAAAGTCCTGCTCACTTTATATCGCGCGTCAGCATTGCTATTGCCATCCGAAAAGTCCTGTACTTCATAAAGGAAACGCCACGCAAGTCGTCCTTTCCGTTCGCTGCCCGAAGCCTCGTGAGCGCCACTATTGACGACAGTGAGCGCTGCCTGCCGTGTCAAGAGGTCTGCTCGATGGTCATCAGCAACAGACAGGTGTCGAAGAATGGGACAAGCAGATGTGCTTGATGCCAAAAAGGAGAGTTGTTTCGCGTCGACAGCAGGGGCAAAGTGCAGGATGCCGACTGCTTCCTCGCTGTCGTCTTTCGAGCTGCGAGACTTTGGTCTCCTGGGCGTAGGAGGTCGCGATGCGTCTTCGACAGGCGCAAGAGATTCGGACCGGCCAAAGGGATCGTACGACATGTACTGCATGGTGATGGTGCTGCAGCTGCCTCCCTCTTGTTCGATACGCAACTGCAATCCTTTACTCAGATACGCTGCCCAGCCGCCTTGGGATTTGGGCCGGAGCGCAGACCTAGGAGTTCGAGGTGTGCGGGGCTCTGCATAGCCCGACTCGGTGGAGAAGGATAACTGAGTGGGGGAAATTTGCGCAGCCATCATGCTGGCCCCATCGATCGTGTAGGTAGTGCCGGCATCAAGTGCGCTGTTTCTCCGTACATCGGTGAGGTCAACACTGCGCTGCTGCCCTGCAGACTTGACGTGTCCTGCGGGCGATGTGAAGAGCAGTCCAGTGGTGTGTGGTCGCTCGAGCGAGCCAAGCGTGCGCGATCTTGTCCGCACCATGGACATGAGCTTGTCATCAGACGGTGCATATGCTTTGGGCAAGCGTTCTCGGTCTTCCACGCGAGGAGTCGACAATCGAGGCGACTTTTGCGCTCTTGCCTCCGTCGTGCTGGGTCGAATTCGCGACTGGGACTTCGTGAGCGAAGAATTCCGCGTCCGTAGCGTCAAGGTTTGCACTCGCAAGTGATCAATGTCGGGGCCAATAGATGCGTTGCGCAGGTCGCAGTGCGATCGAAACGGCGGCAGAGAGGCGTATACCGGAACCTCTTTGCTATTCATAGTCGATGCGAGTGAGAGAGGCGCGCATGGATGCTCAGGAGTACGAATACCGATGCTGTCCGTGGCGTGTGATGACGACTCTGAGCTCTGGACGGAGTCGGCATACGGTACCCTAGCAGGGCTGTACTCATCGCTCGGCGTTCTGCTGGACGATTGTTCACGTACAGCAGGGTGCAAGCGCGGCCCTTCATAGCTGGTCATTGCATGCTGATGCGGACGTTCACAGGGAGGCTGACCCATGCAGTAGTTGGGATCGAAAAGGAGGTTGACGGGAGAGCGAGAATAAAGCGCCTCTGGCAGATCGGGGTGGGTCATCTCTTGCCGCTGCGAAGCCTCGACTTTGAGGTTCCTCTCAATAGCGCTCGAAAGGTCACCGCCTTGTGGACCGTTGAAATCTTCGACTGGAGACGTAATGCTGGTAGACGAGGTGGCTCGGTGTAAGCTCGTTGAGCTGGACGCCTGCAATTGCAGCGCCGGTGGCCTGCGCTTCTGTTTGAAGGGTGATGTCTTCGGAGGTGAGAGCTTTGAGAGCCAGGGCGGGCTATAATCAGAAGGGTCGGCATAATTTGTAACGAGTGGCGAACGAGGCAGCGGCGGCGTGGTGACTCTCTCGATGCTGCGTTCATCTTCCCCAAAGCGAGAGAATCCCGACAGATGCGCTTGAAGATCCATGGTCGAGTCTGAAGAAGAGGCAAAGCCGCTGTCGAGGAACAGAGGAACCTCTGCAGAGGACCACGTGGTCGTCACGCTATCAGCTCGCGAGACAGGGCGTGTAAAGCCATTCTCTATCGAATATGCGTGATGCTCCCTGCTTTCGAGAATGGATTGTTGTGGTTGGGTAGGCATGATGGTGGATTTGGGGACGCTTGTCCCTCTGTTTTAGATGGGAATATATGGCCGTATGGCTTGCTCTGAGTGTGCGTGAGTACTGTGCTGATCCATGCGTTGCGAATTTGGAGGTGACTATGCTCCGTGCTGGGGGTTGAATGTTTGCGAAGCCTGTGGCGTTCTGTATGCGTCAAGATCGGTGTCGAAGAGGTATGCTAGCAATATTCTCCAATGTGTGTTTTTCTGAGTGAGGTTCGATGGAGATGATGCGGATCTCTTTTGTACATTGAAGTAAGGTCAGAAGCGCATGTCGTAAAGGAAGATCGTACCAATGTCCACCGTAGAAGAACGTAGATGAGCGATGAGACCGTGTGAGCGTTGGAGCGAGGACAAAGGAACAACGAAAGATGGTCGGCCACTGATTTGGGTGCTTGGATAAGGACGCTTGTCCGAGTCGGCCGTGTACGGCGCACGCTCGGCCTGCTTTGCCGGAGGAAGCAAGCTCGTCGGTCGCCCGTAGAGAGCTTGACGCTCATAGGCAAGAAGTTGCGAGCTGTAACGGGTGGTTCGCCAAGTTTGGCCGTGTCCAATGTGCGGAGGGGAAGGGGCGTAGATGTGTTCACCTGATCATATGGGTCGAACTGACGAGCTCAACGCGGAAGGAGTGAGGTGCATGTGGCAGGTATGCCTACGCTGGCCGTGCCCCAGTATGTTCATTCATCAGACCAGCGGAGCGTCAGGCGTCAGATTCAGACACCCAACAAGTCATCCGCATCATCACTTGATTTGGACTCACGGTGATGACTGCTGTCCACTGCTGTCCACATGGATAAGCGGATGAGATGGAACCGTCAGCTCAAGCGCTTACGACACACGAGTACTTCGTCAGCGACATCGGGAAAGGGAGCATTCCCGGTTGGTTTACTGACGTCTAACTGGACTGAGGAGCATGCCTTGCCCAACTGACCAGTGCACAATGCGCGGGGCCTGCCGGACTAGTGTCAGATTTTCGACGCTGTTGGTAAATTGGACTTTGGACACTGGACAGTCTTCGAAAGGGCTATGTTTTGGAAGCACGGGTCGAAATCCACTTGGATCGGAGAGGATGCCTGCTAGAGCGCTTGGCCGCATCAAGGACGACGTGTCGAAGGTCAAGGAACGTGCTGTAGTCTAGCCTCAAGAACATGTATGTAGGCTAGAGTCTAGACTCTAGAATGCCCCTGTGAGATTGCATGTATGCCGTATGCGCGTTGGACCGAAGTGGCTACAAATTACATATGGTTAGTGGATGCGAGTGGGCTATGTAAAAGTAGTGGCTGAACGCCTCACGCCGATGCATCCAAAATACAAGATCCCAACTCCCGGATTCCAAAGCAAGGATTGACCTGACATAGTGGGTTTAATTGGATTGCGGTAGTCTGCACTATGTAGGTTACGTCCGATGCAATGCTCAGCGCCGAGCGCTGAATACATTTCTGAATCCTGATGAAGGAGACCATCCGGCCATCGCACCACCGGGCGCCGTCTGGCGTCCATGGATCACTGATCCACAAAAGTCATTCGTTTGTCGTTGCGTTGCATACGTCCAGACAACTCAACGAGACTCCAGCGCCAGTCTGGCTGCTGGCTTATATCAGCGGTGTTGATCCTACTTCCCTTCTTCCGATCCAGACTGTTTTTGAGGTCGAGACCTGCTCGCGCCAGCAGACGCCAGCCGCCAGGCAAAGCTTCGATGAAAGGGGGGCCTGGGGTGATTGGGCAAACGGGTTCATGCGTTCAAGCAAGATGGCTGCGGTGGTGCGAAGTGGAAGCAGCAACGTGGGGTCCACGTTTTACGTTTTGCTTGGGCTAATTGTTAAGAGTTTGGACGGGTTGGAGCGGGCTTCGTACTGCACACAATTGCCTATGCACTCCGATGCATTAGGGCTCGCAAGTCAACGCTTGTGATGCAAGGGGGTGGGCAGTGAAGTAGTAAAATCGAAAGGCGTATGCAGAGTGTTCTCACCGCTCAGCGCTACAGCAGCGCCTCCTAAATATTTCTTCGCGCGTACTCCTCCTGTGTTTGCCTTCTGCGGGCTGCCAGCTCGGGGCTTGCCCCCTCCCCCTTGTGTGTGGCATGTTGCAGTGGTGCCGCCCACCGTTGAATTCCGCTTGAGCGTCGCCTCGCCTCGCGTCTCCAGACTAACAAGTCTAGCCCCCCCCCACCAAGCCTTGACTCGCCGGTCGCCAGCTCCTCTCTTGCATTTGCACCGAATCTCTCCGCTCCAAAGAAAAGCTTCACCTATAATCGCAGAGTCAAGGGTGATTAGATAGTGATTACCTACGTACCCGTCTTCAGGAACAGCCTAGCCTGATTATGTAATTTCCTTGTGCTGGTCCCCTGTTGTCAGCGAGAGAAAATGAGTGAATAAAACGAGCAGCGGCACGACCTTTTTCGCCCGCAGTTCAACTCACGCATTAGCAGACGACCTCTGCTGCGCCAGCGGGCTCTGACCATTGGAGAGGTTGGACGCCTAACCCCGAATTGCCGCCTGCTCAACTACTCATCCTTTGCTGTTGGCACATATGTATGTATCAGCTCGAGCAAGCAGCGGAGCTATATATGCACCAAGCTACGTCTCGTCCCCGCCTCGTGGCTGTTCACAGGCAGTACCAATTGTAATTCATCATCCTGTGCTCCTTCCTTTATATTCAACATATCCTGTCTTGATTCCTTGATTACCATCATCATGACCCTCGACCAACCGGATACGGTGTTAGACCAAGCTCAAAAGGCCGCGGAGACGGCCGACGTGGCCGCTTACCTGGACGCCCGCCAGCACTTGATACACCGCGAACGATCCCTACGCCTAGATGCACCTAAACTCGCTTCTCTTTCTGCAGAGGAGGAGCTCGCTAATGAGATTTTGCTTAAATTGCGAACACAGCAGCTCAGATCTCTACCTCAAACCGAAGGAGATCTGGCATCCTCCGCTGCTTCGTCTGGATATACTACTTTCCGCGATGAGCCTTTCTACCGCTCCAAGTTGGCTGGCGCATTTGCCGATGGCCCCCTCCCTGACATCTTCAAGAAGGTTTGTACTCGGTATCTCATGCTATGTACACTCGTACGTGCAATGCAATAGTTGCTGACGCGGGCCGTCCTACCACACTGATGAGTGTAGATGCCCAAAGGTGCCAACTTGCATTGCCATCTAGACGGCTCTTGCGATGCCCGCTTTCTTCTCCATCTTGCAGCCACAACCAAAGACTTGTGCATCCAGTCTAATATCTCTATTATCTCTCAGCAAGATCTATTCAAGGCCACGATCAAGTTCCGAGTCTTCCCTGGTGCAGAAGAGCAATATGCCATTCAGCATCCGAAGCAGGGTGCAACGACACCGTCCATCTTCACATCAAGCTACAATCCTTTTGATTGGATCCCAGTCACTGTCGTGCGACATAGATTCCCTTTCCCGTATGCATATCTTGCAAAGCATGGCTTGGACCTCATGTCTCCTACGACGCCGTCGTCACCCCCTCTTGCATTCGATTCCTGGCTGCACACGTGAGTCTTCTCCCCGCCTTGAGACAACTTCAAGGGCGCTTCTAAGTTATGGTCTATAACTTCGCATCCCCATTGAATGAACAGCTTGATCACCATGACACCACACGCAGGCGGGCCTGAACGGCGCACGAGCTCGGCAGCTTGGGGTCACTTCCTTACTACATTCGGCGTAATAGAAGGAATCATAGGATACGAGCCGAACTTCAAAGTTTTCTGCAAAGAGATCATGCTACAAATGGCAAGAGACGGTGTTCGCTACTTTGAAGCAAGGGTCAACTTTTTGACAGAGGTATGTCTCCGTAACCAACCTGCCTTTTCTTTCTGACCGAGACATTGCGGGCATAACACTCGCAGTTCATGGTGCGCTGGAATGGGGAACTTACCCTTGGGCATCTGGACTGGTGCCGAATTTTTCTCGAAGTACGTCCCTTCAATCGACGTCCTTCTCCCGCTTTGCCGAGTCCTCGCGAGAGCTGATTTCCACAACGGTTTTGGACAGGCCCAAGCAGAAGCAAAAGAGCAGCTCGCGCAAGAAGGCTTCGCCTTTGATGGCGCCCGGGTCATCTACTCCACTGTGCGCGTAATCAATAATGAACAACTCAGAGCTAGCATGCTGGACTGGTGAGAAATGGGTCGCGCGTGTATGGCGTACTTGCTTCTGATCCACGCCATAACACTGAATGCATTCAGCATCTCACTCAAAACGAAGTACCCAGACCTTATCGTAGGCTTCGATCTTGTAGGACACGAAGACCCTGGTATCCCAGCCAAAGCCTATTTGCCCGTGCTTCTCTGGTTCCGGCAGCACACGCTTGCGCTGGGACTCGACATCCCATTCATCCTGCACGGCGGGGAGACGCTCGGTGATGGTGAAGCTGCAGATGAAAATGTACGTCCGCTCTGGCCAGTGGACTGGGGGACATTGCTTCCGCGCACGATTGGCACCTTCAACCCTGGCTCACCCACGCCTTCTTTGCGCCAGCTATATGATGTATTGCTCCTCGGATCCAAGCGCATCGGCCACGGCTATTCTCTCTACAAGCATCCTATCCTGATGGACTTGTGCAAGAAGCGGGTGCGTGTTCAAGTGCATGTGCCGTGAGATCACGAAATGCTGACATTGTGGTTCTTTCCTAAACCAGAATGTTCTAATCGAATGCTGGTGAGTCATCATACGATGCATCCCGTTCATTTGCAACTTTGATTTCAGTTCACCAAACAATTACTCACCGCATGGAACGCATTTTTGGGTACAGCCCGATCTCAAATGAAGTCCTCGGTTATACAGCAAGCATCTCAGGCGTAAGTATCGACTCGCCCTATGCTGAGAGCTCGCGACCATTCAAGCGAAAATTCAGCTAATGCTTTGGAACGTATAGCACCCACTCCCTGCATTGCTTGCAAATGGAGTGCCGGTCGCGATATGCAACGACGACTGTTCCATGTTTGGCAATGTTGGATTGACCCCTGATTTATTTACGGTGAGTGCAACATCGAGCGGGCTGCCTCATGGAGCCAGCGTTTGATGCGAGTGCCTGAACTACCCCTCACAGGTATTTATGGGTATAGAATCGTTGTGCTTGAGCTCGCTCAACGTCCTCACGCGCAAATCGATCGAGCATTCTCAGATGCCGGAAGCGCAGAAGAAGACGTCGCTGCTTGATTTTGATGCGCAGTGGGCCGAGTTTATCACATGGATCATAACACACTATCGGTAATGCACACATGCAAGAGGGCAAGTTGTATCACATTCAAGAAACCGAAATGCATGTTGCTAGATTATTCGTACATTCGTATTTGGGTGAAGTCGTATTGAGTGTCCATATCTGGTCTCCTCTAAGTTCATTGCGGCATCTGTGAGTTGCGATTGCGTCCAATGGGGCTCTGGGCGGCCTGGCTTGACATGCGCCGTGCTCCGCGCTGCACAGGGCGCATACCCTCTGCCGTCGCCACTGGGCCGTCGTCGACCAAACTGAATCCTCGATTGGGCGCCGTTGGTGGGGGCATCTCGCGGGGTCGCGCACCAGCACCAGCAGCTTTTGCCGGTGGCGCAGCCCACTGGGGGTTGTGCTCCTCCTCAGGTTCGGCAGAGAAACCCTGTGCATATGACCCCTCCTGCAGACCTGGGTACGCTTGCCCGCTGGACACAAGGCCATGTCGGACCTCTGCGGCCAGTGGCTGGAAGGCGGGATACTGTCGCTCGAGCTCCGGGGAGCTGGCGCCCGAGCCCATCATCGGGCGTTTCTCCTCGTCGCCAGCATATTCTACTGAAAGCGGATAGCTCTCGTGTACACTGTGGCTACTCTGCGTATGAGAGACGCTAGATGTCGCAGGTGATAAGTCGCGATTTTTTGCGACAGCGATGGAACCAGCGGCAGCGGGTGCAGCTGATGTGCGTTTGTTGGTCGCGTCAGGCGCAAGAGGCGCTGGTAGCTCGAGCAGCGGCACATTGTCCAGGCGTGCTCTCGCAAACTTGGTGGGATCGGTAGGATCAGGTGCATGAGTGTTAGCGCTGTGGAGCAAGCCGGTTGTTGGACGTGTGAAGATGCTGTCTTGCTGCGACGGGTTGGAGTTGAACGTGTCTGATGAGATCATACTGTAACGTGTGCTGCCGGCTCGATCAGGGGAACCGGAGCGTTGCACAATATCATACGTCGAGTCGCGGGAGTGAGTGCCTGACTTGAGTCTTCTTTCACGCTCGAACTCTGCCCATCTCTTCATGACAATGTTGGAAGGGTCGAATTTGCCCTCAGCATCACCGTGATCACCCTTGACTTCGCCTTGCACCATACGCGTAGCTCCCCAAGAGAAATCATCCATATGCCAGAAGGCGCTGCAGAAACAAGTGAAATCGGTCAGCACTGCTCTGCGACAATCAGCGGGCGTAGTGCACTCACTATGTCGGCAGCACAAAGTTCCAAACAGGCAAAGAAAGCAGGTAGACCAACATCCAGCCGACGTATGCGAGCTTGCGCGAAGTGACCACGATCAGGACACCCGGAAGACCAAGAATAACTGCTAGGAGGACGAGCGGAATGACAGGTATCGGGCCATAGGAAGGATCAATGGCGTTGCGAATCGCGATACCGGCGACATAGAATGTGAATGCAATGGCTGCCGGTAACACTAGCGTGCCAGCCAGTTCCATGGCAATAACGAATCTGTTTCGTCATTGGATGCGCATTGTTAGCTGATTGCACATTGCTAGCGAAAAAAGTTCTTTCTCTCGTTGGACTCACCGCATGCTGAAGCAGAAGACACCGCACAGCTCATTGACCATAACCAGCTCGGCAAGGTTGTGCACGGTCGAGTTGATCCATCTGCGTCGCTGCGAAAGCAACACGCGGAAGGTATCCGGGACGATGGTTTTGCATACGGCTTGCGGGACGAACATCATCTTCCGCTTGGGGAACGTCTTGAGCATGAGTGTGGTCAGGTACCGATCTTCTCCCAGAAGCAAGAGATTCTTCTTGTGCAGCGTATCCACCACATTTTCCGAATAGTGTTCCACAATGTCTGGGTTGGCCAGGATAGGCACCCAGTAGCCATTCGGGCCTTTAGGCGCCTTGATACGGTACGCACTGAAACATCCGGGAAGACAGGTGACACCGCCAAAGCAGGCCTCGAAGGCCTTGGTCGAGTGATGCGAAATGTAGTACTCGAATACTGGAGGAAGCGCGTTTTAGTGGGGTGCGTCAGCGATCGTCTCACTCGCTCGCCTACCCGTCAAACCCACGATCATCACTCACCTTGAATCATCGTGACCCACGTCTCGGTCTTGTTCGCGATCTTTGTCTCGCCGCAGAGGCCCATGATCTCCGTATCCTCGACCATGCAAGCGACCATGCGACTAAGACTGTCCGGGAACACTTTGGTGTCCGCGTCGACCATCAGCACAATCTCGTAGTTGTCCGGGCTGACGCCTGTGACGCGCCAGAGCGAATTAAAGAACATGTACTCGAAGGCGGTCATGCGCTCGTCGAACATGACTTTCTGCATGAAGGCCATCAGCATGACCTGACTGTCGCGCTTGCCGCGGTTGCCAGGCTTAGCCGAGTCGGCTTCGAGTGGCGTGCCGCATTTGGCGACGAGGACCATGGGAACGCGCTGCTGCTTGCTGCGCTCGACCGTCCCGTCGTCGTAGTCGTAGAAGCCGGCGTAGATCTTGGCCATGTTGTGACGCTTGTGACCATCGGCGATGGCAACGTACGAGTGACCCTCGACGTCTTCGGCGGGCTGGACAAGATCCTTCATCATTGACAGACAGATGTCGGGCGTGCTGATGTCCGACCCGCTGCCCTTGACGATACCGTCGGCAATGACGAGCAAGACCTTGTGGCTGTTCGGGTAGTCTGTCGTGGCGAGCGAGTCGAGGGTAGTCCGGAGACCTTCGAAAGATTCAGAGTATGCAGTGACCAGGCAGATGGACTGCGCCAGCGGGAAGCCGAACGGCTGGTAGTCGGATGCAGGCTGAGGAACAACGTTGTTCAACGGGAACGGACAAACGCTGAGGCCGTTCTGCGAATCCGATACGGACGAACGCCGCGAGCCGGCGTACCACTCCTTGTTGTTCGCTGCACCCGTGAGTGATGCTGTGCTACGCGCGCCATGCAGCGAAGGGGAGCCAGGCGGCGAGTCGCGTGGGGAGCTAAAGCCGAGTCGGGACACACGTGTAGCGGGGCTGCGGTTGCCGCCTCCCTTCTCCGACGCTGATGAGCCACTGGCGCCGGCGGCGCCACGGCTGGGCGAACTGTTCTTGGCCGGGTTGCTCATAAGCGGGTTGACCGTGCTGAAGCGGCTGGTGGACGGGAGGAAGGCGCGCGACTTGCGCGCATTGGGACGGTAGCCGGCCGGCGCAGGGCGGTAGATGTCGTTGGACCACTGTTCGATCTCTGCGGCGCGCTTCATGCGCTGCTCGTAGGTCTGGCTCTTGCCGTACGTGCCGAGGCGCCAGGAGAGGAACCAGCCAAAGATGACCGCCATGAGGAACTTGATGGCAACGACGCCGATGATGAAGACGAGCGAGATGTACAGCTCGACCTCGCTGGCTACGCAGCCGATCGACTCGGAGTCGACAAAGCCGACCTGGACAATCTGCTTGAGGCATTGCAGCACGCTGTCCTGCTTCGAGCGCATGACCGATGCCGTGACATCGCGCCCGGCCCACGTCTCGTTCCTCTTTTTGACCTGGTCGAAGAGGGCCGGGTAGTTGACATTGGCCGTATCGATCAACTGCAGCCTGTCAAAGTCGAGCACAGCACCCTTCCATACGACTAAGTTCCTCGCGGTGTTGGTGATGTTATCCCAAGTAAAGTAGACCTGACCCTGCTGCGCCCACCCGGCGCCGCTCTGCTTGCCCATGAAATCGGTGCGCACGCTGCTCGAGTGGCACATTTCGGTGGGGGTATTGCCCTTGTAAAAGGTGGTTGAGCTGTTACCGTTGATGATGTAGCAAGGGAAGTAGTTGGCCGGACCGCCGGCTGCGCTCTTCGCCGCAGTGGAGCCAGCCTTGAGGGTGATGACTTTGCTGCAAGCGCCGTCGACGCGCTGGAAGAGCAGACTGGCGTCTCGGCCACCAGTGAGCCACGGTTCCGAGTAGGCGATGGCAGTATGGTTCGCGGGACCGCTGGCGTTGAAAATACCGGTTTGTGGATGGTAGAACCTGTTGAAGTCGTAGTCATAGCCGTAGAGGGTGGTCGAGCCCAGGTCGATATCACCAGCGACGTAGCGGTTGGGTGGCTTGGGGCAGACAGTCTGCGTGAAGCCAAAGGTGAGGAAACCGACGGCCCCCATGCTGAGGGCGATGATACCGATGAGGCCCAACTTTTCTCGCCATGCGCGCTGCTGCTCCGGCGTGCGAATCCCAAAGCACTTGAGAAACGGAGACGGACAGCAGATGGTCAGGATATAGCAGTAGATCATCCAGGGGCCTACGGGACCAGGTGCGATGCTGGATTGCTTGTAGTCGCCCAGATCTCGGGGGACTTCGCGCTTATCGCCCTGGCTCTTGGAGCGGCGGAGGGAGACGCCGCGTTTGAGCACATTGATCGCGCTCTCCACTTGGTCCTCATCCCTGCCCAAGATGGACTTGCCCCTTCGGAGGCCGCCGCCAGCCCCAGGCGGCGGAGCTCGCCCAAGACCTCCCGGAGGCACGTTGGGATGCAGCACGCCGAGGCCGCCAGGGTTGTTCGCGGGAAGCATCCCGAGCCCGCTCAGGCCGCCTCCTGGGCCGACCATGCTGTCGATCCCAGCACCTCCAGGCATGGCGCCGTGCTGCGGCAGGTGCCCCGTCGTGGACGGCATGTATCCCACCCTGCTCGGCTGCCCGGTGCCAGCCTGCTCCATCTGTGCTGCATGGTTACGATAGTACCATTGGCGATGATTTGGATCCATGCGCTCGCGATCCGGTCGGACGAGCGACTTCTTCCTCCGAAAGTTGGGGTTCGGGTTGGCGGCTGAGAAGCCGCTTTCAGGGTCATACTGCTGGGAGAGAACGGGTAGGTTGTCTTCGAGCATGGCCCCTGTGGCGCTCGGCTTGTGATCGTACTTGGCCTGGGCGGACAAGGGAGGCGCGTGGGATGGAGGGGGAAAGGGCCCATTTCCAGGTGGCGGCTGCTGCTGATGCATTGGAGGTCGAGTTGGTTCTTGGAACGAGATGGTCTGCTGGAAAGAAGGCGGCCGCTGTGGCGGGGGCGGTGATCCATGCTGCAAGGAATAGTGGTGGCTTGAAGAAGGAGCGTAGTGGAAAAAGCTGCCGCCCATGTAGTCGGGAGCTCCTGAAGAGGAAGGGGGAGGTGGGGGATGAGACATGGTATGCTGGACTCGCATGGGAGGCGAAAATGTACCGGCCGAGCTAGGGTGTCCGCTGGAGCTGACGCTTGTTTGACGAAGACCGACAGATGAGGGTGGATGCGATGCGGTGCTATGATAGGGCTGTTCGTACTGCTGAGAGGATCGAGGATCCCTAGGCCCAGCCCCGGCGCCGGAGCGAGGGGATGGTGGGAAGCTCATCGCCTCTGTCTCGCAAGGGCGATGACGATGACGATGACGATGACGATGACGATGACAAAGCCTTGTGTTTGCCTGCTTTGGCAACGAGGTGCCCTGACTCGCTCCCTGCTCGAGTTTGAACCGCGACGGAACGGGCTCCGTGCTCGAGAAGCGGCTGACGAGAGCGTCTTCAAGCGTCGCAACCCCTCGTTCAGACTTGATAAGTTGGCTAATAGGAAAGACGACAGGTGCGGGGATGGATGCGAAGCTGATGCTGGTGCTGATGCAGACTGACTGACTGTCTGCGCTGCCTGCTCTCCAGGAATAAATTGATGACAGGGATTCGGAGGTAGAAGAGATGCGCGCTGGGCGACACCTGCCGTGAATGAAGGAAAGCGAGATGGTGCATTCGACTGACTATAAGCAAGCGTCAAGGATGACATCGACAAACGAGAGCCGAGAGTCGCACACACTTGGTGGCTGGAGGGGAGTTTTTAGAGAGTGCTTCAGTGCCAAAGCAAGCAGGCAATCAGAAAGGGGAACCCCCCCTGAGAGAAACAGCCTATGTCAACCCTCTCCCACCAGCCGAGCGAGCGTGAGACAGACATGGTACAGTCAACGTGTGAGTTTCATCCGCGGGGATACAATGCGATGCTACGCCAATTCGCCTGCTGAGTGAGAGAGACATGTGACTGGCGCCGTGCTGGCAAACCCCTGACAAGGCGAGCTTGCAAGAACCCTATTCTGATCAAATGGGTTCGCGCGCGCATCTGCATTCTCTGCGCTTCCAATCACCAAGGTAATTGATGGTTGTGGGTCTGCGTACCGTGAATTTTTATAGGTATTCGAGATCAAGCAGCGAAGCTCACAGTGCACTCTGCACTGCACTCAACTCATTGCGATCAATGGCAGTGGTGCACAAACACTGCTTCGTCTCTCTCCACTCTCTTGCCCATGATAGATGAACAGATGGGCATACTTGATTCTCCGCTAGCGAAGCCGTCTGCGTGAAGACAGTGGTAGGCTGTGTTGAAGCACTGCAGTGCAGGACAGTCAGCCAACTTCGGCGCCGTCTATCATCTTGTCAGACGTTCATGGCAGCCCGTGTTTGTGTATCATACCCCTCGTTCTTGAAAGCAGACCTTGGTGGAAGGCTGACGACGGCCAGCATGCAAAGCGCCCGCAGCTGCAGCAGTGGTGCACGCCTTCGAAGAGTAAGCAACGATACATCTTGCCTCATCGAGCTGCCTTACTGCTCATCGACGTTCGATCAGGATTCCGATCGCTATTATTCGATTGCTCGTGTCGTTAAGTCCTGCTGCAGACTGTACTCGCACCCCCAGACACTGTGGCTCACACCGTGTCGCCCCCACATCGTTCTTCGTTGCATGCCCGCATACATGTACGCCGTCCTGTGCGCGCTGCCTTCTACCTCGACAATTGGTATATCAGTAGTTGTTAGACATCGCTCAAATTGCCTTTGCAGCATCCTGAGACATACAGGTCCTCGCACCAGGCTTGAGTATTGGTAGGACCGTGTCAGACATTGACGAGCTGCACGAGGTGGAAGGCCAGCTTCGTCACGCGATGCCGGAGGAGTTCCCATCTTCACCGCGTAGAAGGCCTCGCACATGGTAAAGAAAAGCCTTTCGCGGGCCGTGCGGGCCGCAGATACGAGTCGCAGGAAGGAACCCCACTTCTTCACAAGCTGCCGACATATAACGGACTTCTCACGATCTCGTCTCCCGGGGTCGCTCGTGACGCCATACGATTGTGGTTCGCTGACCTGCCCGAGTTCAGCGTTATGCATTCTGGATTGCTAAGCGACATCAAGATCATACACCTTCTCACACGCGAGTCAGCCCTCGTCAATGAACCGGCTTGACCCGAGCTTCAAGGGTGCTATCGCGTTTGTCGGGCGCTCCGAGGGTGATGCAGCAGACGATGACGACGCACTATTCAACCCTGCCGCAGAGAATCAGATGAGGAGCGATTGCGACGTCCTGCTCTATTCTCCACATGGCCTTGCTGCGTCCTCGGCGCCAGACTGGGTCTCGAGCGCTCGGTGATGGACGCTGCATAGACCGGCAATTGATGCCGTACTACTTCGACGGCCCCATCGCGCTCGGCTTCGCACAGAATGGCCTGCCACAGTGAAGCACAGCGTCTTTCTACCCGCAGACGTACCTCACAACGAGCACAAGCAAGCGCGCAGCCTCGTCAGCTGACTAGGCTGTACGATTACCCGCTCGAGACGGCTGAGGCGCTGTTGCACACACAGTGGGCGCAGGAGGACGAGAGAGAGGCGCAAGCTACACATGCGTAATATATAGGGCGAACTACTCGGCAGACCGAGCTGAAAGTGGACGTTGTCGGGGAGGTCTGTTAGCTCGAATCCGAGCAAACAGGCTCTGCATCATCATGCAATTATGTATCCATAGTATCTCATCTCACCATTTACCCGCGCCTAACAGTGCGTGGCGCGACATGCCGTTGCGTGTATGCAAAACAACGCGACTGAACACGGGTTTGCCGTTGCTCGTCAAATGTCGATCAAAAGGACAAGGCAACGGGGCTAAGGAGAGCAGGTAAATTGAAATGAATAAAGGAGGGGAGTACGGAATTGGTGAGAGCTGCTCCCGCCGTTCTCAGACTGTTTTTGGACATTTTTTGCAGATAGAAAAAAAAACTGAACGAAAAGCGCACTCGATGAGCGGCGAGGCGTCAGTCATCCCGCAGTTTTCAGCACAATTAGTGTGAGCACAGGCTAGAAGCACAGTCGGAATTTTCCTAGGATGCCCATCATGTGATGAAGTTGTTGATGTAGCAGGTCGAGGGAGCTCGTAGCTCGATGGGCTGCAAGCCAGCACACCCTTGCGAACAAGTGTGCATTGGACGGATGCGAGTTGGGGTGCGAGCACGAAGATCCAGCTTCAAAAAGAAGCTGCGAGCTTGCATCGACATAAACGCAGCCACCGACCCGACCCGCCTTTGAATCGCCGTAACCTCCACAAGTGGAGGCATCCCAAGCTCCATGCCCGAGCGCACGGACAAGCGGTGGCCCATAAGAGCCACAGACCGTCCGCACCATGATACCACCATTACCTGGCGATGGCGGGATCGATGACCCTGGAGCAGCATCACTTGCCGCCGGGCAGGATGGCGACACTCAGAAGCAAAATCAGCAACACGCAGTCAAGCTCTCCACAGATGCCGATGAGTCTGGCCTTGGGCCCGGGGATGCTGTCCCTGGGCCTACATCTGCCGACGATGCCGCTTTGATAGCCGCAGTCACAGCGGCTGCAGCTGCAGTCTCTGCAAATGCTTCTACATCACAGGTTCTAATGACAGGCATCGAAGCTATTGCTGGATCTCAGCCACATGAGGACACCCAGTCTTTGGGATTAACGACTGGAGCTGCAATGGCCATTAGTGACGAAGATCAGCTGGCCAAAAGTCTTGCGTTCTTCCATCAGCTGGCGGCAGAAGGCGAGTTACCTGCTGTCGGTATCGAGGCGCAGTCTGGATTTCCAGGAGAACACGACCAGGATGAACACATGCTGGATGTGTTTAGCGAGCAGGGACAGGCTGCCGAGCATGCCCAGGACGATCTTCTATCAGCCTTTACCAGCGCTGCGCAGTCTGTGGACGGCGACGACATCGGCATGGGCACCGGAGCGGGTGTCAGTAGTCAGGAAGATAAAAGCATCGGGGACTGGGCAGAGGTGCAACTGCAGAACGTACAGCTTCCGTCGTCACCAGTGACAGAGGATGGACACGGCGCCACACGTTTGCCACCTGACACAGGCGCGCAGCCTCCCAGAAAGAAGAAGCGGAAAAGCGGGCGGAGAGGGGTCAAGAATGGCGAGCTTACACCTTGGCTTTGTACAGAATGTGGGCAGAGGTACAGCCGAGCCGAGTTCCTTCGGCGACATGCCCGAACACGTGAGTTTACGTGGGAGCGCACACCTTCGGTCAACATAATGGTGCAGCTGGGCTGATGGTCTGACATTCATCTCGTATAATAACAGACGAGAAAGCCAAGCCTTGGCTGTGCCATTGCGGTAAGAGTTTCGGACGTAGCGACGTGCTCACGCGGCATCGGAAGCAATGCAAAGAAGCGGAGCCCCTCAATCACACGCCAGGCGGCGTCGGCACAAACAAGGGAGGACGGCCGAAGGGCCAGTCATGCGCTCAGCTTCCGGCCTCCAGCAATCGGGATGTCGCGCTTGCGCAGCAGCCGCAAGTGCAGATGCAGGAGTTCCCCTCTTCTCAGCCGATGTATCTGCACTCCACGCAAGCGGCGCATCTCCTGGCAGAGGCGCAAGGGACGGAGACGGGCGCTGCCGTCACCGCTGCAGCCGCATCAGCCCCGTCGCAACAGGATTTCTGGGACGTGATCGAAACGAGCATCGCGCAACACACTGCCGAGCTCGCTCGAAAGGCGCAAGATAAGGTTGCTGCCGCCCCGGACCAAGGGGTGGAAGCGGAGCCGAGGCCGGGGCCTACGCCAACGGCGCTGGAGGACATGCATGGCCTAGTAAAAGACGACAAAAAGGGCAGCAGCGAAGGGCGCGCTCTGGCGGATGACACAGCCGCGCTCGCAGCTGCAGTCTCTCATGCATCTCAGAGGGATGGCGTCTACGCCATCCTGGATTTCACGCACGATGCTGCGAGTGACAACAGCGGTTGTATTGCGCACGCACAGGCACACGCACACGAGGCCTCTTCGCACATCGATTCTGCGCAGGGAGCATCGAGAGTTACCCCTGCCGATACTGAGGGACCCGCGAACGTTATTGGTGGCGGCTCAGCCTCTTCGCTCACTGCCGGCGTCTCGGCGTACGCGAATGCGTTCAGCAACGAGCGGAGCAGATCACCGGTGGCTGATGTCGCTATTGCTGCTGCGTGGTCACCGTTACGAAGCGCCAAAAGTATCGTTTCTTCCGACCCTGCGCTCGCGGATTGGACCCTGGCAGGGCATGCGGGCGCTGCGCCTTTGGACATGAGCCACGCGCGTAGCCTAGGCGGCGACAACAAGGGAAATGAAGCGCCACAGGACTCGCTTCAGCGGCCTGAAGCTCGTGGTCACATCGGGGAGGTGGAGGCGACGGAGGCTAATGACCACGCCGAAGTCGCATCCGAGAGCTCGGGCGAAGTTGCAGAGCTGGGCGCGGGAGAGCGGCTGCGGGAGGAAGCGCAGCGTAGGGGGTGCCAGTTAGAGGAAGCTGGACGCCTGAGGAGCGGAGAGGCTCAGCAGCAGCAGCCACCACCATCACAATCACATTCGCAAGTGCAAACATCAGTGGTGGACGTGTCGATCGGGGGTCCAGCAGCGAGAATAAGCGCTGACCAGCAACAGCATGAGCGGGACTGGACGACGGTCACATGGGATGCACCAACTCTGAATGCATGCTAGCCGATGAACTTCGTTCTCCAAACCCATGCAAAGGGAGCTTCCCTGGGTTCGACTCCGGTCATGATGGCCCAGGACACCTCTTTCATTCGCTGCGCGATCAGCATCTCTATCCCTCCGTTAATCGTTCTAATTGCATGCCCCCATCCGTTTTTCTTGGCCATGACCATCTACACCATTGCACTTACTTCACATACAAAAATTTGCATTTGCATTGCATGTAACACACATATAGTAGAATGTATGTATTCTGAGAGCACACCAGACTCCCTAATGATGGACGTCTAATATACATATGCTGAAGAATTGAACCCGTGGACTTTTGGCGGGGAGCGAAGCCCTCTCCAGAGTGGCGATAAGGATGATCCGAATGACGGCAGAAGAGTCAGGTGCAGGTCAGGCTCTCTCTGCCTCGAGTCGTCGGCGGCTATCGCTCACTGGAGCAGTTGAGGAGACAATAATCTGTGCAGCCTAGCGCAGCCTAGCAGCTTTCCAGTTTCCAGGCTTCAGCATACCGTGCTCGAGGGAGATGTCGATGAGTCCGTGGCGAGGTAGCTACGGATAAAGCAGGCCAAAAGACTCAAACAGGACTCTGCGCCTCCACCGTGGAGTGGGAGGCACGGGCCACGCACAACGCACCACACGGCGCACGTCGCACACTACACACAGCACACTGCACTGGGCCAGTTTATTGTTCTCTCAGCAGTCAGTCACCCACACGCCATCGGCCCCGTCGGAGGGTTGGTCGCGCGCCGCGGAGGAAGGGGGAGAGCGCACTGAGAGAGACAGGAAGGGCAAGGCTGGTGAAGAGAGTGGAGACTTCAAGAAGACAGACACCCCCCGACACGCATCCTTCATCTGCCTTCAACGCAGCCATATAGCATCGACCACCATTCCTTGGTTGCGCTGAGCAGTGTCAAAGAAAGAAAAGGAAGGGGGAACGAAGAGATCAGCCTGGATAAGTGGACATCGCATCAGCACCGACAACAGAAGTGCGCACCCAACCCTGGCCGCCATCATCATGAAGTTCCACCTCACAAGCCGACAAGCGCTGCTCGCCGCCGCCGCCCTCGCCGCTGGCGCAACGCTGACCACAGCAGCAGCAGACGCGGACGCTACCGCTGCCGGGCCAAGCGATGTCCTCACCCTGACAAAGGACACTTTTAAGGCCAGCGTAGACCCAGAGGTGAGTGTTGTAAGGGAATGGTACTGAGTGTGTCGATGAGGCGGGTGGCTCGCATTGCCACAAGCGGAGGCATTGCCGTATGCGCCACCACAGCTGCCGTGCTGTCTTTGGCTTCTTCGCTCACCTTCGCATCTTTTCTTTTTCCCCCTTCACAGTCTCTTATGCTCGTTGAGTTCTTTGCGCCTTGGTGCGGTCACTGTCAGGCTCTTGCTCCTCAGGTGATTGCTGCGCTGTGTAGAATGAAAGGGTGGATGCGCTAACAAAACACTTCATATGCGTATGCTGACCCAAATGTGCTTTCCCCTCTCCTTACAGTACGAGGTGGCAGCCACAGAGCTCAAGAATGAGAGCATCAAGCTGGCCAAGGTCGACTGCACAGAAGAGCAGGACATCTGCAGCGAGCATGGCGTTGAGGGGTACCCGACCCTCAAGGTCTTCCGGAAAGGCACCCCGACCGAATACACCGGTCCGCGCAAGAGCGATGGCATCATCAACTACATGCGCAAGCAGGCCCTTCCCGCCGTCTCTATCGTCACCGCAGAGAATGTGACCGAGTTCAGCAAAAAAGACAAGATCGTTGCCATCGCCTACGTTACCTCTCCTAGTGAAGCCGAGACGTTCCACAAGTTGGCAGACGAGCACCGTGACTCGTTCCTCTTTGGTCTCAGCACCGACTCTGGGGCGGCCGCCAAGACAGGTGCGACGGTACCGTCGATCGTGCTATACAGGACCTTTGACGAGCCAGAAGTCGTCTACCCCGGCAAGGCCGACTCGCTGGACGAGCTGACGTCGTTCCTGAAAGCGCAGAGTGTCCCCATAATCGATGAGGTTGGCCCAGAGAACTTTATGACCTACGCCGAGGCTGGCCTGCCCCTCGCCTACTACTTCACCAAACCCGACTACGCAGGCAAGGACAAGGACCTGGAGGCGCTCAAGCCGCTGGCCAAGGAGCTTAAGGGTAAGGTCAACTTCGTTTGGATCGATGCCGAGAAGTTTGTCAACCACGCCAAGACTCTCAACATCCAGTCTGAAGACTGGCCCGCGTTCGCGATCCAGGACATACATGCGCAGACCAAGTACCCACTCGCCAAGACGGGCAAAGACCTGATCAAGGCGGTCCCCGACTTTGTCAAAGACTTCACTGCCGGCAAGTTGACGCCATCGATCAAGTCGGACCCGACGCCCAAGACGCAGGACGGGCCAGTGCACGTACTTGTCGCGGACGAATTTGACAAGGTTGTCTTCGACGACAAGAAGGACGTCCTCGTCGAGTTCTATGCGCCATGGTGCGGGCACTGCAAGAAGCTCGCGCCGACGTATGACACACTCGGCGAAAAGTACAAGGCGCACAAGGACAAGATTGTCATCGCCAAGATGGACGCCACAACCAACGACATCCCGCCATCGGCCGGATTCCAGGTCGGCAGCTTCCCGACGATCAAGTTCAAGCCCGCCGGCGGCAAGGAATGGATCGACTTTAACGGCGAACGCACGCTCGATGGCTTCGTCGAGTTCATCGGCCTTAACGCCAAGAATACTATAGACGTCAAGCTTGACAGCGCCAACACCACTGGCGCTGACGAGGCCGCCGCTGCAGCGGATCCCAAGCCAGCCCATGCGCACGATGAGGTGCGTTCTTGGCCGCGTGCGGCGCTTCCTCCTGTGGGAAGGGCATTCCATGACTGACATACCTTTTGATGTTTCTCGCCCTCGCAGCTTTGAACGCGCGCACCTCTGTGTCGTTCATTCTCCCCTTCGACGCCTTCGTCGTCACAAACTAGAGCAGGCTGTTTCCCGGCTTCGTCGGACAGCAACGGTAGTGCACAACCCTTTTCTTCCATTATCAAACTCTTTCTTCATATTTTCTCTCTCCTGTCTTCCTTTCAGTTTGTCACTGGATGCAAATCAATCAACTGTATTTTTCGTCTCTGAGACAGGCGCAAAGAAAGTGAAAATCGAAAAGGCCAGCTCAGAAACCATGAGCTGGCCTCTTTAAAGATTGGTGGTGGCTGCATATACTCTACAATGTCCGCGGCACCTCGAAGGTATTGTAGCATTGTATGACGTCGTCAACCATGATGTTCTCGAATCCGTCAAAGGCCATGCCGCATTCCGTTCCCTTGCGCATCTCCTCGACGTCCTTCTTGACGTGCTTGAGCGTGTCGAGCTTGCCGTCAAAGATAATGCTGCGCTCCTTGCCGCGCAGGATGCGCACGCGCGCACCCCGGTTCACCACGCCGTTCGTTACACGGCAACCGGCAATGTTGCGGAAGACGCGTGCGCGCACGTTTATCGTAAAGATCTGTGCCACACTCGCTTCGCCCAGCACACGCGTCTCAATGCGCGGTGGCAGCAGCGCCGCCACCTGTGCGCTCACATGGTCCATCAGCCGGTAGATCACTGTGTCAACGTGGATGCCCACCGGTGGCGTCAGACGCGCAGCGGACTTGATGAGCGACGAGGAAGGCGAGAGGTTGAAGCAGATAATCGACGCTTCCGACGCTTGCGCGCGCGACACGTCGCCCTCCGACGGTTCGCCGACGCCTGATGCGATGATACGCACACCCGCTTCGTTGTTGCCGAGCCCTTGAATCGCACCGACGACCGCTTCGACCGTTCCGCTGACGTCCGCCTTGACGAGCAGGCGAAGCTCCTTGCGTCCCTCCGTTCCGCCTCCTTCCGCCTCTTCCTCTTTTGCTGCCGTTCCCGCTGTCGAGCGCGAAGCATTCGACAGCAGCTGCTGCGGGCTGACGAACGGCTGGCCCGTGAGCGGGTCGATCTCCTGGCCTGCGCGCTGCGCCCTTCTCCTCACACGGTCTCCATATGCTTCCTGCTTAGCGCGCTCGTCATCTTCGGCCTTGAGTCTCCTGCTCTCGTTGATATTCTCTGCGTCCTTCAGCAGCGCGCGACGCGCCTGCGCCTCCTTGCGGTTCTCCGCGGCACGCTTGACGTCCGCCTCGGATGTGCTGCCGAGCAGCTCGTCGCCTGCAGTCGGCAGCTCACGCCAGCCGGCGACGAGCACCGGGTCGCCAGGGAAAGCGATGCGCACGACTTTGCCGGCACCATCGAAGATCTGACGCACTTTGCACCAGCTCGTTCCGGCAATCAGGCAGTCGCCCGGTTTGAGCGCCCCGCGCTTGACCAGCACGGTCGCCAGGTTACCACGCCCCTTCTCGACGCGCGACTCGAGCACATAGCCCTCAGCAGGCCCGGTGCGCTCGGCGCGCAGCTCGGCGAGCTCGGCGAGCGTGGCGAGCGTCTCTTCCAGCAGGTCCAGGCCCGCGCCCGTCTTGCCGCTCACCTCGACGCACGGAACGTCGCCGGCAAACTCCTCGAGCTCGACACCTCGTGCGAGCAGGTCGCGCTTCACACGCCCCGGGTCAGCGTCTGGCTTGTCCACCTTGTTGAGCGCGACGACCAGCTGAAGGGGAGAGTGCGCCTGACCGCCTCTGCTGCCTTTGCGCTGGCTCTGGCTCGGAGTGGAAGATCCCTCGGGGAGCTCCGCTAGGTCCTTCCACAGCTCGATCACCTCCTCCGTCTGCGGCATCACACCGTCGTCCGCAGCGACGACAAGGACAATGATATCCGTCACACTGGCGCCTCGCGAGCGCATGGCGGTGAACGCGGCATGGCCAGGCGTGTCGAGAAAGGTGACTGTCTTGACCGCATCTCTTGAGGATGCTCCGCCTTCATTGGCAGCTGCTGCACCGACCGGCACACTGAAAGCACCGATATGCTGCGTGATCCCGCCTGCTTCGCCCTGTGCGACGCTCGTCTTGCGCAGGGTGTCGAGCAGCGTCGTCTTGCCGTGATCGACATGGCCCATGACGGTGACGATCGGCGGGCGCAAAGGCAACTGCGCGCTATCGGCGCTGTCCGGATCCAGAGCTGGGCGTGGGTATATGTCGAATGCCGCCGCATCGTTGGCGACGGCTTCAAGGTTATACTCGAGTGCGAGCAACTCGGCTTGCTCAAACTGCAGCATGGCGTCCGGCCGCGTGTCAGTGAGCCCAACTGACTGGACCATCGTGCTTTGGAGCGAGCCTACCATGATATACATCAATTACAGATCGGTTCCATTCATAAGATGAAGAGCTTTGCAAGGCGGGGACTCACGCATTCGGACGCCAAGCAGTCGGGCCAAGTTGCTGACGGTGATGACCGAAGGTAGGAACACCTGTGTTTTCGGCTTGGGAGCAGACTTTGATTTTAGCTGTGGCTGGGTCGGCGACTGGGGGAACTTTTTGGTCGCTACAAAGGGAGAAGATGGCAAGGAAGAAGACGCAACGAGATGCTGAGACCAGTCTCGTGCCGGGAGCTTCCGTGATGGTCGTGACTGATTTGACGAATGTTGTGCCGCTGATTGCGGTCCCTTGCGAGCCCGCTGCACACCGCTGCCTCCCGAGGAGTCTCCAAAACGCCTTTTCTCTTGCTGCACCTGACTTCCTTTGCGAGGAGGTCCGCTCTCCTTCCCGCTTGCACTCCTCCGAGATTTTGAGGGATGGGGGGGTGCGGCAACCGCCGAGTGTGCTGAGTAGAGCCTAGATGGAGGTAGGCGTCGACCGAGAGATGGGGCGAGCAAGGAGCTTAGAAAAGAGCATAGCGGACATGATGGCACACGAAGAATCATGATAGGTATATCAATGGCTCTGCTTGTTCTCCCGGCTGCTCCTGCAGCAGCAGCTGCTGCCGCTGCAGCGGACGATCGCGCAAACATCATCGACGACGCAGTGTCTTTCGCGCAGCTGTGTCTGAAGGGTGGGGCTACCTGGGTTTGCTTTGTCGGCAGCTAATAGAGAGGACCGTTTCAAATGCAAACTGCTGCCAATATTGTTCTTCGAGTCTACGGTATCTGCAGCATGCCAGCCGGCTCTGAGGCAACATCTCCTGGTTGATAATGGTATCGCGAAGAATCGATCGATCGACAGTGACACAAACGGCGAAAGCAAAAAGCTGGGTGTTCACCCTTTGGACTGGACATTCGGTGCAACCCCTACATCTACTATCATGTTGTATCTCGGCCGAGAAGCAACGCGATGCGCTTTGTGAAAGAGCGACACCCTGCAGCTCAATCCCGCGACCGGTGCATTGGTCGCCGGTGACCGAGCCTGTCGTAACTCCTATATATACCAGCTTGACATACGAAGGGCTGTTACGATTTACGAGGCCCATCGTTCATCGCATCGCCGAGAAGCCATTGCGAAGCTAAACGGTCCGAAGGAAAGGTAGAGCGGCTGAACGTAGAGTCATTCAGCACGTTTCTCCCACCTATTAGCCAGTCTCAAAGGGACCTCTTTCCCGGACGCCGCCCAAACACCATGTCATCCTTCGCGTTGTACTTCCCTGGCGCGACCACGACCACATCATCATTAGCGGGGGCATTGTCCAAACCGTCCACCGTCCGCCTGACCGTGCCCTCGCCGGGGCTATTCTTGCTGACTTTTACAGGCGGCGAGACGCCAGACAACCGCCTGACGGCTCACTTCCTCTCTGCCTTCCTCGAAGCACTCGAGTACGTGCAAGCGAAGTGGGAGGCGATTTCTGATGGTAACGTAGAGGGCGCCGACGTCGCGAAAGGTGCAGCGCTCGTCACGACGGGTCAGACGGAAGCAGGGAGCAAGTTCTTCAGCAATGGCCTCGATCTCGAGGCTGCCATCGCCGACCCTGAGTTTTTTGACAAGTACCTCAACCCGGTCTATGCCAAGCTCATGAGGTTCCCCATCCCGACTGTCGCCAGTCTCGGCGGTCATGCATTTGCAGCTGGTTTTGGGCTCGTGAGTCATGTAGCGGGTCTCCTTTGCTCTTGCCTGGTAAAACTATTCAAAGCGACGCTAACTGTCATCAGCTGGGCTACCAATTCGCAGGCTATGGCGCACGATTACCGGGTCATGTCTGGACGTCGTGGCTTCCTATGCATGAACGAGTGAGTCTGCGTTGACCCGTTCTCCACTCTCCATATTTTCCAGTGCAAGCGCTGGAACCGGAATTCGCTCATCCTACCCCTTCTTCAGGATCCACTTTGGCGCTCAAATTCCCGCAGGCCTGCTCGCGGCCCTGCAGTCCAAGATCCCGTCCGCAAAGACCATCAGAAAGGTTGTCCTCGAGGGCCACCGATTCGACGGTAAGGAGGCGCTGGCGCTCTCGCTCGTCGATCACCTCGCACCTGCGCCCGCTCCTGACCCAGCAGCAGACAAGTCCGACGGCGGCGGCGCGGCCAAGACGCTCGAAGCGGCCGTTCGGCTTGCTGCGTCTGTGCGCAAGCTCGCCAGTAAGGATGCCTGGGGAAGTAACAAAGATGTGCTCTACGCGCCGTATTTAGCCATTCTGAGAGCTGTGTAAGTCTCGATTGTCAGGTGCATAAGGCCCGACGGGTGTCAGCTGAACTGACACACCGACCACGTCCACTCATACGCGTGCCGGCATTCCTGCATAGACACGAAGAGCTCATGTCAAAACTGTAGCGCTCGAAATTCTGGCCTAGTTTCTCATTGTACTGTACATGTACACTAGCGCACTGCAGTCATTGGAACGTTCACGCGGAGGCCCCAAGGTTCTGCGAGGAACACCTCCGCTATCGTCCCATGAGTCATATGTCTTTTGAGACCTTTGTCACACGCCGACATGTTGCCGGTGCTGCGTCTCACGCACCCTCCGAGCCTTCGCAAGCGCCCTCAGCTTTGTCTCCCTTTTCTTGCGTTTCGTCTCCTGTGCCTTGTGCGCGATCTGCTTTGCCCTGCTCAGCGGCGACCGCGGCATCGTCATCGTCGTCGCCTGAAGATCTCCTTGCGTTCCGTCGCCACGTTGGTCGTCACTGCAGCCATCATCGAGCTCCTCGCCGTGATCAGCAGCGGAGGCGGACGCAGCGGCGCCTTGCTCAACTTCGACCGAACTGCTATGGTCCGAGCGTGACGTACCTTCGACGACGACGTCGACAGGCGCGTCTGGCGTATGCTCCGCGAGCTGGGACCCGCGGACTCGCGCATGGTCTGCTTCTTCAACGATGAACAAATCTTGACTCTGAGTTGCGCAACTTAGGTCCTGGGCCGGGGCCATGTCCGCCGCAACACCGCGCGCGAGATCGAGATCGAGCTGGCTGGCACCGTAGGCCGGACTCTCACCCTGCAGCAGCTCATGCGCAGCAGGAAATGTGACGTGCACGTCGGCCTGCTTGACTGTAGATTCGTGAATATGACCATGGCCCGCATCGGCTGCTTCTGTGTCTGCGTTTGTGAGCTGAGATGTGTCACCAGCGGCGTCGACGGCGGTCTCATCCCCATTTTGAGTCCTTGCACTCTTGGCCTGCCCTTTCTCCTGGGCTGAGCCGGAGCCATAATTGGCAGCGCGGCTGATTTTCTTTCTGGTGAGAGTTCTGGGCATGACTTGGGGCCTCTCCCCTTTGTTAGATTTATTGGTTGAGATTGCCTTACTGAGGACTTGGATTGCGTCGCCGAGCTCGTTGCTTTGGCGTGTTTTGCCTTGGATGAGCAAAGATAAGAGAATGATAGGGAATGTTAGACCTTGTCAAGGTGGAGCAGTTGTCGAGTCGGCTGTAGGGACCAGCGATGGCAATGGAAATGACGAGGAACTAGGCAAGCAAATGGGATCATGTACGTGCATAATGGATTGAAGTATTAGATATTTGCGTCAGCGCGGCAGCGGCGATCTGTGGAAGATGATTCAGCATAAGCAACAGCCGGATGGAGCGGAGCGGCAGAGTGCCCACAAACGAAAGGCAAAGGGGAACCTTGTACATGTTTACTTGTGCCGTTTAAACCGTTCATCAGGAGAAAACCCGCAAAGACCCACGAAGAAGCAGCACCTTTTGCGTGGTATACATTTACTCGACGCGCGCGCTCAGAGCGGCCCGAGTACATCGCAGATGACCGGCACGTGATCACTCGGTCCATAAACCTCATGCCTGATCTCGCACTGCTGGACGAAAGCCCTGCTCTTGTCGGAGCCAAGCGCCCGCTCACTGATGATGAACGAGTCAAGTCTCCAGCCGATCCCTTTCCCTCTGCATGCTCCGCGAAAGCTATAAAATGCTGCCAAGAGAGATGTATTTGCGGGATCGCTGGATTGTCAGCTGAGAGGACGGTGACAGGCGCAACTTTCAAGGGCTAGATGACTTACTAAAGTGTCCCACAGCATCAGGATGCGATACCCGCCATACGTCTACCAGTTTCCTCCCCTCGCCCCGATCTTTCCCTTCAAGCAACACGCGGTGCGCATCGCACTCGATCTTGCTATAGCCAGGCTGCTTGTTCCACTTCTTCTTTGGGGCAGACAGGTCGCGTTGGTCCAGCATGACGTTCAGATCGCCACACCAGATTACTGGTTTCTGCGCATCGAGCTCTTTAATGTACTCGGCGAATGCGGCATTCCACTGCTGCTTGTTACTCATCTTTGCAAGGCCTTCCCCGGCGTTTGTGACATACGTCCCGACGAGGAAGTGTTTCGAAAATTCTAACGTGATGATGCGCCCGTTGTACTCTTTCGGGTGCAAGGGCATGCCGATGGTGGCCTTGAGCGGCTTGATTTTGCTGAATACCGCGACACCTGCGTACCCCTTCGTCTTGGCGTCGATGCCCCAGTAGCGATGCGGATATGCGCTCAGGCCGGGGTGCATGTCCGGGGCTTCGTTGACCTGCGAATGAAGCCATGGCCAGCACGAACGTAGTGAGCTAAGAAGAGCTTGGTCGACAATAAACCTGCATACCTTGGTTTCCGTCAGCACGACAATATCCGGCTGCTCCACTTCGAGATACTTGAACAGCCCCTTCTTCTCGCACGAGTTGAAGCTTGAGACGTTCCAGCTGACGATGCGCACCTGACCTTCGGGCCGCAGAGAATATTCAAGCATCTTGTGGGCGGAGGCCAGAGAGAAAATTTCGCGAGGGATACCCCTCGCCGAGGGATTCTCGCCGTACTTCGCTGCGAACTCGGCCGTGGGAGCGGCAGGAGAGATGAGGCATTTGGACTGGTGCTCGTCGGCCTTCTTCGATCGCTTGCCACTGTTGGGCCTGTTGTCTTCTTTCTCACTAATATCAGCGGAAATAGCAGCTTCGGCTGCCGTATCGCCAGAAGGTGGCGGTTGAAGAGCGGCAGCAAGGGCAATATCAGCTGCCTCTGCCTTCCGTTTGCGACCGCTCGAGCGAGCCAGTGTGGCGTTTTTGGCAGCTGCAGACGAATCATGCGGAGAAGCTGCAACTGAAGACTTAAAAGGCTCCACCCCTTTCATCTGCTTGGACTCGCGTGCTTGCGTGTGACCTCGCGCCATGTTGGCCAGCAAGGATGGTGTAATACGAGCAGGCGAGGTGCAGGGAAGCGTGGAAAGCGCGAGTACCCTTGGAAGGAGACTCGGAGCCGGGCAGTGCTGGATCGTTCGTACGAGGCGGTATACCTTCAGCAGCGCTCGCATCTCCCGTCAGAATTGGCATTCGATGTCGCAGGTGATGCGCCTGAGACGGTCATTGGAGCATGACTGATGATAAAAGTGATGCATGATGGGGTGTACACTTTTAGGAGGAAGCAGCAGCGACCACCCTTACGTAAGCACCATCAACATGCCATCCGACATCGTCACTTCGCGACGCGTCCTGTGGCGCGTCGCGTTTCACTCATGCTGTCCTCGGTCAGCTTCCCCTTTGCAAAGACCACCTTGTGGATGTGTATTCAAGAGTATCTTGCTCGGCCCTTACACATATCTCTGCATGCTTGCTGCCACATCGAACAAGTCACCACCTCAATTCTGGGTGCGGCCAAACGGTGTAAGAGACGCCATTATGGAGCTGGAGGATAACGGTCTGCTTGGCGCACGCATCGAAGTGGATGAGGAAGAGGAGGTCGACGAGCTCGCGAGCGACAACGAAGATGTCCATCCTGGCTCTTCACCCTTGAAGCGTGCTGCCACGCCGCCCATAGACGTTCTGGAAGCGATCGACGCCAGCCTTCCCTCTGTCTCGTCCGGATTATCGCCGCACAAACAACTGTGCAGCAGCTCACCAGCAGCTGCTTACAACCCATCCTCGTCTCCCTCGACTTCCAAGCTGAGCGATGCGCAAAGGGCACTCAACTCTCCAAGTCTGCGTGTCCGCCAGCAGGCCGTTTCTGCTGCGGATACTTGGTCTCTGTCCCCTTCATCAATGAAAGGAGCGCCTCCAACGAGCAGCTTTTCGCGTTTCTCACCTGTGGGAAACCTGCAGACCATCGACGACGCGTTCAAGCGCGTGCTCTCTGCGAGTCCCACCAAAGAGTACAGTGTCTGCGATGCAGGAAAAGGAAGGGATAATCTGTTGGGGATGGAGATCGAGCTGGAAGAGGCGATTTTGGGCGAGCCGATCGAGCAAGGAGACGAAAGTACACTTCAACGGGATGACACCTGTGAACAAAACGAGACAGCAGCGGCTGCACCAGCATCTCGCACAGCTGCGCAACCGAGTAGGTCAGCACCGTGGCTACGCTCCGTGCTCCGAACGGCAGCACCACCATGCCTATCACAACAACTGCAGGCGCATGCAGAGTGCACAGCGGCAAGGGTATCCCCGACGCGAATATGTTTTGCAACAGACGTCCAAGCGATCGAGGACGCGGATGCTGGCAACTCTCTGCTCGGTATGGAAATCGATTTAGTCGACACCATCGACCCAATCTACTCTCAGGGCGACAGTGCTCTAGGACATGGGCCCGTTCCTGCGATTTCGACATCGACCACGAGCGTGACCAAGGCGCGGGATCACCACACGCGCTCAGGATTAGGTGTAATGAACACCGCGGCCACCAACACGCGCGATGTCCAGGCTGCCGAAAGCATGAGCGGTAGATCTACCGCGCCGAGTGGCCCACTGCAAACTCGCAACGACCTCTTGCCGCCCAGGGCCTCGCGCTCCAAGCCACAGGCCTTTGCTGGAGACGAAGCGGACTTGGACGACATGCTCGAGCTCGAGCTGCAACTGGAAAAGGACTGTCAGCGCCAGCGCCAGAGTGTCCCCGATGTGGATGATGATGAGGAGTTAGCATGGCTGGAAGCGCAAGGCGGCACGTCCCTACCGCGTCCTCGCGCTGCTCGTCCCCCCCCGCCTGGCGGTGCCAATCACGGCTGCGACGATATGTTTGACGACGAGCGTTTCCGTGATCTTGAAACCCTGGGCAGCGAGCAACCCTTTATTGCGTCCGCTTGCGTGTCCTCTGCAAAAACGAAGGACCTGATTCCGCCCAAGGACCTGCTGCCACCGTCCGCCGAAACGCAGCTCGACCTTGTGTCGTTCGACCGGGGCCGCCCCGGCACCGCAAGCACTGCAACGGCCAGCCTCGAGCTGCGGCCGGGATTGGGGCTCGAGTACAGCGATGGAGGCGCCGCTGGTGGGGCTGATGAGCACGTCCGCGTGGAGAAGTTCCTGGACGGCAACAGGGACGAGACGGGCTTGCCCAAGTACCTGCCCGCTGCCAGTAGCATCGCAATGTCTTTTGATGGGACGGAAGTGCGCATGCCGAGGAGACGCAGGATGAAAGGCTGGAAGGTGAGCGCCTCAGAACCGATATCTAGAGATCTTGTTCTGACCCTGCTTTCTTATTTGATGTGGACAGCTGCCGCCTATGCGCTACGGCAACGACAGAGCCGAGCTGCTCGCACGGCCCATCCATCAGATGATCGACTCGATTCGCATGGAACAAGGAATGGCAGCTGCGATCCGCGAGTCTAATGTATCTGTTGAGCGCAGCCGTCGTGGGTGGGACATCGATGTCGATACCGATGCCGACGCGGCGGACCGCGTCCTCAGCGATCAAGCGCGCGAAACGGAGGATCGCAGCCAGCCTGCCGAAAGCGACCGAGAGCAGATGTGGGTCGACAAGTACCGGCCGCGCAAGTTTCCAGAGCTGCTCGGAGACGAACGCGTGCATCGTGAAGTCATGGGCTGGATCAAGGAATGGGATCAGTGCGTCTTTAAGCGCCGGCCAAGCAAAAAGCGCCTGCGCAATTCGTACTATCCGAACAAGTACGGTGGTGGCGACAAGCCAATGCATGGTCACGGTCCGAGCGCACCGGGCGACGGCGAACAATTTACCTATCGCGATGCGTACGGCCGGCCGCAGGAGAAAATCCTGCTGGTCTCCGGTCCGCCGGGTCTGGGCAAGACGACGCTTGCGCACGTTATCGCTCAGCAGGCCGGGTACGGCGTGTTTGAGATGAACGCTAGCGATGCGAGGAATGCAGGCGCGGTCGAGGACCAGATCAAGATGGCGCTGGAGAGCGCCAGCCTCAAGGACGCGCGCCCGACACTGGTCGTCATTGATGAGATCGATGGCGCCACCGGAGGCGGCGGCGGAACAGAAGACGGGGATAGATCCAAGGGAGCAGGGGGTGGTGGCTTTATCAGGGCACTCATCAAGCTTGTCCAGAATGGCATGTCATCAGGCAAAGGAAAGGGGAAAGGCAAAGGCAAGAAGGGACGGGCGAAGCCTCTTTTGCGACCCATCATCTGCATTTGCAACGACCTCTACGCGACTTCATTACGTCCGCTGCGCCCCCTTGCCAAGCTCGTGCGGCTACAAAAGCCGCCGACGGCTCTGCTCGTCAATCGGCTGCGACAGGTGTGCGAGAAGGAGGCGCTGCAAGCGGACACGCGCTCCTTGACGCTGCTCGCAGAGCTGACTGGTGGCGACATCCGCTCGTGTCTGAACGCGCTACAGTTCGCCAAGACCAAGTCCAACTCGCTGGCCGAGGTGGACGTGCGCTCTGCCGCGCTCGACATCAAGGACGGCAGCTCGTCGGTCCAGCGCGTGTGGAGCGTGATGCTCAAGGTGCCCGATCCCAAGCAGCGCGCGCGAGGCGGCGCGCCCAAGGACGCGTTCGAGGCGACGCAGGTGATCGTGCACGAGGCGCAGCTGTGCGCGGAGTACGACAAGATCGCACAAGGCTGTTTTGAGCTGTATCCTTTGCTTACGCGGCTCAAGGACGACGGCTGGCATCGCTATCACAAGATCCACGATTGGCTCCACTTTGGCAACTGCATCAACGAGTCCGTGTACACGCTGGGCACATTCGAGCTTATGGGCTACGCACCGTGGACTTTTGTGCCGTGGCACTTTCTCTTCGCCAGCACACACAACCTCACGCCCGAGTATCCCAAGGCAGATTACGAGGTGAGCAAAGCGTCGGTCTGACTTGGGGAGGTTTCGCTGATACCTTGGGATGCTACCACGCAGGCGTACCTTCGCAAGACAGCATTCCAGGATATCGTCGGCACTCTGCATGCAGCGCTGCCGCCGAGCACGCGTGGCCAGTTCAACTCGACCTCGCTCGTCACTGAGCTGGGCCCAATGCTCATGCGCATCCTCTCGCCAAACTTGAGGCTCGTGAGTCGGGAGGATGACGTATACTGATGGAGAACATGTTTGACTTATTCGCTCATCCGTGTGCATGCAGGTCAACGCGCAAGTGGTCAAGCCAGAAGAGCGCAAGATCGTAGAAGCGCTGGTACGCATTATGGTTTCGCTGGACCTTCGATTCGTACAGTCCCGGACAGAGGACGGGCAGCTAGTGTACAAGATTGAGCCTCCACTGGACGCTTTTATTGAGTACGAGGAGAGCTCGGTGATGACGACCGTGCCAAAGCCCGCACCTGCGGCAGCGGGTACCGCGAACAAGTTCGGCATTCGTCAGATGCTTGCCAAAGAGGTGGAAGCGGCACTGGTACGTCTTAAGAGCGGCGGCACGATAGAGAAAGGCGGCGATGAGGAAAGCAGGTCCGCCAGCGGTGCCATGGCCGCTTACCGCAAGCCGTCATCAACATTGTCAGTAGCATCATTGTCGAAAAGTGCACTGAAAGACGAGCCCAAGCCGGAGAAGCTCGCCATCGACTTTTTCGGGCGGCCGGTCGTCAAGAAGCCGTCGCTGAAGCTCGGCAACGCGCCGCTACCGCTGCTGCTGGGTTCGAGGGCGGCTTTGGCAGCAGCCGCAGCGACCGCGGGTGATAAGGGCGATGCTTTGAGGAACGCAGCAGGAAAACAAACGGAAGACGAAGGGGACAATGGCGAGGAGGAGACGAAGGAGACGAAGCGTCTCAAAGTGTTTTATCGCTACCACGAGGGCTACTCGAATGCCGTGCGGCGGCCAGTGAAGCTTTGCGAGCTGCTGTAGTACAGACGCGTCGAACATGACCTTGCCATTGCTGTGTCTAGCGCGATGGAGAGGCAAACTCTCCGGCTCAGTCATCGTCCAGTTCCCAGGCATCGCCGTGCCCGTTCCCCTCTTCGTCGGTGCCCAAGCCGTCATCGCTGTCCGCGTCGAGCATCAGGCCAGGCTGGTAAGCGCCGATAAGATCCTCGAGCCGCTCGCGCACCTCCTTGAGCCCGTCGCGCCCGCCAACGACGCCACCGCCCTCGGACTCATCGAGGCCGTACATGCACAGCGGCGCGTGGCCCACGATGGCGGCGTGAACAATGCGCTTGGCGGCCGCCAGCTGGTGGTACGTCGCGGGGGTCGTGCAGAGCGAGGAGACGATGGGGACGGAGCGCGTGCAGCTACTGCTCGACGCCAGCTGCTGCTGCGTGCCACTGGATAAAGGCGGCGACGGCGGCGGTGGCAACGGGCGCCCGTCGCTAGTGACGCCGCTGAAGAAACGCGGGAAGCTATCCGGGGTAAGGTACGCGGCGGGGACAAAGGTGGTGCGCGTAAGGGGTTGCTGGAGCTGCGGGTGGTGCAGCTGCGCGAGCGCTGCGAGCGTCGGGGGTATGCTGTGCGTGTCGTGGTCGCGCGCGACGAGCGACTCGGCGAACGGGACCGGCGGTGGGCGCTGGGAGCGCGCGCCGGCACGGCCGTTGCTCAGATCGACCCATGCACGCCGGAGGCTCTGGGCGGCGTGTTGGGCAGCGTGCTGAGCGGCGTGCTGGTGCGCAGCCGCACTCGGCCCGCGCTGCTTGGGCGCATAGCCCCTCGCGGCGAGGAGCGCTTCGATCGGGTCGGACGCCGGCGGCGGCAGCAACAGCACGGGCGCGAGCAGCGGCGTGGGCAGGACGCCGGAGAGAGCGCCAATCGGCGTGCTGCGGCGCCAGTCGAGGCGCGTGAGCAGGTCTGCGGCGGACTCGCCGCTGCCGCTAGCGGAAGGGGAGCGATGCATGCGCAGCGGCAGCGTCGCTGTCTCGAGGTGTGCGGAGAGCAGCGCCGAGGCGTGGTACATGTTGCGCGGGCGGTAGAGAGGGAGATGCGGCGGCGATGACGAGAGTTCGGCATGGGAGACTGCACTGGCGCCCGCGCCGGGGGCAGCGAGGGGGACCAAGAGCCCGGCAGTGGACTGGGCGAGGAGGTCGCTGTGGAGCGCCAAGCTGAGCGCGGCGTTCATACCGCGTGTATTGTATCTGCGCAGGGCGTGCCTGCTTTTGTGGGGTGCAAGCACCTGCGTCTGCGGTGACCGTGAGGACATGGTGGCTGCGAGGAGCGTGCTGGGCCCCCACTGCGCGGCGAAGAGCAGGACGGGTGTCTTGGCGTACTCGTCGTGCAGCTCCTCAAGCATGCGGTAGGCGTAGCCGGCAAAGCCGTCGGACATGTTGGCGGTCAGTGCAAAGCTCTGCACGCGGAAGCCACAAAAAAGGGCGGGGGTGCGATGCTGGTCAGCAGACGGTCGACAAAGGGGCGCGGAGCACGGCACAGGAAGAGAGGCACGACGCACCTGCAGCAGGTCGCTGTCCTCGGCGAACCATCGGAGGTTTTCGTCCATGACGTCGGCATCTCGCTCGACCTGCTTGGCAACTGCGTAGCCGAGGTTGAAGCCTTCGAGCGGCGTTGCTGCCGATGCTTCTCCTGCGGCATCCTCTTCCTCCTCCTCCTCCTCATCAGCACCATGATGGGCAGCGGTGCTTGAGCTCATGGAGCGGTACACGGCTCCCGAGCTGGAAGAGCGAAGGGGCACAAGTGAGCGCGGGTGATATGATACACGCAGGTAGTCGGACCAGAAGCGGTACCCCCTGCTGGGCGAGAGGGTGCGCCATGTGCGCTGAACGGTGCTGCGCGCGTGCGCGTCTCCACTTGGGCAGCGAGTTTGCGCTGCGTCCACTTCCGCTCCATCGCCCCTGTCCCCATCCCCATTCCCGTCATCGCTCTCGCCCTCGCCATCGCCCTCGTCCCCATCTCCGTCTTGTGAATGCTCCTGCGCGTCGAGTGTGCGCTGGTATGCGCTGGCTGGCACACGCGGTGCAACCTGAAGCGTCTCGACGCCACCCTCGTGCCAGGCGGCAGCAGCAGTGGTGCCGTCGTCGTCGTCGTGCTCCTGCTGGTAGAGGCGGCTGATTTGGCGTAGCGCGCCAAACTCGGCAGGGAGATCAAAGAGGAGTGCGCGAGGGAGAAAGGTTGGGGCGCGGAGGGTGTGCGAATAGCCGTGGCGGAACGAGGTGTCTGCGTCGTACCACTCGTCTGTGGCAGCAGGCGTGTCGAGGTAGGCGTCCTGCTCGTTCCAAAAGTGTGTAGCAATGTGGTTAGCGAGTGTTCCAAAGGAGAGATGGATGGTCTCCCTGGGTGCTGCCATTGCAACTATTGCGTGCTGCCAACGACGTTGACCGATGCCGATCTATATGCGAGCTGCGTCCCCTGCCTGGCTTTGCTGGTCCGGATAGCACGAGACTTTCTTGTTATATTCTAGAACCGATCAGCCTTGCCTTTCTTTCTTTCTTTCTTTCTTTTCATCTTCTTTTCTTTCTTTCTTTCTTTCTTGTTCTATTTCTTTCTTTTTGTCTGGTTTCAGGGGAGCGGAACCGGCGAGTCCGCCGGCTGCAGGCGTGCATGGGGATGCAGTGTGAGTGGTGCCTGCGTGCGTGTCTCTGCTCGACAGCCCTGGTGGGCTGCTGCAGTGCAGTGCAATGCAGTGCAAGCCGCCGCGGCGCAATCATCGTCCGCATGGCGGCGTGCAGGATGGCACAGGAACTGTGTTCGTCGCCGTGCGGCCAACGTGCTCCACATGCAGTCACATTTCATCTCATCTCCCATCCTCTGGTTTGTCATCCGCAAGAATGCTTTTCTCATCGCCCTCCATCTCCTCAACCCTCTCCCTCCCCTCCCCCCCAGCCCCAGAGCCAAGTCCAAGCCCAGCCTCGCGCCGTCGTTCCAGGAGAGTCGAAGCTCGCGCGCCGTGTTGCCTCTGCTTTCCATCGGATATCTGGCCTCCCAGCGTTGCTGCCGCCCCGCCCCCACCGGCACTCACACACACAGAGCAGCAGCTGGCCAGCACACGGCGGTTATAAGGGTGTGTGCGGCGACGGCCCCCCAGTAGCGGCAGTTGATCTTCCCACCAGGAAGGTCACCGCATTCGTGCCAGCCAACGATGCTCGACCTCAACCCCGGCCCCGGCCGGGGGCGGCACGCGGACGGATACGCTAGCGTTAGCAGCAGGCCCTACGCGTACCCGCGCCGCCACGACGAGCAGGACGAGTGGGGCGTCGTCGACAGCACCGCACGCCGCCAGCGCACCATGATGAACAGCGCCTCGTGGCTGCTCCGTCTCCCACTCGTCGGAAGCCTGCTCACGTCCACCCCGCCCCCGCCGCCGTACTCGCCAAGCGCACCGCGCCGGGCACGCCAGAGAATGAGACAGCCCAGCCGCCCATCTTTGTCCGCCTTCGAAGAAGAGGAGGACGCGGCGGACCAAAACACCGACACAGATTCAGGCTCATACGCGTCGAGCTACGACGGGTCGCACGCCTACTATTACTACGATGACAACGACGAGGACAACGGCGGCGCACGCACTTGCAAGCGTTGCGGCGGCGGCGGCAGCAGCAGCAGCAGTGCAGACGCCCGCGCGACGGCCGTGCTGCCATCGGCCATCGGCCACCATCCACGTCACAGCAGCAGCAATGCCAACGGTGAGACGATGGGCGCGGCACACGAAAAGGCGTCCAGCGGCGCTGCGGCTGCCCGTGGCGGCGGGTTCCACATGCACCATCCCTCGCACGCACGCGCGCACGCCGACAACCAGGCACCCTCACCAGCCGCCGCCGTCGTCGAAATACCGCTCACACCCATGCCCCGCGACGGCTGGGCGCACACGCGGCCCCGCTACTCGTCCCGCGGCCGTGGACGTGGCCGGCGCAACAGCCGCAGCAACCTCAGCAGCCGCAACGAGTCGTTCCTCGACCTCCTCTTCATTCTCGTCCCCACGCTCGCCGCCTGCGCGCTCTCCTTCGTCCTCGGCATCTCATTCGAGGTGTTGCGCTCGTCCATCATCGGCGCCAAGGGCAGCAGCGGAAGCACTAGATCCCGCTTCAGTGCGTCGCGCTGGAGCGGCGCGTACTCCCTTGACGGCGCAGGGGCCGCTGCCATCGCCGCCGGTCCCGGGTGTTCGGCGATGGACCTTGCCATGGCGCACATCCAGCCGGTGGAGACGCTGCGAATTCACTCACACGTAAGTAGCGTCTGAATGCACCCAAGGCATATTGATCAATGACTGACCCCCTTTCCTCTCCTCGGCCGGCTACAACGCAGAATGACGAGACGCGCGCCAAGCCGCTACTCGAAGCGCTCTCGTACGGCGCCATCTCGGTTGAAGCGGACGTATGGCGCGTCGATAACTCGTCCCTCCTGTACGTCGGCCACGAGCTCGAGTCGCTCTCCGAAGTGTACACGCTCCGCAGCACATACATCGACCCGCTCGTCACCATCCTCGAGCAGCGCAACGCGCGCGGCGTCGAGCCCAGCAGCAGAAGTAGTGCTGGTCGCAGGGGCCACCGCAGCGGCGACGATGCGCCTGCTCTAGAGCAGCAGAGCGACCGCCACAATCGGACCTGGAACGGCGTGTACAAGAGCGCGCCCGAGCAGACACTCTACCTTTTCCTCGACATCAAGTCGGACAGCTTGAGCACGTGGGCCTCGATGCACGATGCGCTTCAGCCGCTGCGCCAGCGCGGCTGGCTCACGCGCTGGTCCAACGGCCATGACCTCATTCCCGGCGCTGTGACGGTGATCGGGACCGGCGACGCACCCGTCTCGCTTGTCGCGCCGCAGCGCGACCGGGATGTGTTCATCGACGCGCCCGTCCACGACCTCGCGCAGCCTATCCGCGGCGACGACGGGCAGACGTACGCGTACAACGCCACGCTCTCCCCCATCGCCAGTGGCAACTGGCTCACCAGCATCAGCTACATGGGCCTCCTGCCTGCGAGCGACGCGACACGCGCGTCTATCCGCCGAATGAGCCGCGACGCCCACCGCCGCGGCATGTACGTCCGCTGGTGGGCCAACCCCGCGTGGCCGCCCTTTGCGCGCAACCGCGCGTGGAAAGTTATGCTAGACGAAGAGGTAGACTTGATCAACACCGACGTGCTCGAGAGCGCCGCTGACGTCCTGCTCGAGAGCGGCAAGTCGAAGAGACTGCAGCCGCTCGATACCAAGGTCAAGCATTGATTCCGCGGTCTCAGTCCCCCCCCCCCTTTGCTCTCGCTCTCGCACCTATTCTACATTACGGTTTGCTTGATTCCGTCCGTTACCGCGTGACACGCTCCTAGGGTTGTTTGAGGCTGCCTAGCTTTCAGCCTTCCATCTGCCTATTTGCGTATAGATCATGGCTCATCTCTCCATTATGTACATCTTGTTCTTTTTAGAAATGCAATCAAGGGTTGATACCCCATTCGGTGCTTAGCTACATTCCCGTGTGTCTCGCTGGCGCGTGCAGATACAGAGGTGCAAACGTCGCGCGCGCAGCGTACTTTTAAACACGCTACGTGGGACGCCAGCCAGGAGCAAGATTCTCGCAACGGAGCTGTGCTCCTTTGAAAGGCATACCTTACGTAGACTGCCCAGTGGATGCATGGCGAACAAATCGAAAGCGGATAGCGAGCGAGCGTCCTCCCTCTTGGAAGCGGGCAGGGTGGGGTAAAGTACAAAAGCTGAAAGCGAGAAGATCGCTTCTATGCTTCTGGTGGTGCTTCATCCACAATGCGAACGCTTTGCGCATATTGCACCGTGTTCATCTCGCTGAGACGTGAGATGACACGCGCAAAAGCGAAAAGCTCTTCTTCACCGGTGAAGATGGGGTTGCCGCCAATGTCGTCCATGGTCAGACCCTATTTTCACGCAGAGAAGCAAAAGGGGGGAGCGCATCCATCAGCGAACCTACATGGAATGCAGTTGAGCGATTCGGGGCACTTACAAGATCGTCCATGAGCGAGCGCATCGCGCCCTCGGTCGGCTTTCCAGCTGACGCGTCGGCGGAGAAGATTTGGAGAATGGGGCCCTCAGAGCTGAGGATAAGTTTAGATTTGCTCTCATACACAGAGTCGATGAACGTGATGAAGCGGCGCGCGAGATCGCGCTGGTGCAGGCCCATGCGCGGTACCTGATCGATGAAGATGGTGTGGAAGCGCCGGCAGATCTCAATGTAGTCTGCTGCCGCTTTCGGACTGCCACACAGCTCCGTAAACGTGAAGCGCGCGATGCGCGACGTGCTCTGCGGCACGATGAGATCTCGGCCCCATATCTGTAGTCTGCGGTTCTCCTTTATTTGCTCGTCCGATGTGAGCGCGGTCCAAATCTTCTCAAACTCGCTGTGATCCTCTTGGGCGTTGCCGTCAAAATAGACCTTGGACAGCGCCTTGGGAACTTTACGGTAGTCGGTGCCCGAATCGAGGTCTACCACCTGTAATCCTTGTTGGAGCAGCTCAATGCATGGGATAAAGGAGGAGCGTTGTATCCCATTCTTGTATAGATCCTTCGGATGTCGGCTGTGCGCAGGATCAATCTCAGTCCATGTCGCGACGTTTGAGAGGTACGGAAGGTGGAGCGCTCACTTGCTTGTAATAACGATGACTACCCCATTCGCAACCAGATACTCCATGAGCCGTCTGAGAATCATGGCATCAGCAATGTCCGTCACCTGTCCATGCGGATCGGAGCGGAAGACAGATCAGCTTCTGAAAGTCGCGAGCCCTCCGCGCAATGTACATGCCAACAAAGCTCACCTGAAACTCGTCAAAGCACAGAACCTCGCACTCGCTCGCAATCTCTCTTGCCACGGGCTCAATGGTATCCAGTTCCTGTCCTTCTGCGTCCTTCCTTGCTTTAAGAGCGGTTTCCCGCGCAGGCCCGCCAGCAATCGTCCCAAGTGCAGCCGCTGTATTAGTCAAGACGGCAGTGGTAGCAGAGACAACCATGCCTGACGGCTTATGGTGCAGCGATTTAAAGTAGTGCACGCGCTTGTGCGCTGAGATCATAAATTGGTGGAAATGGATTCGCCGCTTGCGCTTTATCGACGCAGGCAATGTGTTGTAAAATAGATCCATTAACATCCTAAAAAAAGGAGTTAACCGCAAGGTTATTCATCTTCGCGATTCAATTTATTAGAACAACATTAACTTACGATTTTCCCGTACCGACGTCTCCGTATAAGTACATCCCTTTCGGCACTGACTCGTCCAAGTGAACTGTGCCATCATTTTCGTCACCAGCATGGCTTTTACTGGAGAACAGACTGGAGAAGAGCCCTCCGAGGCCTTTCCCCGTTGACTTTGGCTGATTCGAGGGCGCTTTCGGTGGCTTTTGCTTGTACGTCTTGAGCTGGTCGTGTAGACCTTGGAGGCGTGCGACGATAGACCGTTGGAAAGAATCGTCGGTCAATACCCCTTTTGAGACAAGCCTGTCATACTCTGCTGATGGTCCGCTTTCTGTAGGTCTTGCTGAAACTTCGGCTAGCGATGGTGACGCCGCTGAAGGTGCTGGTTTCGATACTGATAATGACGTGCTGCTAATGTGAACGGTTCGCCGTGTGCTTGCTTGGCATAAAGGCCACTGGTGCGCTGCTCGTCGCCCGTTTTCAAGTGCTTGCTTTCTGCATGTACTTTCATGGCTCAAACCCCGAGCACCAGAAGATGCAGTCGCTCCTGCAGTTAGCTTGCGGCTAGACGCTGCTGCTTGCCTTTTCTGGAGGGTAACCCTGCTAGCGACTCGTTGCGAGATGAGCAGCGTCATGCGCGATCCGCTCACGATCATCGTAACCAACGCGCAACACTTCTGGCGCAATGTTCACTTCTCCACACGGGTCGCTGTGACCTCCTCTATCTGCTCCTTACCGGCAGTGTCGATGGGCAGCGATGGCCAGTGGACAAGCTGAAAGCACGAATGAAGGCCCATGTCAGAATTCTCGAATGAACTACAGATGGAGAGAAGCAGTCAAGCTGAGCAACATCGCATGTGTGTCCGGCAGGGCCGAAACAGAACAGGCTCTTCCTCTCAGGTCTCATCTCCTTGCCAGATATTGCGAGAATAGGGTTGTGGCAACAGTGCGGCAGGGATGCTTTACTTCCTAATTGCTACGAGTACTTATACATACACGTATCCTTTCACACTGAGGACCATGGAATGTGTAGTAGTAGTTGCAATGATGCACGCAGGGGGCCAGGGAACGGACAATCGCATCCCACCGCGTCGCAATGGCTCAGGCAACGATCCCAGCGTTGGTGGCAGAAAAGACGAACAATGGCATCCTTAAGGCTCGCCGTCGCATTCGGCCCGTCACCGTGCGCTTCACCGAGCCTGGCATCGCTGACCTGACGACTGAGCTCGTCGCTGAGACGCTGTATGAAATCCGCCAAACTCGCCGGCAGCAAGGCCTGGAGGATACAGCGTCTGTTGGATATTCAACAGATATCAAGCGCAACGGTAAAGCACGCAAAGTAGACGCTGGTGTCAGCGATCGCGCAGATGACGATGATGATAGCTCAGATTCGGACTCAAGCTCCTCCACCGCCAGCACAGACACAGTTCGAGGTGCTTCCGGCCGCTCCAATACCACTCAAAATCATCATAGACCTTGCATCACCGTGCTCAGATCAACGGACGAGACGGTCGGATCTTTCCGCGCGCGTATCTACCAGTCTCACTTACCCCCGGACTTCCAACGGCGGCAGGTCCGCCTCATCCACGCAGGGCGTATCCTCAAAGATGATGGCATCAAGCTGGTCGACTGGCTCGACACGCTGGATGAAAAGCGGGAGAGTTCGCTCCTTGGAATAGAGGGCAGCTCGGAGCAAAGGCCGGGAGCGGGTGCAGCAGCTACTGTCAACTCTCGGAAGGACGAGCAAGCGAGGGAAGGAGAAGCACTCGTGCGAGAGCTTGCAAAACAGGGACGGCGGGCACGAAAGCAGGCGCTACGGACTGCCAAGAATATTGGAGGCTGGATCGAAGATCGCGCGACCAAGGCCCTCGCCGATGTCGGAGCTGGGCCGCATAGCCCTCTTTTACCTCTTTCGGTGCCGGCCAAAGAGACGCATGTGCTGTTTGACAGCGATACGCTTGAGGACGAAATTGCAAAAAAGAAACCAGAAAACAGACCCTCAAGGCAGACCTCCAAGGGTAAAGGCCGCGCTACCGAGGCCGACATGGCGCGCTGGTTGCAGCCATCGAACCTCACCGTCGAAGAGTCTCGGGCTTCCAACACGGTGTACATTCAGTGCTCGATCGGTCCTGAGATGGACGTGGACCAGATACGACAGCGCAAAGAGGAGCAAACACAAGCCCAGCAAGGGAGAGCAACACTTTCGTGGCCATCAGACAACCAAGAGGCATTTGCATCTGGATCCACACGTCAACAATACTCCGGCTTCGACAGGCTGCGCGAAACCGCCGGTCTGAATGCGTCCGATATCTCGACGATGCGCTACCACTTTCGGCACGCCCGGCCAGAGCTGCTCCTCGACCGTTCCGGCGACGTTCTCCGTCGCGCCGAAGAGGACGAGCACGCGCGTGCGCTTGAAGAACAGTGGATTGATGGCATGGTCGGCGCGCAGAACGGGAGAGACGATGGTGGCACAGCTGGATCTGCGTCCGGGTCTCAGAGTTCGAGGACGACGCTGTTCGGCATGATGATAGGCTTCTTCTTCCCCGTCGTAAGTGCTGATTGTGTCAGGCGAGCCTTGGCAATAGTTTCTGCTTACTCTCAACGCTTGGGTCTTCCTCACCGCTCCTGTTCAGCTCCCGCTGTTCTTCCTATCAGACAAACCGCATCCTTCATGGTTCCCTTCGATCAACTCGCACCCGCGACTGACAGACTCCGATTCCGAGGACGACGGCGACGATGATGACGAAGACGCCGATGCAGAAGGAGATAGACGGCGCGAAGGGGAGGCGGGCCAAGATGGAGATGGAAACGGATACACCAGCGGCGGAAATCGCAACGTGCGAAGTGCAGAAGAGCGGCTGGAGGTACGCCGCGCTCAGGCAGCGCAACGAAGAGCGCTGCGCGGCGGGACCGTCTTTGGTGCGCCGCTGCAGAACGCCATCTTCATGGGCATTATGGCCAATCTCTTTTTTGCGCTGTTCAAGAACTTCTTCGCGCCGGATTAAGATCACACAGCAGATCACTGCGTGGCTTTTCGATGTACTGTTCCCGCGCCGCAGACATGCATTTCGCTGATCTTCATCATGCACATCCGTGCAAAGCAATTTGATCACACGTTTCCGTGAGCTGTGTCAATGCAAGCGCGCGCAAGCTTGCGCATTGGATTCTGGTTACTCTAGCGTGGAGCCTGGTTCTTAGATATGGGAACCAACAAATACCCTACCTAGACACCGACAAGTTGCCGACGTTGTCTCTGTCGCCAATTGCCAGCCGCCCGCAGTGCCTGGCCGCGACTCAACACTCTTCATCCACCATGTATGTCGTTCTGGCGGCGACACCACCACCTGCCAACTTGAGCGGCATCAATGCCAGCGCTGGCCAATGAGAGGCAGGCACGCCATTGACTCCCTTCACAGCCTGCCTCAGCCGCCCGGAACAGCATTTGCCGACCTTTGCTCTGCGACTTGCGCAGCTCATAACATTCATCCAACCGTAGACGCACACACCACATTCGCCCTTCCTGCTTGGCCCGGCAGCATCAGTGGATACGAGGCAGAAGCGAAATAGCGTGTCACGATGGCTTCGTCCTTCAAGATCAAGCTTCGGCTGCCGACGCGCGATGAAGATGAAGCTGGGATGAGCATAGCGCACCACAGCAGCACGCCATTCTACAGCGACTCTGATGCCCAAAGCGGTGAGAACAGCTTGTCAACCTGACGAAGCCAAATTTATTCCATCTAGGTGCTGATCACCTTCTGCCTTTCGCGCCACGCAGAAGAAGAGCGCGACGAGCTTGAAGATTCTGGTGATGATGACCAGAGCCTCGAGGCCTCCAGCGTGGGTCAGGCTCAGTCCTCGCCTTTGCGACCCAAACATTTATGTGAGCCTTGGTGCCGATGATACCGACCACTCCTACTTGCTGATCAATACTCATCGCTCCTCATCACAGCGTCGCCAATTAAAGCCAGCGCAGAGCCCAGCCCGGGGAAACTCAAAGCCGGTGCAAAAAAATCATCAAAGAAAGGCGAAGGCCCGTCAGTGACCAAGCGCAAGAGCACTGGTAGTCTTCCCAACACAAAGGCAGCTGCATCAGCAGCTGCAAGTGTTGACGCCCCTCGTACTCTCGACGACTTACCTGCGTCCAAACGAAGGAAGGTCAGCATGAAGCTCGGGGCAGCCGGACCCGGTCGAGGCTGGCGCAAAGGTCTCAAGCATGGGATGAAGCCGCTGTACAAGATGCCTGATGGCTCTTTGGTACCTATGAGCATTGATGAAGGGCGCAAACTCAAAGCTGCTGAGCTCAAAGCTGCACAGCAGAAAGCGGCTGAAAGAGGCAGCAGCCCTCTCGTTCCCAAGCAGAAAGGTGCCGCAGCAACTGGTTCACCTGCACCATCTGCAGCAAGTGCCGCGCCCAAAAAAAGCAAAGCACCTGCCAGGATCGTCTATCCACCTATCCCAGTACCCAAGAACGTGGTCCCAGTGAAGAATTATGCAAAGATACCGATGAGCTTCCCGGCCATCGTCCCGCTGGACCGCTCGGGTACCAGCAAGCTACCGCGTCGATGGACACAAGGCAAGCGGGAAATCCTGACGCTCGGCGGGCGCGTTCTCGAACTGCCGACTTGGTGGGGCGGTCCGAACCTCGGGTTCGAGCCTGTTGTCAAGGAAGACGAAGTTGCACAGCAAGCTGGCACTGGCTCTGGGAAGAGTAAATGTGCTGGTGCGGGCACAGGAACAACCACGACACCTGGCACGGGCGGCGCAAGCACGCCGGTACCGACAACGAAGAACCCTGCCACTTAGTGTTAGCGGAACCCCGCCCCCCTGTTGGCTCGCATGCACTGCTGGTGCCGATGGAAGGTAGTTTCAACGCGCACCAACAGCCACGAGTCGCAAGTCTATCGAGGAGCCGGAATTTTCGTTCAACTGGGCGAGCGAGTAGCCCAGCTTATTCGCTAGCTTCACGAGCTCGTCACCGGGCTCCTCGGCTAACGCACACTTGCCTCATCACACACCCTCAGCTCTTTCCGCAAGGATCACGATTCCACCGCTCTTTGCAGAGAGCTTGTATAAGTATTGCACTTTCTCCAACCCGAAATTTCGGCGAGAGTTCCAAAATTTTCGCTGGAAAATGTGCGCACGCACTGCATGTCCTCGCGGGTGAAATCGTCTGGCATTGTTTAAAGTGCGATACAAGGTAGCTGAGCCGCTTCCGTTTAATAGGTCCCTCGAGCTGCGGCCTCAGGATACGCGAGAATCACCCTGTCCCATCAATCCGTCTTCTCGACCTGCTCGCGCGTCGAACCGTAGGTGCCGTTCGCACTTGTATGAGAGGGTACCGCGACTGAGGTCCATCGCTTGCGGCCAAAGCGTCCGAATGCGGACTCTCCGGTCGCGAGGCCGATGAGAACGGCGACAAAGTAGTAGGCATTCATCGTCCTGGCTCATGAGTGCCGAGTCGAGTAGGTACCGGTGGACGGAGTGCAGGACAGACTGAGCGTCAATGGATGAAATGCTACGCTTTATTTATATGGTGCACTCACATGACGGCAAGCATGAGCAGATAGAGGATACCGCTCTGCAGCAGTTGAAACAATCCCCTCGGTACATCGCAGCTTGCTTCCCATGGTGGCGCTCTTCGTGCATCATATGCAAGGTTTGCAGTTGCTGTCGAAGATGATCCTCGTCTTTTTTCCGCTCTTCTGAAAGCCTCGTCGTGCCAATAAGCGACCAAGCCCCTTTCGATTGCATGGAGCCAGCGTGAGAGCAATCCCATGAAGAAGAGCAGGGCGCAGGTGCCCAAGATGGCCGGGGCAGTCGTTGGTGCAAAGTGCGCCAACCAAACCACATCGCCTCCACCAGCATGGAACCCCGTCATCGTCATCCCCTGGCCGGCCGCGCCGCCGCTGGCGCTCGAGGTGCTGTTGTCACCCATGTTCATGCCCATCACCTCGCCCATAGCCATTCCTGCCGTATATCCTATGTCCTTCTTGGTGTGTTCTCCAGCAGCTTCCTTTGGACGTCAACGATATTGATATCGCACCGCGCAAGTTGGATGTAGTCGCGCACGCGGGCTCTACTTGCAGAATGCGAAAAAAAATACCTCGGCGCCTTTTTGGCGGCAAAGAGGGGCACGAATTGAATCGAGCTGGAGTGGGATTATGATCTTGTAGACTGGCGAATTATTTCCAGTGTTTTGCTAGTAGTAGTCGAGAGCATATTGTGAGAGACGAGCAGAGAGCCAAAGTCGAGGTGGTCAAGGTCAAATAAGTTAGGAGGCGGGGTGAGATGGCTACCAGTTGCGAAGGAGAGCGCAACACCTTATCTCGGAGCCTTTTTGGGCTCATCCCCGCGGCATCCAAACAAACCGCGCTCGTCGATGGGGCCAAGAGGTGACTCCCATTTCTCAACAATACGGCAACAAAAGTTGCAGGCCTCCTTCACATCATTAAATACACCGACGGAGCCACGCCTTGGAAGCTAATATCGGCCCTCACCCACAGAAGCTTCGCGTTGCAAGAGGGTAACATTCTGATCCGACTGCGCGCACGAGATTCACCCAAGATGCAGAGCCATGACAGAATCACAGCAGTGCATGGTGAGTACAGACTGCCCCCCCCCCTATTCCCCCGGGAGTCACCTGATTCGTAGGAGCGCAGCTGACCATCGAATGGTGGATCGGCCTGCGGACTTGCGAATTTGGCAGCTGTGTTTGCATGCATCGTCGTCCTCTTCCTCCTGCCCTCCACCATAATCATGACGCGGGTTCAAAGGAGCTCGCCCGGTTGGCTGCGGCTACACCGCCTGTTGAACGGCATCACCGTTGCCCTCATCATCCTCATTTTCGGACTAGGAATGGCAGCCGTAGGCACGCAAGGTGATGGGACTCAATTTAGTGGCGACGAAAGCGACTTGCATCACAAGCTCGGCTTGGTCATCTTTATCCTTGTCCTGTTACAAGCGCTGCTCGGCATCGCTGCACATCAGACCACTACTTCTGGGGGGGAACTGGGTTCTCTCTTCATGGGACGCAAGCAATGGGTGCGATGTGTCCACTTCTGCGTCGGCATCATCATAGCCGGCTTGTTGTACTGGATCACATGGAACGGCCTGCATACCGAGTGGGTTGCCATGAGCACGGAAGAGACCAGCACTCCAGAGGCCGTGCAGGTGCTTTTCTGGATCATCTTCATCCCACCAGTTGCTTTCTACCTCGTCAGGCTAGGCTCCAGTACCCTAAGGTCGATGGAAGGCGAACAACAACCAATCATGCTTGGGGGCAAAGAGGGATTCAGCGAGGCGTGCGACTGCTAGGCGGTGCCATGCAAGATTCAGTCGAAGTCTTTCATGTATTTTTACATGTCGCAAGCTGTTATGGCAGTAGTAAAGTAGGAGTTTGCGTCGCGAAGCGTGTTTGCGTATCGATAGCATGAGCAGTCCATTTCCAGAGCGAGTATGAGAAAACGAACGCCGCTTCGGCATCTGTCGCGAGTCGGTAATGTCAAATCGCTAAGCGAAGTACTAAATGCTGAGTCATGAAGGTTGGACGATGAACCCTGCACCTGTACGATAAAGAGACTCTAGGAATACTTCTCAACCTGATGCCACCGCCACGCATACTTGAGTGTGCATGCGCACATCATCTTTCCACGAACTCCTTCTCCAGTCGTGCACAATGTCGGACGTTGTCTCACCCTCTTTCCTTGATCAAGAAAACCCCCGATACTCTCTCTCTCTCTTTGACTGTACAGTGTGGCGGGTGACCTGCTATCGTCAGGAAAGTAATCACGCTGACACTTCCCGGTCTTAGCAGCAAACAGCACAACTCTTTCCACTGATCCTGCGCGACCTTATTCTAGATCAACTCGGGTGACAAACAAGGCGGCACTGGGTTGCATTCTGCAACGCTTATTCCACAGTTTCTGACGTCATTCACTCTCTCCTCCTTGTCACGCGTCACACGACTTGATTTGACCAAGGTGGCGCAGTATGTGTGAAAGGATTGAGTTGAGCGTTGCGTAGACGAGGAAGTTTGGACTGTCGAGGCGACTGCTTCCCGTTCAAAAGCACTCCACAATCAATTCATCAGGAGCGAGCATCGCGGGTTCTCTTCCTATATAATTTTTACATTAATGGGGGCGGGTTATGGAGCCAGTGAAAGTGTTCGCACTCCATTTATATACATATGTATATATGAGGCATGACGTGCCGACCTTGAATATTGTTTGGCTTGCTCCTCCGCGGGATAATAATTAAAGCGCTACCGCGCGCATGTGTCCAGCAGGTGTGCTCGGGTTGTATGTGTCCATAATTTCACTTATGGATTCGTCCGCGCCCCGCGGGGACTGTCGATGGCTCATGCAGTTATTTTTTGTTCCGACTGTCCGCACCGCCGACATCCTTGATAACCGTACAATCCACGGGCGATTATGACCCGCTATGACGTCGTCAGTCTGCAACATCACTGGTATTATTACGATTTGGTAAATTCATTGTGTTACCCATTTTTCGATATATTCGTGATATACATTCCATTATCACAATTCATACATGCCATCACCTCCCGTTCTCTTTATGAACGCTTTTTGGGGCATAGGTTCAGTCTAATAGGGATCAGGAAGCCCATTGTTACCCGAAATTGCCCATGCTTAACTGCACAGAGAGGTGTAGCATCGTTAATGTCAAAATACTCCTGCCGCTGGCAATCCGGGTGGCGCCTCGAAGGCACCAAGCGGGAGCCATAGTGGCTCCTGCAGCTGTCACCGGCTGACCATCGGTCATCACCAGGAGCGACAGTCGAAGCGTTCGGCCACAGCGGCAAGCGTAGCCAACCCAGATCGGGTTCAGCTTCCATCAATCAGCACCCTTGTGTGAGATGCGCAGCACATCTTGTGTGCAACACACTTCTCGCATCGCATATAAGTAATCACACTCATCTCATCGCATTCCCTCAATGTATCTAGTCCTAAACGAATTCACTACAGGATCTACCCAGAGAGTGGCTCGCCCCTGGCCCCTCTGCTTCCGGCACTCTGGCCTTTGGAGGTCCTGACTTGCCTGCCCCAAAGTGAGCCATGGTAAAGGCAGCCCACTGCATGGTCGAGTCGAGTCAGTCTGTCATCCAGCAAAACCAAGCAAAGGGTCAGCAGATAGAGGTAAAGTCTTGTGGTCTTTTTTACCTAGCTCGAATATCTTGAGAGACAACATTGGGATGGCACGTCCAACAGTCTGGGACCTGTTGGAACAATCAAAGACCCATACAGCTGATGATAAAGTCAAAAAGTCCGCTCATCCTCCACTGATACCCCTGGCGGAAAGAATGACCATTGGAATATACATATTGCGCACAGGCGCTTGCGTTCGGCGGGCCGCCGGCTGCATTGTGCGGTCTTCGAGACAGCTTCAAAGTGAGAATTCCCTGCAAGAGACGGCCCGTGATAAGGTTGGCATCACCTTACAGGGTCTTTCATGCACTCTTCAATCCTCTGACTGCGAATGGGTTTGAAAGAAGCTACATAGTTCATCCTTCCGCAGAGATCCCGTCACATGCAAAGGATCGAGATGACTCGATTTATAATATTGGTTTCCGCGGGACCATCGGCGCGATCGATGGCACAAGAATCCCCATCGCTGTCATGGAAATCACGAATCCCGCGTCTTGGCGCGACTACATGTGTAACATATTGCAGAATATCTTCGCAGCTTGCGATTTCGGAATAAGCATCACATGGATTGCTTCCGGTTGGGATGGCGGGGCAAACAATCAACACATGCAGAATAGCGCACAAGAGGGGTGGTGTCTTTCGTGGAAGGCGCTGAAGGTCAAGCCAACCTGGGCACGGCCATGCAAGCGAGAGTTTCTTGGCGGGGCACCGCCGCCTTTGCTCTCTCCTTGGGAAGGAGACGCTGAATGAGACGGAATGGATACTAAAGCAGTGAGTGAGGGCTCTCCTGTGTCTTGATAGATGGCGTCTACATTAGAGAGCAGACCAGAGATTCTTGAATATCGAGTGGTCTCAAGACTGTTTTGATTTGCGGGGCCAACACGACCGAAGCGAGTGAGAGCATCGTGGGCATGTGGGGCATCTGTGGGAAGTGGAACAGGTGTCGATACCAACTGGGAGTTCTGGTGACGGAACTGGCGTAGCTCGATCGCGCGAAGACACAAGTTCGGCCGGGGGCGGCATGCTAGCAAAAACAGCTTCCACTGTCTCAGAGCAACAAATGGAAGAATTGTCACGCGGGTTTTCTCTTGAGACTGTGGTGCTTGTGAGCCACGAGTCGTCAGATCCAGGCGCGCTCCAGACGGACCACGAGCTTCGATAGGATCCTGGCGTGCATTAGTCATAGTGACATCGATAGTGAGAGAAAATACAACCGTCTTTTCCCCGATGACTCGGGACTTGGGGAATGAAATGACGACTCCGCAGATCGCGTAGATATGAATGGTGAAGACGTAATGATGCGAGATGTGACAGCGGTTATATGTGTTGAAAATGGGGTTGAAGCAGGTTGCCTTGTGGTGTAGCGATGACGTCATGTCAATTTGGTGGGTTGTCTGCACACTGGATTGCTCGCAGAGCTTTGGCTGGTGCACCCGCAAAGATCTTGTCAGCGCGGATTGCTTTCCATCGGCGCAACAATTTTTGGGTAGTCTGCACGCTCCGCAGGCAAACGAGCACGCGTAGTCGTTGCCTAGGTCCTGCGATCGTACGCAGAGGTGAGGCGGACAAATAGTGGGAAATGCGCAGACGCGGACAGCCGAACGAAAGAATTAACGATGAACGAACACGGCCACGCAAGCCAAGTGGCACTGACTGGCCGAAGAGAGCGGAGGTGGCCCATGTAGCTTGCTCATGGGGAGCAGGTCTTATTCGGTGCAACATGTGGCCGCGCGATGCAGATTCTAAAGGGTGGTGCATAACTTCCCAAGTTGGCTCGTGTGGATATCGATTGCACGATGACGCGCTTCGGGCTTCACAACTCTCTCTTCGGCGTTCCACCGCTAGAACTCAGCAACTTCCCAGCGTTGCATCCATTCGCATTGCATCGATTCAGCCTATCTGGTGGATGAAAACATCAGCTAGCTCTCTGCATTCAGCATTTGCTGAAGCTAGCCATACACCGCAAGCGTCACAAGCCGGGTCAGCTCGATTCTGTGAGCGTGTACTCCACGATTGCACACCCAACCCTCCAGCACCCATCCGCCTTGACGAGGCTTATCCAGGATGTCGTCCTCTACACGTGCCCCGTGGCTCCCGCCGCTCATGCCAAGGACGCCCGCAGATGTATACATGCTTGCCCTTGCCGGCATGCAGCTCATGCTTGTGGTCGGTCTCGTTACCATTGTCATTCCTGCTCCGCACGGCAAATGGGGGCCCAGGAACGCAAGCGGGCTCAACAAATTCAAGATCAATGGTAAGTACAAGATACGCACCAATGGTCGTGGTCGTCCTTTCTTTAGCTGAAGTGTCGGATGCCCTACCTGCCCTTTGGGCTTCTTTTGGAAGGCAACCTGGGGTGGTTTCTGATGGAGATCTGGGGCCCAGTGATTCTGCTCCTTTCCATGAGCTCTTCTTCAGTTCTCTCCACGTCTGGCCCCCTCAAGCTGTCGACAATTTTCCCCCAGCCTTCTTTTTCGAACTTCCTTGCGCTTCCATTGCCTAATCAGATATTGGGAATGTTTTATGCAGTGCACTACGTGAACCGCGCCGTCATCAATCCTTTGCGATCACCGCCACGCACAGATATGTCTCTCATCGTCCCAGCGTGGGCTGCCGTCTTCCAGATCACCAACGGTTTCCTCCTCGGCAACTGGCTCGCAGGTCGTGCGCCTGCGTTCATCATCTCGCCTTCCATTGCTGCACCCCTCAAGCAGGCCAAAGGCATCTTCTCCCTCTTCTTGCGTGGTGGTTCCAGTAATGCACCCACAGCTGCAGTGACAATCAAGCACGCTGCCATCAGCCCGAGCACGATCCTTGCGCGACCGGGCCTCTTACCCGATGCCACATTGCGTTCTCCGCTCTTCTGGATAGGTCTGTTTGGTGCCATCGCAGGCCTCGCGTCCAATATTTACCACGACGAGATTCTCGCCAACTTGCGCCGGGCACCTGTGGCTGGTGTCCCTGCCTGCAACGCAGCTTCAGATGCACTGGTCGACGGCAAACCGCCCGCGAGGAATATGCACAGTCACGCAAACGGTGGTGCGGCTGCAGGGAATGAGCAGGTGCATCTCGACACGAATGGTAAAGCCGTCATCAAGCACGGCGAAGAGGACAGTGTCACGGTTGGCACGAGCACGTACCGGATCCCGCGCGGAGGGTTATTCGACTTTGTTGATCACCCGCACTATGTCTCTGAATGTGAGGACAATCAGTTTGTGTACGAGTGAATTTGAGGATTGCTGAAGAATTTCGGGCGTTACTCTTTCTCTCCTAAATAGGGTTCGAATGGTCGTGCTTTGCGATCGCTTCACTTGTCTTCTTCTCAGCACTGGTCCCATCGCCTTCGCCTCTGGCATCTTCCTCCGCCGTAACTTCGCTCAAGTGGTACATCTCCGCGGCAGGCTTATTGCTCCGCATCCCAACTGCGCTCTTCCCGCTCGTCGAAATCGCTGTCATGTCGCCGCGCGCTATCAAAGGCCACGAGTGGTACAAGAAGACATTTGGGAGCAGGTACCCGCAGCAAAGGAAGGCGCTCATTCCTGGCATCCTCTGAGCTGGTGATGTGTGCGCAGCATGTTACGACAACAAACCTCACCAGCTTTTGACTCCGGGAAAACAGCTAGCAAAATTCGTTACGTCTTCATCTACTTTAACCTTTTTATTGCTTCGCGCGACATTCGCGCAGCCCATAAATTGCCCAGAATCCACTATTCGTGACATACCCGGCCGAATGACTAATATCAGATTACTGTTTGAAATGCATGGATAAATGCCCTGTCGACACGCGCGCTCCTACTTTTTACTCCTTACCATCTGCGCCTTGTCATTGGCATGGCTCAGAGATCATGGAACGAGTACACCAGCTTCTTCCTCGCTGACGATCCGTCCAATCTCGGTCCGCAGCAAGCTCCACAGCTCCACCGTGTCCTGACCTTCTCGCTTGGAAAACCACAATCCACCGGTTTCTCCCGTGCTGTTACCATCTTTATCTTCGGACGCGGAGGCAAAGCTCATGCGATAAGGACCCGAGTAGGGGGAGGAGAGCCAAATTTGCTGATTTGGGGGCTGCTTGTTGATCACGTACGTCCCATGCGAACCAAATTTAACATTGAGAACGCCAGCCTGTGCGAACGATGTGAGGTCCCAAAGGAGTTAAAGTTATTAGCCGCTGCGGCTTCCGCATTTGTCCACTGTTGCTGCTCATGACTGAACATACTGCTGCTTCGATGTCCCAATCTTCTCCATTCTGATCTGCCTCCTCGATGACTGCCTCCAGCTTGTCCTGCAGCGAGTCAAGGGTAAGGTTCGACACCTTATTGTATTCTGTCATGGTCAAATTCCTATGGAAGAGCGCATGCGCCAATGCAGAGGATCAGTCTTAGCACTCGAATTACTTGAGCGCATACGAAGTATATCTCACGCGCGCTTGAAATTTGGCTTCCGTGCAGCTGTCGAGGAATGCAAGCCTCTTGGGCGCTGGGATGAAATGCCAGCGTTGCGCCCAGCCGCGGCTTCCCAAGGCGTCCGACAACGCACAGCTTGCTGGTTCCTCTGTTGCGTTGAGGGGCACTTTGCTGTCGCCTTAGAAGCCGCCAAGCTGATTGTACGTCGCGAGAACGGGGAAGGTCTCAAATTCGTGATTTCCCCATGCAGCACCGGACGCGTGAGCGAAAGCGCCTGACGACGTGTGGCTGCATCGAGTGACGCGCTAATGCGGCGGCTGCTGCCACATGCGCAGGTGTTTTTCGTCCATGACATTTCGGGCAAGCTATATTAAGGGAGGCGTTGACCTGGATCTGTTGCACAACTGCCGTATACTCCAGCAATGGCAGGCCAGGGCTGTAAATTGCAAGGAGGAACTATGGATATGCTATTGCGAATTGACGATGATGCGATGAAGTTGCAAGCTGAAGCGCCGAAGCCTGCTGAAATACAGATGGTGGACGAACCCTATTTAGGTTCAAGTTTCATACTAATTAACTATCACAGGCACACACAGGATGCTACACATCGAATTGAAGGCTCCAAAGCCGAAGGTGACATGGGCGTGTAATGCTGCTCAAGGGAAAGGCCTTGTGTAAGGTCCACAGACTTTTGGAAACAAGCACTCATGCCTGCCACATTGACCAATACGAAGCGCTGCTCAGCTTACATAGAGAGTCTGCCATAGACTATAGAAGCTAGACGCTACGGAAGGCGCCGCCAGGTCAAAATGACAAAATTACGGATCGCATGCCTGCACGGGTACACGTCCAATGCCTTCATCTTCTCTCGACGATGCGGAGCTATTCGGAAGGCTTGCAAAGGCGCGTTCTTGGCTTTACGCATCTTGTACTTGTGGCATATCCACATTGGGGATGCACACTGACGAGTCTCTCTACGAACCTGATTTCATCCCCATGCTTGTTGCTGCCATTCAGACGTCGCCGAGTTCCACTTCATCAATGGCCCTCACCTTGTACAGCCGATCTCAGGTCTAGGCGGCTTGGACGGCCCTTCAGAGCGTGAGGTGGTGGATGAAACCACGCCTTTAGAAGAGCAGCCGCGTGCGTGGTGGCGTGCACAGGACGACAGGACATACAGCGGGTGGGACGAGACGGTCGAGTTTCTGAATGCACAGATGGCCGAGACCGGCCCATGGGATGCTATCATGGGCTTCTCTCAGGGAGCTTGCATGACCGGCCTGCTCGCTGCAGCGTTTGAGAAGCCTGACAGGGTGCCGGGGCTGAGGCTACACCGGGATCAAACTCCACTCAAGTTTGCGATTGCCATCTCTGGCTTCAGGAGCAGAGAACCGCGTCACGAAGCACTATTTGAGGAGAAAATCCGAACTCCAATGTTGTGCGTGCTTGGGAAGGAGGACTACATTGTCGAAGCGGGTGGGTCTGGGCGAATCTTTTTGCTCTCGGCATTCACAATCAAACTCGTGCTGATACGCTTATACCCGCGCCTCCTTTATGACTGGTTCGCGCAGACCGATCGCAAACACTTACGGACGCCTGCGCAAATGTTCGCGTCGAATGGCACGAAGGCGGGCATGCGACCCCTTCTCAGTGAGTGTACGCAGGTGGCTTCAATGCAGCTGTGGCCGCGGCAGGGCTGGCTGCCGCATGGAGGCAACACTCATCAACTCTCAATTTTGATCTTGCAGAGCACCATGGCGCAACTTCTTCCGCGACTATATCGCCGCCTTTGCGGAGCCGTCTGCGGGGCTCGACTGGCGCACGCTCGCAGGGCCGTCCGATCGACCAAAAGGTTCGCCTTCTTCTGCCATAGCGTCGGCGAACAGTAGCGGTGCGAGCACGCCGGTGCTTGGTGCCAACAGCTCTTCTCATCGTCGGCCTGGAAAATCGTTGGCTGATGCTGAACATGAGGAGGAGCAGGAGAGGCTGGCGGCGCTTGTAGGGTCAAAGCCGACGTTGTGAGGGCCAGAGGTGGATGTATGTAATCTATAGTACAATCAGCGCTTTGCTCCTCTTGAATGTAGTGCGCGTTCGCAGTTTTCGAGCGTTGAAGGACATGCACAAGCACGAGTTCGCTCCGCGACTCACTTATTGGATCGAGTGCAGGAGATGTATGATGCACTTTTTGAGTTCAAAAATCGACGCAGTACAGGAATTCTTTGACACTCAAGATGTGCCAGTAACTGAAGCCGCGAATGATTCTGACCAGCTGTTTCGTATAGCTTCCAATCGAGCAAGGCTTATGGTCAAAACATATATCCAGAGTATTTTCGAGCTGCCCAACAGACTATCGAATGCCGATGGCTGAATCAAGTCATGTTATGTGGCATGATGTCAGACCTGTCGAGTGTTGGTCAGCTGCAATCGATGCGAGGACACACCGGACGGTCTGATTGTGTTCAAACGCGGCTGCCGGGCTGGAATGCATCTTGCCTCCAGAAGTCAGAAATGAGAACTTGCGAAATTGTAAAGATGCCGTATTAAGTCATAAATATTATGTGGCGAGCGCACTTCGTGAAAGTGCGGCAGCTCCAGTGTGCGTTCGTAGCTTCTGCTTGGTTGTCCGCTCAACGCACATAGAGTTTTGCTTTAATCCCATGCCCTTATGGATACTAATCACTGTTTAGAGCCAAAAAGGATTGCCTTGCTGCGCTCGCTAAGCCTGCTCTTGACGAGTGACGGATCAGGCCCAGACGTGATGCTTCCGCTCGTCAGAGATGACCCAGCCTGTGAAGAAGGATCAGAGCTTCTACCCAGGTTTTTTGCCGTGCCATCAGTAGTTTGGATACCGTCCAACTGGAATTGCCTCCGATTCGCCTCAAGAGCCGCCTGCCGCTCTCGCTCATACCTTTCCTGATCCCGCTGCTCTGCACGGTACCGCCGCACAATCACGCTCTCCGAGGGCCCCTCCTCTTCATCGGTAAGGTCCTCAGTCATGCCTTCCCCTAGGCTCGGCCACTGGCGCTCGTGCTGGGGTGCATCGAGTCCTGCTGGCCGCTGTTGCGGTGGCGCTTTTGATCCAACCCCCCTCCAAGCCTGCTGAAAGCCGAACTGACTCAGCTTGCTCTGATGCTGAGTGGCGTTCGCATCGAACGTCTCCTGGTCGAATGCTGCTTGAACACTACCGAATTCGAGCTCGACCCCGCTCCAGATGTCGTCCAACGCGACAAGTCGGCCCTGCCGCCTACGGGGCGATGCCGGGGTAGGCTTGATAGTGGTACTCGCTGCTGGCAGCATAGATTGAGGTGGAGAGCTGGACGGTGCCTGCTTTGCTGCAAACGAATTGAGGGTGGGTTCCAGCCTGTGCGGTGACGAAGAAGTATCCTGTATGATAGTCTCCGGCACGATTATCACGCTAGCTCTGCGGTCTTTGGTAGGGGAGAAGGGCAATGGCGAAGACGTGTTTTGCAGGACAGTCTCAGGCACCAGCGCCTGGTCCGTTGTCGCGGTCGAGGCTGGTCTGTGCGCTGGCGAAAATGCGCTTGCGGTGCCTGGCAGGCACAGAGACGACGACCTAAGATGGGCGGTCTCGGGAACAAGCACCTTGGCATCTACACCCACTGGCCGCACTGTTTGGTCATCCTCTTCGGAAGTATCTGACTCGTCCGACGGCCAGTCGAGAGGCTGAGTCTCCATCTCCAGCAGCGCCTTAGCACGTAGCTGTTTCCGAAGCGCGGCAATTCCCACACGCTGCGGAGACGTAGAGGAGCACGTCCCGTGCGATATGGTGTCGCCGCTGTCGTCCTCAGAAGCCCAAGCTAGTGGCTGCGTTTCTGAGAGCTGCGAAGATGGGAGCACTCTCCGTTGCGGAGAAGCCTGAGCCTTAAACAAAGGCGTTCTTGTGCCGCACCCTTTGGGTGGGCTCGAGGATACATTGCTCTTGGCTGGCGATATCGATGCCGAAGTCCGCCCGTCGTCCTCCAGCCATTCGAGGGCCTGTGTTTCGTTCGAAGCATCCAAGGGAGGCAAATTCCTCTGTACTTGTCCGCCCGACTTTGGCGCTGAAGGAGTCATGGATGAGATATGGCTCTTGCGACGCACTGGTGTCTGCGGCGGCAACATGAGGTGCACTCGCCGCTGAGGGCTGAGCGTCTGCTGTTGCGGCTGTTGCGGCGATGCGGGGGCGGATACCAAGCCTTGCGAAGGCAGAAAATGCAGAGGCGAGGAGGACACATCGTTGCATGGTAGTGGGGAAGGAGGCTGCAAGGGAACTTTGCGGGTTGAAACAAGGGTCTGATCGGTCGAGTCGTTCGACTCAAGTTCTTCAAAATACTCTTGTAAGCGTGTATTTGGGGTTTCAGGCGGGTGTGCAGACTTGATGCGAGCTTTGTTGCTCTTCTTCGCGTGTAGAGCGATAGCTCTTGGTCCTTCCGGATCGGGCGGACTCTGGTACAAGCCTTGGCGCTTGAGCCACGAAAGCTCGATTCCCTCTTGCGACTCGGTCGGCTGGATCCCGTTGAGGCGGCGGTATTGGTTCATGATTTGTGGATTGAGATTGCGCTGCCAATCCAGCTTCGGAGACTCGGGAAGTGTGTCGTGAACGAAAGGTGTTTGGCTTGCCAAGTCTATGTCGGACAAAAGCATAGACGGGTGCGACTCGACATAGTCATCTTCGTCATTTCCTCTGGTCGTTTCAGCTTCTCGCTCGAATCGCAGTGGGCCGGTATACATAGGTATCTCGTCCTCACACGTTCCTGTCGAGTTGTCATCAATGAGTGGCTCAAACTGCGACGTTGGCATGTTAAAGCAGGTGTGATCGTGAGTATTGGATCGGTACTTGGACATGGGAGGTTCGCTGTGGCGCGGCCGCTTGGCAAGGCTGACCGGACTCCCATTCTCTTCACTACTAGGGTCAATAGTCCGTTTCCATACGCTCGCATTGGACGGGCCTACATCGCTCTTCCTGTTCTGCGGTCGCCCGAGCATGCGTTCAGTGGAAGAGTAAACTGACTTAGGTGGAGTTGGGCCTCGGGCAAATGTTTGCACCTTTTCCACACACGTTGGGCTCTTGTGACGCGATCCCTGCAGAAATGTGCGCATACATGTCTGTTTTACCTGCGCCTTGATGGGCCGGTCGCCTCTCCGCGCTGGATTCACAACGACTGTTCCTTTCGAATGTATCTGTTTCCCTTTCGAGATTTGTAAGGGTCCAGTCGAGGAATCCTCCATCGCGAGCCTTAGTTGCTTAGAGATGGTGCCAGACATCTCAGGGTGCGACTGGGCCTTGTCTCTGGAGGCAGACCAGCTTATCTGGTCTACGTCAGTTGTACCGAATATCGCCTTGCTTGATTTGGAAGTCGTTTCTCTCTGAGCCGCCATTTTTCTGCTCTCTGGTCGCGCAACGTCGCGATCCCAAGTTTCTACATGTTCTTCAAAGGAATTCCGTGGATGTATGCTGACGCGTGACCACTTATTGTTCGAGTCGTCCGTAGCTTGAAGTGGCGGTCTCCTGTAGATTTGACCGTACGAATCGGCATCCTTGGCCTGTGGAGATTGTCCTCTCTTGCGATCCCGGATCCAGCCTCCTCCTAACTTCACAGGGGTTGGTGACGGAGAACTGCGCCGCGCATTGGCCTTCCCCCTCATCATTCTACGCCAGTGAGCAAGGTGTCAGTGGGACCGTCACAGCCAGGGTCGGTATATGCTGTAAGCTCACCAATGTATGTTACCCTTCGAGCAATCGATGAACCCTTCCTTGCATCATCCTGGAAATTGGAAATTGCATCATGCTAAGCCGTACGGGTGTTCCCGTGCACGAGAGGCCTCGAGGTCTTGAAGGGTCGGAGGTACATAGTCATATCCTACGGACGTGAACGAACGGACCAGTCAGCGTATGAGAGGTTCATCCTCTTGTCGCAAAGGTTGATTGGTGTGGAAGCTGCGATGTGCTTTGACGCGTCCCGCCAAAACAAAAAAGGTATACGGGCCACGCGCCCATGTCACATTATTTTCTTATCTCGGTATAAGTGTGCCAAAGAGGAAAGGATGGTCGTGGGTTAATGACGCAACGAGCAGAAGAATATCAGACTTCCTCCTTGCCTTTCAACAAGCTCCAAGCACCGGACATAGTACCAAGACCGCATCTCCTCGGCTTTTTGCATGATCAATTCAACCCGACCGACATCCATGGACTGTCTGCATCGGCTGGTGGAAGCGTGGACCGGACCGCCACGAGCAGCGCCGATCTCATCCCGATCGGTGGACCTGCTCCTCCTCGGCACGGGTTGGACGGGAAGCTTCCTGCTGCCGATAGCAGCAGACGCAGGCTTTCGAACCGCCAGCACGACGAGGGACGGGTCGAATGGGACCATCCCGTTCCATTTCGACCCAGATGTGGACGGCGATGATGATCTGGAGCAGTATATGCGGCTGCCAAACGCTACAACGGTAGTTATTATCTTTCCGCTGTATGACGGAGAGCACAGCAAAAGGCTTGTGCGCAGCTATGAGCGAACAAGGGATGAAGATGTGGCGAGGCCACGTTTCATCCTGCTTGGAAGCACCGGGATCTACAACGTGAGGCCGTCCTGCGCGCTAGAGCTGCTTCACTAGAGCTGACCAAGCAGCACTGATTTGCAGAATGGGTCGACTCTGCAAGCCAAGATTGCATGGGACTCTCCAAAAACAGCGCTGCCGCCGATGACGGAACTCAAAGGGAAACTCAAGAAGCACCAAAAGACCCCACGGAGTCCATGGATCGATCGCAACTCCGAATACGACACGACCAACCCGCGGGCAGCGGCTGAAGACGCTTTCCTGGCACTGTCGACCGCCTCGCCTCCATCGCGAGTCTCCGTGCTCTGCCTGTCCGGGCTGTGGGGTCACGGCAGGTCCCCACGGCGCTTCATCGCTGCGATGGCGAGCAGCAAACAGCGGCTGAGAGCACTGGGAAGCCTCAGCCTCGTTCATGGAAGAGATGTCGTAAGGGCGATTCTGGCCATGCATAGCTTATGGGCGCGTGCGGAAGGCCAGCGGTGGGTGCTGACGAATGACAGATACTAGTGAGGATGCAAGCGGACTTGGTTTGTTTCAGCATGAAACCTGGGACAAGCGCTGATGTTGCATTCATCCACGTCATAGTGACTTTTGGGACCTTGCCTCACGCTGGGGTGGCGCAGGCGAAGCAGGGCGCAATCATCCTCCGCGTGGCCCACAGGGCAAGTGGGTACAAGAGCTGATGGCAGAAAGCCAGCAGCAAGAGTCAACGAACAATCTCGTTGAGGGGCTTGACGAAGATGAAAACACCATTGCGGACAAAGGTGCTGGGCTCGTTCAAGGCCCTTACTCGTCCACGGGAGCCGTACGCGCTCTGCCCCGTACACCAGAACAATGCGGCGAGGCGCTGGACTCATCCGAGTTTTGGAGGACGTTCGATCTAGTCCCTGCGGTCCCTTGGGTAGACTGACGCGCATAATGGCACATATGCAGCTGAACCTACGCGTCAACGCCCGAGAAACACATATTTCTTTGGATCCTATCGAAAGTTCCCTTGCTGCCGGATGCGATTCCATCTCTTTTGTAAGATGATAACACGCATGTTAGCAGTAATGTACAGACTTAAAGGCAGCCGTCTTTTCTTTGACGCATTAAATTATGTACGGTGGTGGCATTCTCACGCGCGCTGTGAACGCTCGCTCTGGGACTAGTTTGGTGGATATAAAGAGTTGGCCTGGAAACCCGGCAAATGCCGGATCCCGGAAACGAATCCCTCCCGGAAAGCCCCAGAGCAGCTAGACCTGCGACCCGGGCCCGGTGACGTTCCGGGCGTTTTGGGACCTCGGTAAGCTCCTGGGGAAGGGGCTCAAAGTTACCGGCCAACTCTAGTTGCGCGAGTGCCTCACTTTTCCAGGAGAGGCGTCGTCCTCTGTTGGGCGCCCGCACTGAGTCTTACCACACTGCCCCAGTGCCCAACATCAATCAAAACTCGCCGCCTATCATTCGAGAGAGCGGCACCGCCAAAAAAAACTGAATACAGCCCGATGCCCGTCACTCACATGCATAACCACTTTCTCTCACTTCGGTCCGTTGCTTCGCACTCAATTCCCCGTGCGCTACGTCCATCAGAAGCAAACGCGCTCGGATCGGGTAGGGCTAGGTTAGGCAAGGCAAGAGATAGAAGCTGCGAAGGCGGATCGGCCGCAAGGTGAACAAAGAAGAACAACGCATTGGGTGGTAAGGTGACGTAGATCGCTCGACCTTTCGTGTGGCCGCCGCACCTAGCCCGACAACCAAAGTTTCAAGATGAGTAGCGCCGACGTAATCGATGCGTGAGTTCTCCAAGTCTGGAAAATGCTAAGCTATATGTGCATAGCACTGATTGAGCTCACACCGCCCGTGCGTGCGTCGGAATCTCGTCTGGGCTCGTCAGCCTGTTCGAACGCACAGTCGATATTGCGCAGAGTTTACCCAAGACCGGGCCGATTCAGACGAGCTACGAGGAAAAGCTTGCTCTGTACAGGTGCGTGACGCATTGATGCCGATTATACAAGCATCGGACATGTAATGGCTCGAGGTGCTAATGATACATCGGCCTCCGGGCTCCTTCGCTTCGACCAGTCTCTACAAGCAAGGTTGGCACTAGCCAAGCATCGTCAATTGCCGGCAAATATGATGTATACTGACCGCCGCTTTCTTTATTGTACAATTACAGCGACCGAAGGAGATGTCCAAGGCAAGCGTCCCGGGCTGCTGGATATGCTTGGCCGCGCTAAGTGGTGGGTTGATCCCAGTCACGATGCCAGCCTGCTCCTACTGACGAGAGATGATGCTTCAATCTGTCGCGTGCAGGGATGCGTGGGCCAAGCGGAGAGGATTGACATCCCGCGATGCCAAACAACTCTACGTAGAAAATATGCTTAGGGTGAGCTCCGCAGTTGATTGAATCCCTGACCCAACTAGCTGACAGACATCTACGTCGACTTACTCAAAGACGCTGCGACGATTTCGAGATCGGCCTCAAGCTATGGAGCTGATAGAGGAACTGGAGAACTACAGCGGTGATGTCGCTGAGCGGGTGATGAGCGGAGCACTTGCAGAGTCTTACACCGACTCGGGCTCGTCTGCTGGGGGGTCTCCGCGGCTACGACGGCGAGCACCTGTGCAAGATTCCGAGGAAGAGGAATCGATCATCTCGGAACCGGCTGCTGCCTCTCTGCAGCACGCAGCGCCCTCCCTGCCGCCGTCATACATTACCGGTCCGGGGGGACTGCCACCGCAGTCGAGCTCCAGCAGTCGACGCACACAGCTCGGAGGCCGCGCAGGGGAGCACCCGCCGCCGTCTGTCACACTGACGCGAGCGAGGAGCTTTCCGCAAGCGCCAACGTCCGTCGAAAATGCCAGTGCGGCGGCGGCTGAGCAAGCAGGCGCGTCCGAGCTGGCGAGCGAGGATGAGGACTATGCGCGCCCTGGCGAGCTGCCTGGCCCCAGCCAGCACGGGAGAGGGCGAAGGCAACGAAGCCGAGCCAGTTATACTGCTGTGCAGCCCGGCGGAGGGCGTTCATCGTGGCAGCAGCAGTATCCTCATCCATACTCCAGCGCCGCCGCGCACGAAAGCCGCTTGTACGCTCTCCCTCCTTCAAGCTCAAAATACCCATCTGCTCCACCGAGCGAATCAGCAGCCGGTGCGGCTGCGGGAGGGTTCAGCGGTAGCGTCGTCGGACAGCACCTGTACAACACTGCTCCTCCCGCAACTTCTTCGCAAGCGGGCAGGCCAGGCGCCGGCCCCTCAGGCGGGGGCATCCATCACTACTATCACCACCGTCCTTCGGACTCCGGCGTGGGACCGGCAGGCAGCGTGCGAGGGCCGTATGCTCCTTCCTCGGTCGGTGGTCGCTCAGGTGGCGGGGGTGGAGGCGCGGGTCGGGGGAGTGTTGTAGCTGGTGCCATTGGCAGAGGAGCTGGTTCTGTCTCTGGTGCCGGCGGCCCATCGCGCAGTCAGCAAGTTGACCAGGCACTGCAGAATATCCAGGCATCTCTTGCTGCGCTGCATGAGCGACTGAATCGCGTCGAATCAAGGCGGGGCTGGTCGGCCTTCCTCACCGACGCAGGTGGCACAGGTGGCGGCAGCAGAGGTAGTCGACGACGAGCGCTGCACAGCGTCTACGAAGCAGTCGCTAATGCCGCACATGACATTGCGGTCCTGCTCGGCCTACGCAACCCGTATGCGAGCAACGTATCAAGCGGCGTGGCACTCGCTCCGTCCTACCTGGCTCAAAGCGGCGGCAGTGGTGGTGGCAGCGGCGATGCGCGAAGCAGGGCACGAAACGATCTGTTCAGCGCGCCGCTGCGCCTGGCTATCGCGCTGCTCAACCTCTTTGTGCGCCTGGCGCTCGACGCAATGAGCCTCGCTCTGATTATGAGCGCCCTGCTGCTCATCGTACGCCGGATTACCGGCAGAGGCGACCCGCTCATCATCTTGCGCCTCATCAGGAGGTGGACCGGCATCAGACCCGGTGTCATCATTAGTGGCGCTGCGGCTGCGGCGACGACCAGGGTCAATGGTGGAAATTCAGCTGGTGCCCAAGGTGCTGCGGTAGTTATAAGGAATCGGACGTAGGAACATGCCAGGCGTTAGAACATGTGACTTGTGTAGACCAACATTATTAGAATGCGTAACATTCATGATTGCATTTCTCCTGCGTTAGCCAAGCGATACCATTGCCTTGACAACGATAAAATAGAAGGCGGGGTATGAGGCGATCGTTGTTTCGTGGATACAGGGGATCCTCGCATACAGTGACACGAGCTGTCCCGCGAACCCCTTGCTCGAAGATCGCGAAGGCGACAGGCGACAGGCGGACGAAAGCTCTAGCGAGGGTTGCGGGACTGGCGCCAGAAATGACATTAGTGTCCGCAAGCGTGGCAGCTACTCGGTTACGGTGGCAAGAACATTTCCCACCGGATTGACACTTCTGACTACTGCGACAATGGTTGAGACCATTACCGTGGCCAACATTGACACTGTTGACATGAGGCTATGATGCAGCTTAAACAACGTCCACCATCATCCTATCGATAGGAAGGAGATTGTTGCGCGTAACGTTTACCTGGGAATTGAATGTGGCTGATCGAATCGTTGCGACCCCTTGATACGGAAGATGAAGGGGGCGAATACTTAGTACCTCTGGCCATTCTGATTCCTCTTTGCGTGCTACTTCACCCTGTACACGTGCAAGTCTACCAAAAGGCTAGCTTTCGATTTACTTGTGTCAGATCACCAGCGTCCTGGGTTTCAGCAGCGTATCTGTCAAGCTCAAGGGGATCCATGCCTTTGTGCTGTGGCTCCGTCAGCGGAATTCACAGAGACCCTTCCGGAGACGATCGATCTGTTACTGACAGTCAAGGAATCGGCCTTTGCTTGAAGGATGTAGTCTTAAGGAAATACCGACACTTGATTATGAGAGCTGCGACAGAGTAGAAGTTTAATTCCAGAAAGTGGAAACGTACATGGGCGAACGATCGCACGGGTTTGTACATCCGTGGCCGTGACGCAGAGATACATGGCAAAGCATCTAGCGATTCCTTAATAAGTGGAGGCAGTGGAGAATCCTTGTTTGTACAAAGCGAGGAGTGATGTCAACAAAGGGGAAAAGCCCAAGAATGATGAGAGCTAGGTCGAGGCGACTTTGTGAGTACAAAAACAAAGAAGAGCCATTCTTGCTCTTTTTGTGCCATGAAGACGTGAAATTAAACAGTCTGTATCCGATCGGCTTGCTCTCTTGTTGCAAGAGGAGTCTGACATAGTAAAGGTGTAGAGTGCGAATAGAACCAGGATCTTCGTGTTGTTGCTTGTAGTTGCGACAGTGATATGACGTGGGAGTCGTCGTGCGGTTGTTTAATTGGAGCTCCGTTCCGACAAGTCGGAGATACGTAGAGTATTACATAAAAGCCCCCAGTGACGTCTATGATGTCGATCCCCGACTACGTCTGACCATCCGTCTCTTTCTCCTTGACACCCAGCGTTCGAAAATCGAGGAGAATAGCCAAAGGGGTCGATCAAGGACGCTAGAGAATCAGCAGCGCAGCCCCAGGAGGAACCGTCGTCATCCCTAATTCTCTCTCTTGCAATTGCATCCGCCATCGTTCGCGGCCCGCTCGTGACGGTGTCGGATGTATCGACTGGCAGAGAAGCTGTCCGTTGACGTAACGCATTGAGCAGTTCGAGCATCGTTGAGGTCTCGTCGCGCCGAAAGTATGACGAGTGCAGGTAGCGATGCGCAGAGCGGCCCGCTCGGACCCGTCTTTCGAGTCGTGCCTGGCGTGCAGAGCTATGATTGGGGCATCAAGGGCAAGGACGGCAGCTTGGTAGCCAAATTTGCATTCGAAGGTGTGGGCGCAAATTTGCTCGGGCATGCGTACGACGATGACAAGCCTTATGCGGAGGTGCGTTGAGAAATGAATTCTGTCACAAATTAGGCTCGCAGGTTGAAGGATGCTGTTTCCAACAGCTTTGGATGGGCACGCACCCATGCTGTCCGTCTCGCATCCTCCCTAGGGAGTCAAGTTCGCCCACTTCTTCCGAGCTGGTCTCACTTTCTTCCTATCTAGCATCCCACCCTGATCTGCTCTCCAAAGCGGTCATTGAACACTACGGTATTCGCCTAGACAAGGAGCACGCAAGCAAGAACTCCGTTTTGCCGTTCCTTTTCAAAGTTCTCAGCGTTGGAAAGGCACTCAGCATTCAAGCACATCCAGACCGGAACCTTGCAAAGCAGCTGCATCGGCACAAACCGAACCTGTACAAGGGTGCGTACACCAAAAATCTCTTGTCATTGGATTCTGAAACCCCGCGCTCATACTTCCTGTTCGCAACGGCGTAGATGACAACCACAAGCCAGAAATGGCAATCGCCATCACCGACTTTTGCGGGTTCTGCGGGTTTCGGCCATTCGAAGAGGTCGCGCGGTTCGTTACGGAGGTACCAGAGTTCAAGGCGATCGTCAATCTATCCGAAGAGACAATCAATAAGGTCATCACCGCACAACCTGCCGATGTACCCGAAGACGAACAGAAAAATCTTCTTTCAAAAATCTTTAGCGGCTTGATGAAGGCCCCAGACTGTGATATTCAAAAGTACACAACCCAGCTCGTCCAGCGCTACTCTTCCTCCACGTCTGCAGTATATTCTTGTGAAGCCGAAGCTTCCATCCCACGCCTAGTGTTATCCCTACATGCCCAATTCCCGAACGACATCGGTCTCTTCTGCGCCTTCCTCCTCAACGAGATCCATCTGACCCCTGGCCAAGCTCTATTCCTCGGTGCCAACACACTGCATGCCTATTTACACGGCGAGATTATCGAGTGCATGGCGGCATCAGACAATGTCGTGCGCGCAGGCTTAACGCCAAAGGCACGTGACGTAAATACGCTGGTTGATATGCTCACATTTGAAAATGGGCCGGGGGACCGGCAGCTGATGCAGTCGCATATATGGGACGGTGGGAAGTTCGGACTGTCGACACTGTACCAGCCGCCAATTGACGAGTTCAACGTTTTACGGACCGTACTTGGCGGCTGCCATGGCAAGGAGGAAAGTCACCGCAGCATTCGCGGTCCTTCTATCACCATCGTCACACAGGGTAAGGTCAAGACTACCTGGGATATAGAAGGAGCAAATTCAGGCAGCATGGATCTGGTCGAAGGTAACGTCATTTTCATTGCTGCCAGTACCACGGTTAACTTTTTGGTTTATGGCGAGCAGGAGGCCATCCTGTTCCGCGCTTACGTGGAAGTTTGACGATCAGTGCATCATGGTCTGTAGTTGATGAGGACTTTGTATTCTTTACCCGAAAAGTGAGAAATCTGGTACATGGAAGCACTTGCTGTATCGACAAGACGCCATTTGCACATTCTCGAAAATGTTCTTTATAGCACGTTATTTTATGAAAATTACAAGCGCAGGAGCAGGAGCAGCAAGTCGTTCCCGACAGGGATTGGATATAGACACCTGACCGTCGTGGGGCGCCCATATACTAAAGTGCCCGGAATCGATTGTAGAATGATGACTTCGCATTCATGATTGAATGTTTTCGTGCGCCTTGCGGCAATGCTCAACTGAAAGTGGCTAAAAGGCCCCGACATGGCGGCCCGTGCAGCGGATTGAGGAGACGTCCGTAGGGCCGAGCGCAAATAAGTGGAGAAATTTTGGAATTGAGGCGTGTACCAGAATCCTTGAAAGCAAAGTGGAGATTGATCCCCGTCTATTGTGTCGAAGGTGGATGCAGATTGAGAAAGAGCAAATCAGGTTGGTTGCAAGCAGTGGCCGTGGCTGCGCTGAAAGATGGATGATTGATGCAGGTATGCTGGTGTTCGTGATGGAACTGGGGTGCTTGAAGCGTCAGCCTTGATAAGGTCCGCTCCAGCCTCGGCGATGCCATAGACAAGCGCTTGGATGTGCGCAGATACGTGCAGAGGAATGATGCTGGCGTCAACGACGCGGACGTTCTGCGTACCGTAGACCTTCAATCGAGGGTCGACAACGCCACCTTGACGTTCCGGCAGCATGGACGCAGTACCCTGAATGAGTAAAGAGGGCGAGATTTTAGTTCGAGAAAAAGATGAAGGATGCGCCAGACGCAATGTTACTACTCACGACAGGGTGGTATTCGGTGGTGAAACCAGTGGTAGTAGTGAAGGCTTCGAGAGAGGCAGCGTCGTTGCCGACAGCAGCGCCAGGCACGACCTCTTGGGCAATATAAGACCCGTACGTCTGCGTCGCAGCGATCTTGCGGAGAAAGCCGGTACCGGCGCTTGCCACGGTCCGATCAAAGTCCGTAGTGTAGTAGTTGGCATTGATGACGGGGTATGTTGTGGGATCCGACGAGCTGATGTGGATGGAGCCACGAGAGAGCGGATGCTGCAATGCGGCGAAGAAAGTAATGTAATTCTTGCCGGCCACTGGAGCGCCGGCGCCAGCAAAATAACCGTCGACACCAATGAGCTCCATCTGGGTGACTGTTTCGTTGTCCTTCTTGAGGAACTCAATCTGCTTCCAAAGGGTGGCGTTGTAAGGTGAGTGCGAGCTGTTGACGTACGATTCAGCTTGAGAGATGATTTTTGACGCCTCATCGTCGCCGACCAACTCCTGTAGGTTGATGTAGCCAATCGAAGGAACCGTCTCGGTCAAGATCGAAGCTGGGTTCTTCGAATTGGCTGTGTAAAGTTCCTTTTGCTCTGCAGCGAATGTCGCATTGTTGCGGAGGGAGTCGAGCGTCGTGTGGCCGCTCTCCAGCTCGTAAGCGGCGAAGCTGTACGTGTGTTCTTGTAAGTTCTCGCCGACTGGAAGCTCTTTGAGCTGCGGGATTCCAGCAGCGGACAGAACGCTCTCCTTTCCGATGCCGCTTCTCTCAAGAATGGCAGGGGACATGACCGATCCAGCAGACAGGATGACTTCCTTACGGACTGGCACCGTGTAGGAAGCACCGTTATACTGGAAGTTGACACCGCTCGCCACCAGATTGTTGCCGATGGAATTCTGGTTGAACATGATCTTGTCGACCAACGCGCCAGTCAGGACCTTGAGATTTGGTCGATTTGAATTTGGCCAAAAGTAAGCGGCTGCCGAGTAGCTGCGGGTCGAATTGGCGGGGTTGATGTCCGACGGCTGCAGGGCTGAACCATTGTTGTCGCCCTTTGCCCGGGTGTTGGACTGAATGCCGAGACTGCTGAGCGCTGCGATCCATTTGGATACCTGCTCACTGACATAGAACGGAAAAGAGACGTGGATCGGGCCAGAAGTTCCGTAATCGGAGGCAACAGGAGTAAAGTTCATTGCTTCGATCTTGTCGGGGTCCGGCTGTGTGTAAGTCTCGGCCTTCTTGATATACTTGTAAACGAAATCCCAGTTCCATCCCGGCGAGCCCAGCTGCTCCCAAGCATCAATTTCCCGCTTGTTTGGCCGGTCCCAAACCAAGAAGTTGAGCGCACTCGAGCCTCCCTGAACGAGATTGACGAATTCGGGGAAGTCAGAAGAAAGGATCACAGTCGAGGTGGATGGATGCATTAGGTGCGGCTCACCAAGACGTGACCTCTAGGCCAGCCGACAGCAGGAACGCCGTTGGACTGCGGCTGCGTAGTCATGTTCCAATCATATTTGGTACCGAGGTCCGCTCCAAACTGACCAGGAGTGTCGATGATCGGGTCTCCGCGACCATCGGGACCGGCTTCGAGTACCGCGACAGTGTACTTTCCACCCTCACTGAGCCTGGCAGCGACAGTCAGACCTGCAGTTCCTCCGCCTGACAGGGGTAAAGACTCGTCAGATGGATTGTATTTGGCCAAGGTGGCTGGAGATGTAAACATACCCAAGACGACGTAATCGACACCACTCGCTGGACGATCCCGTGGCTGCGCCGCGGCATTTGCAAGGAGAGAAGAGATAAAATCCGCAGCCCCGTTTTCTTGGATCGGGAGAGCGTGCGAACAGGAGACGACCGCAAGAACAGTCGCGACGCCGGCAGCAGCGGCAATGCTTGCTCTCATATTCGGCTTTCGGAGATGAGGTGAAGGAAGGTGAAGCGAGGAAGAGGGAGATAGAGGATCAAATACCCGTGAGACGGATGCTGGTGAGGGTGGGGTGACAATGAGTTTGGTCACGGGGAGATGCGTCCGGTCGTGGTTCACATGCGGGCGCCAAGGGCGGCCAGCTGCATATAAAGGAGCAGAAAATCTGGTGGTCAGTTGCCCCAGTTGAACCCCAACGCAACCGTTGGTCGAAACAGGTACCCATGCAGCTGGGTGGCGAATGATCGGCAGTGGGGCACGATGGCAGACGGTGTCTGAATGTACACTGGGGAGCCCTACCGACAGTGTACCGCACAGACCCAGGGCAGTCCCAGGACGGCCACGCACGGGATTCTTCATTCATGCGAGGGCAAACAAAAACTTAGTATAAACAATCGCTGGCAGGCGCCCTCAAGCCTGGTCAGCCACAGTTCGTCGATGCTTTGAGCCATTTGGCAAATGAACAAATGGTTGTCAGTATCAGAGAGATCTGCGTCTGTATCAAGAGGGGAAACCCGCACTGTACCAGCTGGAGGCTGCTGGACGTTGGTAGACGTTGGCAGACGAAACCAAACGTCTACTCCACAGGCGTGTGCTCCCCCTTTACTTGTCTGCCATCTGATCATTGATCGATGATGACATGGCTCGAGCCTTGGTACAGTCTCGGTAGAGCACTGTAGGCGTTATGAGTTGATCCGGTTCACCAAACTCAATCGACCGTGTGAAGATGCAGACGGAGAACTGGTGAGCGAAGAAGAGCACAGTCAGCCTTGCAGCATATATCATGAGAGTGGCGCACAGTCTTTCGGCGCAACAGGCTAACGGCGCGGGACTCTCCTCGTCCCATCTCGATTGGGACTTTGAGCATATCCAATATCGCCCTCAAATTCGAAATATCGAAGGAGAAAAGCGCAACGATAGGTGAAGAAGCAAAGAGCGAAAGGGTAAAAGATCCACAAGTTCACGCGTGCCCACTATCCCCTGCTCATGACCAGATTAAGCACGGTTCGGGTAGATTATATGTGTATGCAAACGTGCAATTTCATTATTTTTTTCTCGCATGTCAGGGGCATCTGCAGCTTGAATGGATTTTCGAAATTGCCACTCGGTATTCCATATGTATGTATTCATACATTTCAATCCCTCAAACATATTCATATATCCAACTTCATGAACTTCATGCTCTCATGTTGTAGAAGGGGGAACCCACCGCCTCCTTTCGGGACCGCCACAGTTATCTCAGGACTTGCCAAGGCGGACCGTGAGTGTCTGTAACCGCTTTTCTTCTAATTCTTTTGATCGAGGGAACTCGGGATATAGCAATGAAGATTGGAGAGGGCAGTAGGGTATGGTCGCAAGGCGTTCACGCGTCGACCGTGTATTATGTGAAGCACAACGGTCATTTCATCTACGGCAATTCTGCAGTTGACAGGTTGGCATGCGTCAAGCGTCGCATTCTCACACGTTTCGACCGTCAAAGCAAACTCGACAAAGTTTTCAAAGCAAGTAGACTCCTTCAAGCATCGAGTGAGTTCCTGGCGATTTCTGAACCTCATCGCCTCAATGCACAGGCTGTCCTCGACAGTCGAGCCACGACGACGCTTGACGTTCGCAGGTCGGCCGACAACGCCGAATGGGCAACGAGTTTGCAACAGCTCTCTGTTGACGAGTGTGGAATCTGGACCTGTGGGCATGTAGGCACTGGGCAGACGTGGACAGTAGGAGGCTGAGGGAGGTAGTGTGTGGGATGGGATTGCTGCGGGGGGCCATGGGGCATGGGCTGGCGTGGCGTCTGCACTCAATTGCCCATGCCTCATACCACATGTGCAACGGTCTGCACAACGCTGCACGGATGAAGAGTGGCTGGAGTGCACTGCTGCATACACTGTGCTAAATGCACATCAATTATTAGGGATGTACATCCATGTACGCACGTACACATGGATGTGCATTATGCAGGCGAGCCCCTGGCTGTCACTATTTTAGTCTGCACTTCTGCGCTAAACTTTGATGACGAAGGGTTGGAGGCGCAAGGCAACCCAACGGCGCAAGGGTGATGAAAAGACATACCATGATGAACATACACGAATTGCATAGTAGTATATCGGGGCTTTTTCACTTTTGCCTGTTCCCATTGTTTTTGGGTAGTTGTTGGGTCTGTCACAGTCCCTGGTGACAGGTGGTTGTGACTAGTATAATCCCAGGACTTTTCCTCCCTCAGTTCTCCTATGGCTTACCCCTGAAAAATGCTTACTGGCAACGCAATTTTAACGCCCGGGGCCATGGAATGAAGACTGGAACCCCGCTCCTGAGAACAACATTTTACACATCGTACATACATCTCATTCAGCATCAGGTCTCATTCTCTCCCATGGCCTCTTGATCTCTGCGCAGCATCTACAGCGCATCAGCGATAGGCGATGGGAGCATGCCCAGGCTCCAGACTCTCAGCTTCCAAGCTATTCCAGGTTGGCGCTGGTCGGCGCCAGCCGCCGAAGACTTGGAAGCTCACGCGCAATCATGAATGCGGTTGCACGGTCATGCGCTCATGCGCTCATGGAGGCTCTCATGCGCCCATACTGACTATCCTGGCGATTCACCAAGCGACTCCCCTTCAATAACAGTTCATGCTCGCTATATATATATACTCTATACCCTATAGTACGCCTTAGCGCGCTGTGGTGCCGGTAGACACTTGAGCAGATGTGTGTATCTGGGACCTTTCTCACAGGCATCCTCCGTACCAAACGGATGCCCCGGATCACGCCAAGAGTCGCCTTCAAGCTTGAGGAAGACTGAGGATGATAAAAAATACTATGTACATGCCGTAATACGCGAGGCAAGTCTTTCGAGAGCAGCTGCTCTCTGCGCCGCCTACGTCCGAACATAGCGGGGACCCAATTGCTGATAGGAGGATCAGAATGTTGAGCAGGCAGCGTGGGATATCCTCATGGAGACTGGGCTCACTAGTCTCTTCTGGACTGTAACCCAATCCACGCGTTTTCCATAGGGGCTCCAGTCGCACCATTGGTGGCCCACTGTTGGCGATGTTTCTTTGTCTCGCCCATGTCGTAATTCAAAGTGGACACCCAGACCTGGTGTGCTCTGTCGTACGTCACGCTGAGAGAAAGATATGCCTAGCTTTTCGGACAGTACACGCAGGTGCATGGAGGCACAAAAGTCTGGCATGTTTGTGCGTGAAGCTGATGGCACCTCTTGCCTCCTTTTGTTCGGCCGCGCTGCTTGATTTCCCGATGAGTCACATTCCCGTCGAAAAGCAGATTCATACGGAACAGCTGAGTGAACCTAGTCTCATCTCAGTTCCCTTTTGCGTCGAGCTCCTGTCCGCAGCGGAAAATTTTGACAAGAGCATTGCACAGCTATGATGTTTGATATACCCCTGCGTATCTCGGTGTTAAGGGGGTCGGTACATCCAGAGCCAACATCGAGGTATCGAGTGTTGCGCACAGAAAGGATTGATCGTACGCGCGCATCGCATCGCATGCATGTGAAGCCTCATACCTCATCCTATTTGAGGGTCCTTGCCCGTGGTTTGAACATCGCAAGCTGACGCTCAACATTGGCGAAGGGGTTAGTGTACATCGATTGCTTGAAGGGTTTGTAAGGCGAAACGCCGTGAGGATAGCCCCTGGCTGCTTGTCCTTATCGCTGCGCGTCCACTTGCTTGCACCCAGTAAAAGGGTACCGACATGCTGCCAGCAAGAGTTCTTTGCCACTCGAGTGCCTGCTGGCATGAGAATGGTAAGCACTTTAGAGCTCACATATCCACACAGACATGTCAAACGAAGCGGATGAGAATGTTGTCACGCTTGGTGTGGCCTTATTTTTTTTGGGTGGGAGCGCGTCATGTGCCCGTCTCGCTCTTGTGACGCAATATGACACGGATTTTTTTTGGATAACCCGCGCGGATGCAAGCCATCATTCAACTGAGTTGTGCTCATGCAATGATGACGTGTTTGGGAGAGTGCTGAGTGGGCGGGCAGACAGTCAAAGTGGCAGGTGAGCAGAGCACATCACACAAATGTCACACAGGAGGAGAGGCGTCAGAGGCGTGGGGAGAAAGCACACGGCGAATGATAAATGCATGGTGGATGGCGTTGACGCCTTGCCACCAATCGCTCTAATATCCGTGACTGCTATTCTAGTCGACCAGAATCGTCACCTCAATTCTGTCTCCAGCGCAACACTCTCTCCACGTGAATGCAACTTGGCTTGCATGACTCCTGGCGACACAACACAGGGACATGGGGCTCTTGCGGCGACGAACTGCTTTAGACGGAATTTTGCGAGGAGCACCTGATTACGACGCCCTGTCTCAGCTCTTGTAGCCCAAACTCGCCTTGGAGCGATACAATGTTCTAGGGACCCATGTCCACACTCTGCTCATTATCGGAGGTCTCATCGTGGCAAGTTCCGACGCGTTTCTCGCATCCTTCTTCGCCTTCCCCAGCCCCACCTCCCGCGCCACTCGAGTTCACTCGATCTTACACCTGACCGGTGGCGCGTGAACGCTCAGGCCCTTCGCCATACGCCAGTGTTGTGTTGCGGCTAGCCAGGTGTGAGCCTGATCAGATATGCTGGTCTCGCAACACCAGCAAACAGCCGTGCCACTGACTGGAGCACCTTTCTCTTCACCGCCAGCATGCGCTAGCGGCAGTCCTACGATAATGCATCCAGGTGGCATAGGAGCAGCTCTGGCGTCCGCGTCGACGCCAATGGGGAGCCATTCTGTCGCGTCTGGAGTAGCGCCAGCGCACGACGAGAATCACCCTTGGGCACAGCATTTCGCATTGATGCGCGAGCAAGAGGGAGAGTTGGCAGGTCTTAGTGGCGGCGTGAATGGAGTAGGGTGGGTATCCAGGCCAGGTGGCGTCCCAACTGCGCTACCCACAAGTCTAAATGCCCGAAAGGCAGATGCCGATGGGGGGTTCTTTGGTGGTGCAAGCGCAACGTCAACATTCCCTTCGTCAATACGCACCCATGAAGCAGCGCCTCCTATGCTAGGTCAAACCGCAACGGCAAGTTGCGGCGGTTCGGCAGCCGCCCCTTTTGCATCTCGCAAGCCATCCTTCAAAATGCAGCTGCCCAACTTGACTGCTCGCCCACCGCTAGTATCGTCTTTCTCCTTGCCAGCGCCATCTGGAACAGTGGGGAGCTTCTCCGCGCACCTTGCAAGCTTTTCCCATTTGAATCAGTCACCCAAGAGGCATGCTGACGGCAGCGCCACATCTGCAAAGTTTGCATTTCTTCCCATCTTTGCAACTCAAGGGCGGGCCGCGAGCTTGAACAGCGATGCCAGTATGCGAAGAGCACAAAGTGGTGGCAGCGGTGGCAGTGACAGTCGCATTGGCAGGCCTATACTCCCTGACAAAGCGCAGTCGTCGCATCGGCTTCAGGTTGACAGTGCGGTTGACCGCAAACTCAAGCGTATCGAAACTGCTGAGCTCGCGCGGCTCCTCAGATCGAGCCCTGCCGACGTCGAAGGAGCGTCAGATACTCTGGTCATTGACATTCGCCCTTCTACATCGTTCAGGGTGGCACGCATACGCGGCAGCGTCAACGTGTGCGCTCCGAGCACGCTGCTCAAACGTCGGACTATCACTGTCGAGAGGATCGAGGACGAGTTGCTCCCTGTGGATGATGTTGATGGGAGTGCCGAACGTGGCCCCTCGAGCGGCGGAATCAAATGCGAGAACGAATACTTTCGGAGGTGGCGAACGAACAGATATGCATGGGCCTCTTCGCCGGCCACACCCAGCGATCAACTATCTGGCGCCAAGCTTGAGCGTATTGTTGTTCTCGACATGGACACTGACAACCTCTTGGGAAAAGGAAAGGCTTCCGCAGGAGGCGGGGGCGCTTGCCTTCGAGGCTTGCTGGACAAATTCAACGATGCAGGGTTCGCTGGCGAGCTGTGCTGGCTCGCAGGCGGGTTCAAGCAGTTTGCATCCTGTATCGCGGCAAGCGGTTTGATCATCCATGGCGATGGCCCTTCGCTCGAATGTCAACAGCAGAGCATGAGCACAGGAAGACAACCGAAGGCTTCGTCAGTATCCACTGCACCGGGCAAGTTTCTGCTACCCGGAAAATCGCCATCGAATGCGCTCTCGTCAGCGAGGCCCAGCGGTATCCGTCGCGCGTCAGCTCCTTTCTTTCCGAAAGGATTCACCATCCCGTCTTTCAAGTTCAGCTCTCCATTCAGCTTGAATTCCACCGGCGGCAGCGGCTCAAACTCGTCTGGCTTTGGGCCCAGCGTGACTTCAGGCTCCGGCACAGTGGCAATGGGCAGCTACACGCCTCGCAGCGCACCCCTTGCGCCGCGTGCGCCGAGCTCTAAACACTCCCTAGTTCAGCCGCGCTGCCTGCCGATGGAGGCGTTCACCACACAGACGACGGTGCAGGGACCAGCATCGATGGGATTGTCCACTCGGAAGATCGGATTGGAGGCGGAAGGCGGCTTTGCCTTTTTCGCAGCTCGTGATGACACTAATGATGCCTTCGGCAAGGCTAAGGATGCGCAGAAAAGCGAGAACAGTAGTGTTTGCAGTGTGAGTACCAGTTTCTGTGGTTGCACGCATTGCTCCCGCCCTGACTTGCCCAAACATGCTCCTCAACAGGCCGCCTTTGCCAATCCGTTCTTCGACAACATCCGTCAAAACCGCGAGCTGGCGCATGGTGTCACGGAGCACATTCCTCTCGACGTTCCGGTGATCACGCAGGAGGAGAAGGACGCGTTGCCACTGTTTCTCAAAAAGCTGGTGGACCTCCCTGCAGTGGAGCGTGCTGAAGTACTGGCGCAGAACTTTTTCAACATCGACCGCACAGAGCAGGACAGGCTCAATGCTACTATGAGACAGCACGCGTCGGAGTCGATAACAGACCCAAGGTCGTCCAGTGCGCCGATCTCCACAGGCGAGAAAGGCGGCGGAAGCAACAGCGGGAGCGTATCTAGCCCCAGGGCCCTCACAACAGCACCCTTCTCTTCCATTCCTGACGTTTGCTCCGCTGCGGGTGAGCGCTTCCCGTTCAGCATCGCAGCGGCACTGGAACGCGGCGCCGACAATCGGTACAACAACATTTGGACATACGAGCACAGCCGGGTCCGATTGGCGCATCCACAATCGTCTGACGATCCCGGCTCGGACTACATCAATGCGTCCTTCATCGAGCCGGCGCGACGGTACGGATCGCGAAGACGCTTTATTGCCACGCAGGCACCGATGCCCAGCACCTTTGAAGCGTTCTGGCAGGTGCTCTGGGAGCAGAACAGCCACGTCATTGTCATGCTTTCGCGTGAGAAGGAAGGCGGACGCGTCCAGTGCCATGACTATTGGTCCCAACCGTTGTGCGGCAGGTTCATGAAGACAGAAATGATCGATGAGGTCAAGCTTACGGACCGGGGCGAAATCATTCACTCCAAGCCGTCTGACGGCAGTGGCGGTAGCGGTTGCAAGGGTGATTCAGGAGGCTTTTTCTCCGCTGTTGATGCCGGCGGCACATCAGAGGGTGAGCCTACCATCGTTCGGCGCTTGTTGCGCTTGACCAACACCTCGCGGCCAGACCTCCGCCCTCGACACATCGTTCAGCTGCAGTACCTCGCGTGGCCCGACTATTTTGTTCCAGAGAACTCTGCCTCCCTCCTCAACCTGATCGACCTGGCCGATCAGACGCAGCATAAGTTCGATCAGGACCTTTCAATGGCGCACAGTCCACTCTCGCGCTCATCGTTCCACAAGAGTGTGGCTGCGACAGTTGGACCGATGATTGTGCATTGCTCTGCTGGCGTAGGCAGGACAGGTGCATTCGTTGTTATCAACAGCATCCTCGATGTCCTACGACGCGAACGCCGATGTGCCAATGATCGACGCACGCTAGCCTGCTGGGACGATGGGGTCAAGTCGATCGACAATTGGTTGTTCTCGCATGTGCTCGCGGATTTGCCTCCGCCTGATGCAGGTCGCTTCGGCCGCCGCAGCAGCACTCGACGCAGCCTCAAGCGAGAGCTCTCACCTTCGGCAGCCAGCATTGACACGGATTCGGAGGCGGACGTCGGTGGCCTCTCCTCTCCTCCCGCTTTCCGGCGCACGCGCTCAAGAGAGACGACGAATGATGAAGGTCCAGTGCTCGAGCGCTCATCACCCTTGCTCACCCCTTCGAAGGCCTTGCACAATTTGGACCTTGCCTCCAGCTCACCCAGGGTTGATCTCTCGCATCAAGGATCCGTCCCCATGGAATGTGTCATTCAGGATAAGGTGCTACCTCAATCTCACACAATGTGCCGGAATGGCTCGACGACTTCGAGTACCGCCGACTCTTCCATCTCCGCGCCGTCATCTGTCCTCAGTAGTTCGGGTCAGAGCAGTAGTGTAAGCAGCGGCCTGCTTCATGGACGCGATACGACGTCTGTGGCATCTTCGCTCTTCTCTAAGCCGTCAGCATCTATTCCGTGCGGACAGTTCCCGTCTATTGAGCTCAAGCGAGACCTAGATGATGGCGCACAGCGCGCCGCTTCGGCATTCTCGACGGACACGGACTTGATCAAGCAGACGACCGAAACGGTTCGGGAGCAGCGCATGAGCAGCATACAAACCACGCGGCAATATGTCTTTGTGCATCTCGCAATTCTGGAAGGTTGCATTCGCGATTATAGGCGGTACCAGCAGGAGTCCAAGAATTGCAAATAGCCATATCGGACAGAAATCCTTCCCCTTTCATATGCTTCGGCCATCCCACAGCTCCTCGCATGTCGCAACACAGTATCGCCGCCTGTCCTGCAAAGCATCAACGTGTCACGCATTTGTACCTGATCACACAGACAATAGTATATTCTCGATCAAGCAAGAAAATTTTGCTTTCCACGGCTGTCGAGATCACGTTGAACAGGGTCCTTGGCACACATTCCTCCTCTGTCTCAAATGCTACAAAGTATTGAAGCAACCACTGTTTGACGGCCTGGAAGAGATTCGACTTCGTCGAACCGAAGAAGTCGCGAGCTTCTGAATGTAGTAAACACTGGAGCTCCGTGTCGCTTTCTCGTAAACGCGAATGCGCTGCCTGCGTGGTGATGCGTTGAAGGATTGAATAGTGATCCTGCCAGTGGCTACAGAAAAAGCGGAAACGCTATTAGGGTTGTCACCCGCCACTCCCGTGACCCGAAAGCGACTTCCTTGCGCAGTTGGGCTTGTTCCGCAGCTTTTATTGCGCCCACCGCCAGTTTTACCACCCTCCAGCCTGTATCGATCCGCATCGACCTCAGTCGCCTCCGCTCATTAGGTGTTAATCGCAAGCTTTGCTGCCTGCCCTTCATTGCTACCTCACCCACCTCGACATTGTTTTTGTGAAGGGCACTACGTCAAAATGGGTCGTGTCATTCGCGCTCAGCGTAAGAGCGGCGGTATCTTCAAGTCGCACACTGCGCACCGCACCGCTCCGGCCAAGCTCAGGCCGCTGGACTTTGCAGAGAGGAACGGATACATTCGTGGTGTCATCCGGGAGATTGTCCACGATGCTGGTCGGTGAGTCGCCCGCTTGCTTGCACATGCAGGGCTGGGATGGTATCGGTAGCCACACAAAGCTGCATGCGAGGTGGATCCGATCAGGAATATTAGTGGACAACAGGCCTTTGGGTATCGATGAGAAGGTGCTGGGGCATGCAGACTTTGGACTGGGCTCGCGTCGCGTATCGGACGCTCTGGCAGGGCATCAAAAGTGGAAAGCGTGGGATGCTGCATGAAGCCAAGGTGTGCTATGTCGAAAGCGCGAGACACAATCAAGCTCGAGGTGCTCTGGATGTGTCTCTTAAGCTCCCGGGCGCTGCAGCGGCACCAGGCGATGCAAAGAAGTTGGGGGCAACCGCAGGGAAATGATTGGGTTGTTGGGAGCTTTAGGTCTAGATGCAACTGTTATGCTGAAGCTGACGAACGGCCATTTTGCAACGCAGTGGTGCGCCCCTCGCCAAGGTGACCTTCCGTGACCCGTACCGCTACAAGCTCCGCACTGAGCACTTCATCGCAACCGAGGGCATGTCTACCGGCCAGTTTGTCTACTGCGGCAAGCGTGCCGGTCTCACTGTTGGCAACGTTCTCCCGATCTCAGCCTGCCCTGAGGGTACCATCATCTGCAACGTGGAGGAGAAGCCAGGTGACCGCGGTGCGCTAGCCCGTACCTCTGGCAACTACGCGACTGTCATCGGCCACGACGCTGACGGCATCAACTCGCGTATCCGTCTCCCATCGGGCTCCAAGAAGTCCGTCCCATCTTCTGCACGTGCCACAATTGGCATTGTCGCTGGCGGCGGACGTATCGACAAGCCTTTGCTCAAGGCTGGCCGCGCTTACCACAAGTACCGCGTCAAGAGGAACTCGTGGCCTCGTACTCGTGGTGTTGCTATGAACCCGGTGGACCACCCGCACGTGAGTTGCTCGCTTTACGCCGATGATGCGAAAGTTCCTAAGCTTACGATTGCATTTTTTTTACTTTTACTACTGTCCAGGGAGGAGGAAACCACCAACACATTGGTCACGCTTCCACCATCTCGCGGGGTGCCCCTGCCGGTCAAAAGGCTGGTCTCATCGCAGCTCGTCGCACTGGTCTCATCCGTGGTACGCTCGCGGTCAAGGACTAAGCGTAACGCTAGCGATAAGCCAAACCTACGCGCACACATTCCATGTACTATTTCCATGTTCCCCATGGCATTTGCTTCTCACCCGCCACTGGTTTGGCTGCGCTCTGTCAGCAAAGCGTGCTTGGCAGTTGTCAATTGCCCAGATGGATGGATGCGCTACAGCACAACCCAGGTGGCCATGCCGGCCACTGACCTCCTCGGCACGAGGGTAACTTCGTTTTCGTGTCTAGATGTGCGTGCATGCTCCTCAGATACCGTTGGCATTGTAGCAAACGGCGGCTGATCCAGGAGAACGGACCGCAAGGAGTACACCTGGCGTTTTTGTTAGCCATTCGAGGAAACGTGTGAGAGCGGGTAGAGTGCAGACGAGTGACCAGCGGCAAGCCATGTACTCATGCGTCTGGAGAAATACATTTGAAGTCATGCTCGCACATCGCATCTCGCTGGTCGCCTTGGCTATCATCTGTCACGTATGCAATCCGGGTGGCTCTGGTTTTGACAGGAAAGCCGTAAGCATGCGGTGACGAGAGGTCTCTAGCATGTCCCTTTCAGCATGAACGAACACGCTATGTACTCTCGTGCAAGCTCATCCATAGAAGCCATCCGACGGCGCTATATGTCTGCGCTTTTTGACGCTCATGCCTGGTAACTTGAGCGGCAGCGCCCGGATAACCACGCGGCCATGGCAGCACGTACTACGGTAGCCTACGGCCTCCAAAAATATGGCGCCTGCGACCGTCGTTTGAAACCCATTCTGCAGTTTCACTTGGGTAGGACGATGCACGATGCAGACTGGCAAGCTGATGATGCTCTTCTCGCTCCTTTGCAGAAGGAGGGGAAAGCCGCCCACATGAGATGAGCAGATGCTGCGAGGCTGGCGGCGTGTCCGCGGCGCCGACTGTGCGTCCTTTGTTGTAGGCAGCTTCACTGCCAGTGGTCGCTGGTATTCTCCATTTTTTGTCTTGGCTCTTTTCACCAGCTAGCTCTGCAGCGGGCGGGATCTTTCCTCCGATACTGCTGCAGTCCCGCTGGAGCATTCCGCCAGTCTTTGGCGGCTTCCTTCCTTTTGGCGCTCGCACTCCACTGCGCACTTTATTTATTTATTTATTTTTACATTCTCCCCTCTCGCTTCGATTTGCAGGCCTGCGGCCCGGATGATCTGTCCGCGCACGGCGCACCCTGGAAAGTGGGAGGACGATGATGAGGAGGATGCTCTGCAGTCCGGGAAGGAGGGTATGCCTACTGACCAAGCGCGATGACCTGAGATCACTTCGGTGCATGATGAGGGAACAGAAACGCACCCACCAGAGGTCCGGTGTTTTGGTCGTGGGCGCGGTCGGTCGTAAGGCAACACAGGCGTGGTGCTCTGAAGCTCATATTTATTTTTGTGATGAATCCGGCGAATAGAATGTAATAGGATCTGTCACAGCAAAGCAGCCAGACTCGTCGCCTCTGGGCCGCACTACTGCAAATGTTCGGAGTGCCATCATCATCGATAATACCAGCGGCCGGCCGGGCCGGCAAGTAACAACGGTATAGACCCGCTCTTTTGATCTTGGTCATTGTGAGGGGGAGATTTTCGCTCACTTCTCCTCGTCTACAGGCGAAGAGTCGGGGACGGTATTGTGCAGGTTGTCGTCAGCCGACCTTCCCCAGCTCAGCCATGTCCAGCGACCATGGCCTCAACTCGCCGGCGCGCGCCTCGGCCGATGTCTTCGATCAACAACGCAGCAACGTCGGCCTCACATCGCCAGTGGCAGCAGCAGATCAGCATTACACTCCCGGGATAGACAACTCCTTTGACTCTTACTCCCATCACACAGTCGGATCATCCTCCCTCCTGCGGCCAAACTTTCTGGCTACCAGAGCGCGCAGTCGATCCACACGCGGTCTCGACGGGCTACGCGACGGCGTCGAGTCCTCGGCCGCAACGCTATCGTCTGACGAATCAGCGCATGAATACCAAGGTGACGAGCGCCTCCAGCAGAGCACCGCCGAGCCGACAGGAGCGTCGAAGCGAGGCAGCAGCTCACTGAATTCGAAAGGCAAGCGACTCGGCATCATACCTGATCAGCTCTTGCCCGAATCGCTTTTCCAGCAGAGTAAAGGACGTCGTCGTGCGACAACGGGTGAGTCTCGCTGAGCTAAAACGGAAGGGTGGACTTTGGCTGAAATGAAACCCGAAATTTGCGTCTGATCGCGTTCCCTCCTCTAGGTCTACGCAGCCCGTCTTCGCCATCTACGCCCTCCTCCTCTGCGACGGCCCGACCCAGTCTCTTCTCTAGCACCGGCCTACGCTCCTTTCTCAGTCATCTGTCGAGTCCGGCGGCGGAAGTCAAGACGCCAGGCGCAAGGGAGGTCTCCCACATCAACGAACCTACTGCTGGACAGGCGCAAGCTAAGACGCGTTCGCCTGCGTCTTGCGTATGCGCAGAAGGCAACAGGGCCGACACGCCGACCTCGACGCAGATAACCACCACGACAGGGATTTACATTGGTAGCGCCATCTGCAGCATGGGTTCTTTCGCTGCTGGCCCTTCCTTGTATCCGATGGATGGCACGCTGCAACTGGGGACACCGTCGCCGAAACAGGCGCTTGTTCTCGCCAGCGACGCCGACGATGATGACGATGAGCATGACAGCGCAGATGCCGTCAGTGTTGAGAAAGCGATCGACGACGAGGGGTACGAGCCGGCGCAGGCGCGCAAATGGGTGCGGTGCGGAAAACAGAGTTTCCAACATGCCTGGGGCATTGCACACACCACAGCGGACACTGAGACCACCAAGGACCAGCAGCAGTCACAGCAGACCAACGCGTGGCGCAGCTGGATGGGGTCTACATATGCGGCGCCACCTGCACCGCAGCGATCCTGGTCCGGGACGACAGCCACATCGCCCAGCACGGTGGCCTCCCCGCTGTTCGACCACGCCAGCAGCACCGTCTCGCTGCTCAGCTGCACCTGCTCGCCGCCAACGCGACCCGAGTCAGTCGCGAGCAGCATCATCGAAATGGGCACGCCCAAGGCGGCCGCTGTATCGTACATGCGCGAGAACAGCCGCTTCAGCCTGCCCGCGTCGCCGCCGCCGGACAGCGCGGTGTTCTACGCGCAGCAGCCCAGCAGCGGATCGGTCGAGAGCGCGCCGATGCCGGCGCTGATCTCGATCAACCACTCGTCATGGCGCTTGCGTACGCCGATGCTTCGCCCGCATCTGCCGGCGCTCCTGCGTCTTGCGGCCATCTTCGTCGTCTGCACCAGCCTGGTTATCGCGGCGCTGACGACGCTGCCGCTCAAGATGCCGACGCACGGACTCTCCGAGCTGAGCATGGTCGAGATCCGCGACATGGCGTTCTCGCTTAAAGACTACGCGCAGAGCAGCGGCGGCGCAGGCTGGCACACCTGGCTCGTGCTCATATTCTTCTTCACGTGGAAGCAGGCGTTCACCGTGCCGGGAAGCTTGATCATGAACGTCGTACTCGGAGCGCTGTACGGCACGTACCGCGCAACGTGGTACACATCGCTCTTTACCGGCTTTGGCGGCATCCTGTGCTATCTGCTCGCCCGGCCGCTCGGGCCGTTGATTGAGAGCTTTCCCGGCCTCAGCAAGCCGCTGACTGCCATGCGCCGAGCACTTTCGCGATCAGGCAATGACTCACCTGCCACTTGCCCAAACAAGCAACCCTCCCACTCCTCTTCCTCTGCAGACGCCAACATCTGGTCTTACCTGCTGCTGCTCCGCCTCGTCCCGATCGTCCCCTGGGGCGCGATGAACATCTGCTGCGGTGTGCTGCGCGTGCCGCTCTGGCCGTACTTTGGCACGCTCGCCTTCGGCTCCGTGCCATGGAACTTTGTCACTTGCCAAGTCGGCGACATTTTGCAGGAGATCGTCGCGACCCTGCCGCAGGTCGCTGGCGACGGTAGCGCTTCAGGAGAGGGCAACGCAAATACCAGCAGCAGCGCACATGCCGACGCCTCTGGTTTAACAGTCATCCTGGCCAAGATCTGGAGTAGGGAGATGATGGTTAAACTGTTCTTGCTCTCCGTCGTCAGCGTGCTGCCCATACTTCTCAGCAGGTGGTTACGACGAAAAGGCCAGCAGGCGGCAGAGGAAGCGACGGCAGACGAGGCGCAGACGCCACTGCTCCACGATCCCGAAGCTGCTCGGGCCGCATCTTCGCCATGGCTTGAGATGCAACTACAAGCCAACATGGGGCTCACTGGGGCACACGCCCTATCGCCTGATTATGAGCACCGTCATGACTTCTCAATGGCCGACAAGGCCAACTTTGCGCCGTCTCACTCGCGCCCAGCGTCCGACACGTCGTTCGAATCGTCGGATCGACCGTATGAGCGAGCGGGGGACCATGACTATGTACCTGTACGAGTGGGCTCACTCAATACCAGTAAGGAGCGCACTGCCGCAAGTCTCCCACCAAATTTGTACGCGTAATCGTTAATGACATACCGCAACACTGCATGCACCCTACAATGACATGAACGTTTTTATCGATGCAGCCTGCTCTTTTTGTGCTCTATGAAATCAAAGAACGCGCTGCAGTGCTGTCCAAGTCCCGGCACATTCATGGCTTTGACCACGCAGAGTAAATTACAGCCGACAGCGCCCGGAGCTCCTTGATCTCGGCTAATGCCTACACATTCATTGGAGACGGGTCAGTCAGTGAATTTCTAAAACATTGGAGGCACTAGTTGCAACTACTCACTTCGACATACTCGTTCGGCACGCCATGAATCGCGAGCTGACTCTGCTTGGCGACAGTTGGGAACAGAGCTGCGAGACGGACCTTGTGACCAAGTTCACCGTCCTCATTGAGCTCCTGGAAGCGTGCGCCTTCCTGCACGATCTCATCCACGACGCCGAAAGCAGGCTTCAGCGCGTCCTCAAACACTGCAAAGGCCTTGTCGAGAGACAGCCGCAGGACCAAGCGGAAATCGCGCGAGTCGATAAAATCTTTCGTCTCATCGAGCAGGCTGCGAAGCTGCGCGTCCGATGCAATCGTAGACACTGGCGTCTTAGGCGGAATCGCGCCTGCCTCTACGAGCACGTACAGTTCCTCTTCTAGGCTGGTGGGGAAGAGCGCTTCGAGGAAGCTGATGAATACCATGAGCTGCGTCAGCCATGCACCAACGGGTAACGGCAACCATCCTCTTTGAGACTTACTTTAAGCGCTTTGCAAGTAGCCGTTTGGAGCCACGAGTAGTTCCAGAAACCTCGCTGACGGCGGAAGACCTGGGGTCACCCCCCTTTTCGGGATGCGATCCAGACGAAGTTGCGCACTGCTGCTCTTCGCCCAGCACCTCGTACTCGATCTTCCGTCGAGCAGACGAGAGAAGCTGGTGAAACTCTGTCCAGCTCAGCTGCGTCTTGAGTCCTACGTTGCCGAACGTCTCTTCGACAGCCACGCGCACGCGCTGCGCGACAAGATTCCACCCGCGGTGCAGAAACCACCAGCTGAAGGTCAGGTAGATGCGCTCCGTCTCGTGGCTTAACCCCTCACCGATCTCCCGCGCCTCGCCTCCCTCTTTGCAGTTGGCAGACAATGTCTGTCGACTGCGCAAGCCCTCCTGCGCGAAGCTGTGGTCGACCGAAAATCCATCAAAACAGCCAGCTTCGTTGACATCGATGCGATGATCCGGCGGGGCCGGCTTGGCCAGCGACGAGACGGATGCGAGGTAGGCATAGCGTCCGATCAGATTAAGCTGGATGTGGGTTTGCAGAGCGAGCAGGACGATCGAATAGATAGAGGTGAGCGTGCGTGCGAATGCGACAACTTTTAGCTCGTTCCAGAGCGCCAATTTCGCCTTCTTTTCCGCGAGAATCTGCTCCTCTGTCAGCGGTGCAGGCTCGGTGGGCTCGGATACACCGGCAGGTGATTCGCACGCTTGGCGTGCACCGTTCTCGGTAACTGCTGCACCCGCAGGCAGACGCGTATCCGCTCGAACCGGCGGTGGAAGAGGCTGAGGGTGACGCGGCCCGACGGAGGTGAGAAAATCAGCCACTTTGCCATTACAAAGAAAAATTCCGACGTTTCTTACCTCGCCAATCCTGTCCAGCGCCGTTGCGGAGGTGGCTATAGCCGAGACTTGCTCAGAGGGCTGCGTGTCCGCAGGGGCAACATGGTCTACTGCTGGCACTGATGCCTCCGCATTGTCAGTTTTCTCTGGCTCGGTAGGTGCACCTGGCGTTGTGGAGTCAGTCGACACGGGTGCCGTCTCTTCGGCACTCTGCACCTTGTCGCTCGCTGCTGGCGCCGCCGGTTCTGCCTTGGTTGCATGCGCAACGTGCGTGGCCCCTGCCACAGACATGACGCGCGACACGAAAGGCGGAGCATGGGGATCAAGAGGTCTCGCCGCTGCGTATTGCGAGGCACCTGCTCGGCTGTCGTCTGCCTTTTCTTCTTGCTTCTCCTTCTGCTCGATGTCTACCTCACCAGACGACTCGCTCAGATCATATGGCTTTGAATCAGCTTCTACAGCAGATGCACTGCCATTTACTTGTTCGTCTGATCCTCCCGTCGGCTCCGTAGTTGTCTGAGCCCCTCCTGTTTCTGGCTGCTGCTGCGCTTCTGCTTGCGGAGGACCAGAAACTAATGTGTTTTCTGCACCAATGCGTGGAACTGAAGCTGGAAATGGTCGAGACTTTTGCAGCTGGCTGGTCAGATCCTCCACGTTCATGCTCTCGAATAGTTGGTCACCAAGTGTCGGTAGAAGCGCAAGCACTGTGAACGTGCAGTCTTCCTGGTTCTGAGCAAAACGTCTCCGCAGGCTGCGCGAGTCATCGTAGGGGGGACAGGTAAGTGATGAGAAATTATTTCACATGGTGAAGATTCCATGTTGTACGTCCGGCAAAGATGTGCTCACTTTTCCTTGTCCCGACGCTCTTCGACCATCTTGATCTGCACCTGCCGTAGCTTGTCGAGCGCATATTTTCCCGCAAGATAGCAGCCCCCTGCGATTCCCCCTATGACAAGGAACGGCTTACGCCGCTTGAACAAGAAGCTGCGCGTTGACTCGAGCACGGCCGACATTTTGCTATCCTTTCGCTAGCGGACCGTCTAGTTTTGAGGTCCAGGTTCAGATCTGTTGCATCCAGCTTTCAAGTCTACTGCGCAAGCTGCTCCCTCTGCTAGAGGTTCGCCAGCATGTGCTTGTACTTGATCTTTGCGTTCCCCCTGGTAGATAATCTTGCAAGTACCCATGCAAGGTCAGCGACGGTAAAAATGTGTGGATCGTGGAGGAAAGGTCTCCGGAAAGGCCTGTCAGACACGAACACACTCTGAAAGCTAGCTCTCTGTGCTTTCAGACTGGGGAACGAGTCCTTTTGAAACTGGCTGAGAGACTGCCCCACTGACGGAGTCTCACTTCTGCATCGCGGGACCGCGAAGGAGATTCGCCCCTGTCTTCTAGTCTCTGCCTTCGACTTAATGCTTGAGGTAGTCTGATGCTTGATGGGGTATGCACAGAACCAGGTGCGCATCATGCCGTGTCACTTTTTCGACCTGGGGTTAGGCTGTGGGCCAGGAGGGGTGCGAAAGGGCGGAATGCAATACAACACACCGCGTCTGACCTTTGTAGCCGGCGTGCCGGTCAAGTCCAGTCATCATCACATTCCGGTTTCTGCGAACCTAGCCATACCATCAGATATCAGTCTCCAGGGACTGCCACAAAGGGACACAGCATCAGGCGGATGATAGAAATGGAAAAGGAAAAGCAAGACGCAGCGAGGACACAGCCTAAGTGGAAGAAAAACTCGATGACGAAGTCGAAGAATCTATGAGTACAATACAAGGATGTGCGAATGTATTTGATCGCGGGGGCGGAGCAGCGTTCGTCTTGCGCACATCGGTTTCCCTCAAGCAGCAAGCTCCTTGATCTTAGCAGCAATGTGGTCAGGCGAGAGACCCTGGTATGGGATTTGCTCGAAGAGACCACCGCAGCCCTCCTTGGAGACGCCCATCGTGGCGAACTTGGGCGTGAAGCCGCGCTGCAGGAGCCACGTGCCGAACTTAGATCCGAGGCCGGTCTTCTCGTTGAGCGACTCGACGACGATGACAAAGCCAGTCTGGCCGATCTCTTTAAGCACATCCTCGTCGACAATGTTGAGCGTCGACTTGTTGACAAGGCCCACATCGAGGCCCTGCTTCCGCAGCGTGTCGATCGCCGACGCAGAGCGGTAGAGCATGTCGCCAAAGCTGACGACATAGCCCTTGGTGCCCTTGCGGATGATGTCGTCCTTGCCCGGGGTGAAGGTGTATCCCTCGCCGTAGAAGGGCTCCTGGGTACCCTCCTTAAGCACCCAGGGGACCTTGGAACGGGTCGAAAAGACGAATCGGAGACCTTCGTCGTAGAGGACCTTGTTGATGCATGCGGTCATCTGTGTCGGGTCAGCCGGGAAGTAGAGGCGGGTGGTGAAACTGTCCTCCAGACCATTGTCCGCGAAGAAGGTGTTGACACCGAAATGGCAGGTGTTGTCGGCCATCTCGTCAACACCGGAGTGCGAGAAGTGGCATAGAACGTTGGCAAAGCTGGTGAATTGAGTCAAAGTGGGTCGCGATCCACGTCAGCGCTTGCACATCACATCACATCACATCGGAACGAGACCGGACTTGGTGACGGCGATGGCTACTCACTTCAGACGGGCCATGGTGATCTCCGAAACGCACATCTCGAGGAAGGCGCTGAAGGTGGAGAAAATACCAGTCCGGTACTCGCCCTTCTTGAGGAACGAGCCAAAACCGGCGGCGGCGGCAAAGTTGCCGCGCTCGCAGATGCCACTGCCGACAAAGACTTCGGGGTGCTTCTGGTGAATCACCTTCAGGCCGGTTGAGCCCTCGAGGTCCGAGTCGATGCACAGCACCTTCTTGGCGTTCTCCTCCTTGGAGCTCTTGTCGAGGACGGCGGCGACAGCCTCGCCAAAGACCACACGGTTCGCGCCGCGGTCCTTAGTGCAACCGATGAACTCGTACGTGTCCTTGGTGGGCTTGATGGACTGCAGGACAGCGACGGCATCGTTGTGGCCCTTGGAGGTGAGGTACTTGATAGCCTTGTCGACGGGGATGACGTCGTGGCCGTGGTTGGAACCCTCAAGGCCCTCGATGCCCGGGCACATCTTGCGCTTGATAATGACGGCGACGGGGCCAGTCTCGTTGAGCGCCGAGATCATGGCAGGGTACAGGCTGTCGAGGTTCTCGCCATCGGCGTGAATGACCTTGAGCCCATGGCCCTCGAGGGTGCGACCGACATCGAAGCCCTTAAAGTACTCGGACGGGTGGCCGGCAATAGTCACGTCGTTGTCATCAATGAACAGCTTGACGTTAAGGTTCTGAGCGACGGCCAGACGGGCAGCCTCGGCGTCGTCACCCTCCTGCTGAGATCCGTCGGAGCCCAACATGAGAGTAATCTTGTCCTTGTTGCCAAACGCAACACCGTTGACCATGGGCCACACGTGACCGAGACGGCCCGAGCTGAACTTGACACCGGCAGTCAGGCCGAGCTCCGGGTGACCGGGAAGCTTAGAGTTGGCCGCACGGTAGTAGAGAAGGTCGTGTGCTGGTAGGCTGCCCTCGAGGACAGAGAGCAGGTACTGGGTGGCAACGCCTGCAAGCAAAGAAGATGAGAATCGATGAGAATCGCCGGACCATTCGAAAGAAAGCATGCTTGTACGCACGGTGGCCTGACTCGTCGTACAGGACTTGAACGAACTTGTCGCCATCGGCACCTGCGAAGAGGGAAAGCAGGATAGCTACCTCTGGGACAGTGTCGTACGGACCCCCAGTGTGGCCAGACACTAAAATAATTTGCTGATCAGCATGAATGCTCGTCTTCGCGCGCCATGCCCTACTCGCTAAGCTCTACTCACCACCCCTGGCGGCACCGCTAGCAGTGAAGAAGACGATGGCATCACGGAGCAAGTTGATGTTGTTCTGCAAGCTCTCCTTCTGCTCGGCGCTCAGACTCTTGTCCTGGAGCGACAGCGGGACCGGCTTGTACTTGTCAAGCGGGACCGGGAACTTCTTGAAGTCATAATCCTTAAGTTGGAAACCCATCTTGAATTTCTACTGTTCCCAAGAGAAGAAGACGAGCGAAGGGAAGGCCAAGGGGCGTGAGAACGTGTTACCTGATGCGAATCCCACATGTGAGCGAAGGAACGAGGCTCACATAGATTGGGGTGGGTATTGGATCGCGGGAGAGTGTATGCTGCTGCGACGTTGACGTACAATGCGAATGAGCAAGCACAGCACAGTGTACGGACCAGAAGAGAATGCTCGGGATCGAGGAGGAAGATGTTGCGAGATGAGAAGAAAGAAGGGAATGGGATGGGGATGAGTGAATTGCTGGCGGCTGGGCAATGACGAGAACGGGAGAATGGCGTTGCGGTTTGTGCTGGCCCGATCGCCCACAAGCCTGCCACGGGCCACGAGCCAGGAAGAAGGCCGGGTTGTGTTGAACTCGATTCTCCCATTTTTTCCGCGCGCTGGCCACAGGCAACTGTGCGTTGTGCCCACCAAACTTGCCGAATTCATGATTCAACCCTCGACTCCCCCATCCAAAAGGCCGCCTTCCCGGTCTAGTGACGTCTTTTCGGCTGGATTTCGAGTGCGGTCTCATTCCGCCCTTGCGCGCTGACACCAGAGACAACAGGAGCGAGAAGACTATTCATTTATTTGGTACACTTAGGTGGAGAGCGCGTAGGGGACACGGTGCCACATACTGAAGAAGCAGCAGGGAGCAAGTGTCTGGGGTGCCATGGCCTGTCACACTGGGGCAGTTGGCGCTCCATGCCTAGCGTCCCAGCTCGACGGAACGGAAATCAGCGAAAAGAGCCTCTTACTCAACAAAACGCCCGCTCCCACATCGCTGCACTCCCCCTTCGCTATAATCCGTCTCATCTCGGCACGTGTCCCATCCGCATGTCAGTGCGTCAGCAACACAAAGACAGCAAAAAGGTCCATCCAACTCGGAGATCTTATAGTGTTCGCTGCCACTTTCCAATGCACGACACTTCCAAAACGACGCCCCTCTCCACCAAAGTACCATAGTTGTAAAGCTCTCACCGAAACTGACTAGCAACGCCTGCCGCAGCTATGTGGTCTGGTCTGGTCGAAACGCGAGCCTGTGAAGACATTTTTAATAGTTCGGTAGCGTGCCTGTCAGCTTGCTCTGTGTGCTGAGGACCGTCGCGCAGAGAGGGCACAGCGTAGGTTGCCTGTGATGTTGGCCGTCTGAATGCTTCGCTTGAAGGTCGTATCCACTCTCCAGACATTGACCAACTAATTGGAATGCTTCATGATAACAGGCGGGTTCGAACCTTCCCGTGACGGAAGAAACCGCATGGCTTCAAGCCTTCAACGTCAACTGCGATAGTTTGTCGTATGCAGCAGGTGCGCTTGAGCTCAACAGGGGCATAGCAGTCCTTCTTGTCACCATCGAAGTGTATGAAAGTTGACTGCCTGTGCAAGAAAAAAGTGCTTGTCGTTTCCAAGTGATCAAGAAGCATTTGACATGCACATGCCGTGCATCCTTCACGCTAACTCGCAAGGACGCCACCACGTTAATCGGAGCCAGCGGGTGCTTGTGACTCCACAACTATTCATTGACCCTTGTAGTCGACCGTAAGAAAGGTAGCGTGCGTTGTGTGCTAAAAAGGTCCAGCGGGATCGGGCCGAGTCAACTGTATGGCGTTTGCATCTGGCAACCGCGGTGACAAAGTGTTACAGATGTGCCCGCTTGGCGGGAGTGAAGATCTTAAAACTTTCGTCGTGCTGTACGCAGGGGGGCCGTAGCCTATGGTACACTCTCATGAGCAGATCAGCACGAAACCCTCTGCAATGGAAGAGACATTTTAAAAGAGAAATCATGCGGCAAACAGACCTAAAATAAGGTGGGCACATGCACTGTGTAATTTTGCGTGAGGTACGAGTACAAATGACAGGCGAGAGAGGCTGGGGCAGCGCCCAGGGAGGTGCAAGCGGCAGGTGAAGAGTTCCAGAATGGATTGAAAAATTTACCTGCTGCCGGCCATAGCCTTCTGCACGGACCGCTTGAGGCGCAGCGAGGCGCGACGGAAGTCGTCCGCCTTGGCGTCGTCGAGCTCGAGAACCTCGAGGGCTTTCGCGAGCTCCTGCTCGACCTGGATCTTCTGCGCGCGCTTGAAGTTGGCGTTCGGGCTGCTGACGGTGCCCTCGACCTGGTGGACGTACGCTTCGAGGTCGTTCTTGGCGTCGTGGCGCGCCTGGAATTCCTTGTCGGAAGCCTTGAAGTTCTCTGAGTCCTTGATCATCTGCTCGATCTCCGTGCTGGACAGCCTGCCGACCGAGTTGGTGATGGTGATGTTCGCCTTGCGACCGGACGTCTTCTCTTGCGCGGTGACCTTGAGCAAACCGTTGGCGTCGACCTCAAAAGTGGTGAGCAGCTCAACCGTGCCTCGTGGCGCGGGCGGGATACCAGTGAGCTCGAACTCGCCGAGCAAGCGGTTGTCCTTGCACTGCGTGCGCTCTCCCTCGTAGACGGGGAAGGTGACCTGGGTCTGGTTGTCCTCAACGGTGGTGAAGACACGAGTCTTGTTGGTGGGGATGGGGGTGTTCCTGGGGACAACGACACCAAAGACATCGCCTTGCATGGCAACACCGAGCGAGAGCGGGGCAACGTCGAGCAAGAGCAGGTCCTGAGTCTTGTCAGAGGTCTGGTTGGTCAGGACAGCAGCCTGAACGGCAGCACCGTATGCGACAGCCTCATCAGGGTTGATCGACTTGTTCAACTGGCGGCCACCGAAGAACTCTGAGACGAGCGACTGGATCTTGGGGATACGGGTGGAGCCACCGACGAGGACAATGTCGTCGACCTTCTCGGAAGACATCTTGGCGTCCTTGAGGACCTTGGCGACCGGGTCGATAGTGCTCTTGAAAGCGGCTGCGTTGATCTCCTCGAAACGGGCACGGGTGATTTGGAACGAAGCGTCCACACCCTGGAACAGCGAGTCAACCTCGACGGTGGTCTGAGTGACGCTAGAAAGGGTCCTCTTCGCACGCTCGCAGGCGCTGCGGAGACGACGGGTGGCACGGGGGTCGCCTGAGATGTCCAGCTTGTGCTTGCGCTCGAACTCCTTCTTGAAGTGATCAAGCAACGAGTTGTCGAAGTCCTCACCACCCAAGTGCGTGTCACCAGCGGTCGCCTTGACGGCGAAGACACCGCCGGTGATGTTGAGAAGCGAGACATCGAAAGTGCCTCCGCCCAGGTCAAAGATCAGAACGTTCTTCTCGGTGGAAGACTTCGAGTCGAGACCGTAAGCAATGGCGGCCGCAGTGGGCTCGTTGATGATACGGAGGACGTCAAGACCGGCAATGGCACCTGTGATCCGAATAGCACGTTGGAGTGTCAGTCAGAAAAGGCGTTGTTGAATTGATGAAGGTAAATCTGGGCGACGATTATCTTGGCTGTAGATACGCTCATATAGCCGTTCTTAGAATATATATGCAATCCCCAACGCTCCGAAGAGCTCCGGTATTAGCATGGAATATATGAGTATAATCCTCGCGTTTTCCATCTTCCGACTTCCTGAATCCATACAGCATATCGCGCTGTTCTTTCTCGCCGTTGACCAACACTGGAAGTGTGCCCTCATTCCAACTTTGGGCACATTCCGAATACGAGCAAGAGACAACTCACCGGCGTCCTTGGTAGCAAGCCTCTGGGAGTCGTTGAAGTATGCCGGAACAGTGACGACTGCCTTCTTAACCTCCTTGCCAATCTTAGCCTCTGCAATCTCCTTCATCTTGGTCAGGACCATGCTGGAGATCTCTTGAGGGCTGAACTGCTTCTTCTCGCCAAGGTACTCGACCTCGATGAAAGGCGAGCCGTCCTTGTCGATGACGGTGAAAGGCCAGTGGGTCATGTCCTTCTTGACATCTGGGTCATCGAAACGGCGACCAATGAGACGCTTGGCGTCAAAGACAGTCTGCCTCGGGTTCATGGCGGCCTGGTTCTTGGCGGCATCGCCGATAAGACGCTCAGACTCCGTGAAGGCAACGTAAGAAGGTGTGGTGCGGTTTCCCTGGTCGTTGGCGATGATCTCCACACGCTCGTTGACCCACCAGCCAACGCATGAGTAGGTGGTACCCAGGTCTGCAAAAAATTGAACGGAAATAATGTCAGGGTGATGCACCCACAAAACCAACTAGACCGCTCTGCTTCGAAGCCATCCTATTAAGCCTGTTCCGTGTATCGGTCAGGCCCATTTTCTTCTCTGCACTCTGTCTCCTCGCAGCATTGCTCAATAGAGGCGTATCTCGACTGCCTGTCCTCCGTTTGCACTTCGAGCCATGCCGACAAGGACTTGGCCGGATACTCACCGATACCGATGGCGCCCTGGAAGACTTCATCGCCCGCAGTCTCGGCAGCTGGAATTTCAGACGACATGATTGCTGTTCAATTTGATGCACAGAGGCGTCGGGTGAGGGTGATGGGAGGAGAGATGATGGAGGAAGACACGCCTTATTGTGAGGGAGGGAAGGGAAAGACAAGGTCGGATGAACAAGAAGAACTTCTTCTGGTGGATGGGTGTTTCCAGTTGGAGAGTAGGGGGACACTGGCGCAGTGGCTGTACCACCACCTCCAACACTGCCCCTCCGCCCGCCAAAAATTTTCGTCGCTTGCACTTTTTCTTACCTTTGCGTGACCGCCTACCCGCAGCTGATGACCCATGTGCCAGTGTGCGTTCAGTTTCCAGCCAGGGGGACTCCCCTCAACCGCTTCCTTCCTGTCCCTGCGTCCAACAGCCACCAGCACGCAAGCAAGAACAGAAGGCACCGCTCACAGTGAGCATGCAACTCTGCGAGCGTAAGGTCAGTCGAGAGGGAGAGCTAACAGGTGAAGAACACGTCGTTGGCTGACCTGGGATAGCGCATGAGCACGGGGAACGGTTGCCTAGGATATCATGGCTAGCTCGATTGCAACCACTTCCAGGGTGATGCTGCCTACTGCTGCTGCTGCCGCACAAGGCACGGCGTCAGCAGCATGCACTTCCGTCCGACGAGGAGGTGCAGCGCATTTCGTCAGGAGGATTCACGCATTGCCCTCTCGGGCACAGCACGCTGGCTCTGCAACAACGGCGTCTCCCCAACGTCAAGATTCAGCGAGATTATCTTTGATGCTCTATCGATATGGTGGCTCGTCCGTTCGGCACATTACTTCCTCTTCATCAAGCCGGGTTGCGAAGGATGGCAAAGGCTACGCGGATGCAGCTCCGGGAACGACGCTGCAGCAAGATCAGCCTGAGCCCGGTACAGATCTTCCCGAATCTGAAGCCGACACAGCGGCTGGATTGAAGCGAACGTCCGAGCAAGGAGTATCGACTGTGCCCAATTCGGGAGGAGCAACGTTGACAGCATCAAGCGCAGCATCCAAAGACACCAGAATGGCAGCTTTGGAAACCGACATATTGGATGTGCAAGAAGAGGTAGACACAGAGCGAGAGCTTCGCCGGCTCCGGCGGACGATGGGTGAGTATCTCCTATGAGAACAGGTACCCTCGATCTATGGCTGCTCTCCTGACCTGCGTCCTCATGTTCCCTCTACTTTCTGCAGTGGACCAATTCCAGTCACTAGGATCAACACAGAACCGAGAAACGACTTTTCGGCCTCATCATGCGCGCATGAGCCCGAAGGCAGCGAGAGATCTTACTATCTCGCACCTGCTCGCCTCGAATGCGCATGTCGGCCATCACAAGTCGCAAACGACGCGCGCCTTCCAGCCTTTGCTCCTCGGTACGCGCAACAATATGTCCATCATCGATATTGAGAAGCACACACTTCCCGCTTTGAAGCGCTGCGCGCAGGTCGTGCGCAAGGTCCTCAGCGCTGACGGTGTTATCCTCTTCGTTGGCACGGGCAAAAACCAGACTGCATCCATCCTGCGCGCCTGCAAGCGATTAGGCCGCAACGCGTTCCACGTCACGATGGAGCGCTGGATCCCCGGCACGCTGACGAACGCACCTAAGCTGCTCGCGCCCGCAATTTACAAGTCGTTCGAAGATGCTGATGCCGATCTCTCCGGCGCGCCGGACACGACCAAGCTGGCATCACAGACTTTCCAGCCAGACTTGGTCGTCGTGCTCAACCCGCGGGAGAACGTGCACGCTGTGCGTGAGGCGACAGACCGCAACATCCCCACGATCGGCATCATCGACACCAACGTCGATCCGCGGCTTGTGACATACGCTATTCCAGGAAACGACGACAGTCTCCGTTTTGTCGACCTCGTCGTCGGCGTCATCGCTCGTGCCGGCCAGGAAGGCATCGCCGAGGGCGCCAGGCTCAGGGACGAGGCAGACAAGGCGAGGCGTAGCGATGAACGTGGGCGCAGGCGCTTGCTGCAGGCATAAGGGCAGAATGGCATGTAACGTTATTCAGCCACATCCCTCGTTTCCGTCCAATCGACGCGCACGAACGGCAAAAAGTAGAATTCGCAAATGCAATCCAATATCATGCAGCACACAGCTCATCTTTTTGGCTTGAATGCATCTCGCGAAGAGTCATCGCGATAAAAATGGATAATGATATATGAAGGGGAGCAAGCTTTGAGATCAGCACAGCGAAAATATTATGTAGTCCGGGAGTCCAGCTCGCAAGAAGCCATAGGTGAATGGAACACCCAGCATGGCGCATGGTAACAGTCCGTAGAAGAGCGGGAGGCCGCGCATTCAGAAGCCGGCCATGCGCATCGCTGCAGCCTTCTGCTCGTCATCGAGCACAGGCAGGCCGTCGGCGCCGACATGGCTACCAGATCCTGCAAGCGGGTTGCACGGCGGCTCGGAGAGGAGATACGCAGGAGCTGGCGCTTGTCGTGGCGACGGCGTTGCGGCTGCTAGGGTGTTGCTCCATTGAGAGGAAGAGAGAGCAGCGGAAGAGAAGTCGGAATTGGTTCGGCGCGAGAAGAGTGCTGGCGACGAGATAGCTGCTTGCGAGCATACGCTTGGACAATGCTCTTCCCCATCCTGTGCCTTCGGAACGGCTGCTGCCCCTTCAACATTCACTGACACATGCTGTACGACGCCGGCACCGGTATTATTAGCATCATCACCTTCCCAGCTGTGCCGCCGCTCGCCTAAAAGCGCTTGCACGAGTGTCGTGCTTTTCCCTCGCCGGCTGTCGAATCGAGCCATTTCGGGCGTCATCGGCGCTTCGGTATCGCGCTGCTGCTGATGCATCATCACTATGCCACGTGACAGGGACGGGGAGCGTGTAACCTTCGCCAGTGACCCGGCCGCTGGGTGGTGGCCCCCATTCGCCAATGAATTTGGTGCGAATGATGCTGGTGATCCATTGACATCGTTGAGCGACGCAAGGAAAGGCGCCTGCAATACGGATGCGGTGCTGTCCCTCTTGAAACCCGTGCTGTCGCCCGACGGCAGGCGGGTGACTCCGATGCCGATAACACCATTGTTGAGGTGCTTGCCGCTGCATCCGAAAGAAATAGCAGAAGCGTGCCGGCTCCCTCGTCGACTGGAGAATGCCGGTGCCTCAGTCAAGATGACGCGCTGGCATAGGATGCACATAATTGGTGCATACAAGCTGATCAGAGCTGGTGAAGCAGAGAACAAAAGCTACGACTCAGCGAACTGCGCTAAAAAAGAATGCAAGCATGGCAAACCCGTGGGACGACTCACCTTTCGAATGAATGCTTTTACTTAACTCGAGGCCAACGTTGGCAATGTTGAAGGCGCTGGCAACGACAAAGTACATGAGACCGTTGCGAGATAAGATCGAGAGCAACGGCGTCACGTTGAGTGATTCCCAACGCCGGTGGATGTGGCCCAGAATAGTAAGGGATAAGGCACGTCTGGCCGCGCTTGCGAGATTGCTCCTGCCCTCGCCTATGACCTTGGGCGACTCCTTGGCAATGCCGTCGTCGTGCAGCATGGCGGAAGACCTTCTTCTGGGAGAGTTCATCGTCGGAGCGGGGAGGTCGCTGTAGTAGCACAGCTTCCAAAAGCTGAGCCCGATGGTGATGGTGTCGAAGACAAAGGCCACCAGGTAGAAGTATGCCTGCAGGTCCGTCGAGCCGGGACGCGGCAACGGCATGCAGGCGCCGTTGCTGAGCAGTGTCTCCTCAGTGAACCACAGCAGGCCAAAGGACATGGCGAATTGCAACGCGGTCAGGACTATGAGGAAGACCATCACGCGCAGATCGCGGTCCCAGATGGCGACCGTGCGCCGTACAAAGATGACGGCGACGATCAGCTGCACAACCGCTGTGACCTCTTGCTGGTGAATGAGGCAGGCCCTTGTATTGTCAAAATCGCCCCAGGTGGAGTAGGCAGGCAGGATTAGCGCCGGAAGCGTCCCGTAGCGGACGAGGGCGAAGAGCCATGGCTGCACCGACTTCCAGCCCATGCGGCTATACAGGCTAAATTCGGCGGGCAGAGTCGAGATGAACTCCCAAGCATACAGCGTGACGGCTGCGACGGCAACCTGCGGAAGATGTCACTCTGCTGTCAGAATCCCTGGCCATCGCAGCGCAGCGGCTGATGGAACTGAACGATGGCTCACATTATTGATTATGAACTGCTGCTCTACAAACGCGTCGATCGGTAGCACCCTGTTGCCTTCCTCCTGCTGATACATGCTCCCATCCTCCGGCCTGAAGGAATTGTAGGCGCTAGCGACGGCAGCGGCGGTCGGGTTGCGCATGGGTCGATAGTGCGCCCCGAACCTCGAGCTGAGGTCAGGGCGAGTGCGATAAAAGCCCTGCTGCTGTTGCTCGCGGTGCGCAACGGTCAGGGCTCTCAGAAGTGGCAAAGTCATGGTGGCGCCAACGCGCTTGGCTGTGGGCAGTATAATCGCAAGAGTTGTCGACAGCTGTGTCTAGTTATGCGACTGGTGGTGCTGCCAACATGTGGGCCTCCGAATGAAGTATCCGCACCACAAAGTGCAACACGCTGACCTGACCGATATCGAGCCGACGCGCGCAGGCGAAAGTTATTTGCTGTCACAAGCTTGGAGCGTACGAAAGCTTCTTGCTAGGTATGTATACCGTTGCCTCTGCCTTGACGGCCTTCCGCGTCGAGGCCGCCAATGCATGTGAAGTTGAGGGGGGATCGGAGTTGGAGCCAATAGTCGGGATGGTCGAGTCAGCACCTATTGCAGCGGCCAGCCTGAGAGCAGGACCGCTCGTCCACGTCCATCGCCCGAAAATAATCTAACCCAAGCAGCAGCAAAGTTGTTGGGATGACAGAGCCGATCGAGCGTAGAAGAAGGGGACGGTCGACGACTGCGCGCCTACATGCATCAAAGCCGTAAAACAGCAAGTGAATGACACATTGTCGCCTGTCTGGTGGCGGTGAGGCGATGAGGTTTCGGCTTCGTGACCGCTCGAGGACTCATCGTCAGTCGGGCCGGCAGCAGAGCGGTGAAGATCGTTTGCCCGCCTCCTTATCTCAAACTTCGGAGGTACGGTTCACGATATAGTAGGGGGTTCGCTTTTTGGTGCCGTGCAGTGCTGTGCAATGTCAATGCGGTCCAATCGGAAAGAGCCAAATTGCCCCCTGCCACGGACAGTAGGCCCCGGTTGCCGGCCGAAGAAAAAAAAGAGAGCACGAGGGTCACGTGCAACAGTATCACTCACTCTTCGTCTTTCATCGCGATCCACCAGATCCTTTTCATTGCTTTCGTCTAAGTGTCGCGCCTGTTGATCTCTCTCAGGAGAAACTTGGCCAGCGACACGACTTCATCTCTCTCTGTTTGATCAGCTAGCCTCATGCCGTACAGCGGTAGACTGGAGCAACAAGATTGACCCATCCATTCTGCAAACGTGTGCTGCATAGCGTTTTGTGCACATCATAGGATCGACGCGCGCGACTCTAGCACTCGGGCCACCGGTGGGGAACGCTTCGGCTGGCTTTGTGGCTGCGCAGGGCTCCAACCGATTGCGTACAGGGAACCCGTTCGAATTCTTTGCGGTGACGGGTTCCAGCCCATTGTGTAGAATACAACAGATAGGACGCAGGCAATAATGCCACGGAACGCCGCCGCGGCAGCATCAGGAGGGAGGCGAGGGACGAAGTCGACCAGTGGCGCAATGGCAAGGACATCGTCGCGCCGGGCCCCGCCTGGCGCCAGCGGCAAGAACGACTCGTCTCTGGCAGATCAGTTCACACTGACTCGCAATCCCTTGAGAAAGACCACGGCGATGGCGACGGCGGCAGTAAAGGCCGAGGATGGAGGTGTAGGCGACAAGCTCAAAGTGAAGGACCGCAACGTGACCACGGCAACCGTGCCAGCCGCAACATTAGACAAGATGGATGCAAGGGCGCAAGAAGAATTTAAAAAGCAATTATCCGCTTCGCAGACGGCGACAAGAAGAAGCAAGAGGCGCAAGCTTGATGTGCTCGGCGAGATGTCGGTCGATACGACCAGCGTGCAGTCGACATCGATAGCCACCCAATATGCGAGCAGAAGGACGAGGTTGATGCGCGCTGGTGGTGGTACGGGGGTTGAGAGACAGAAGCGGTCCTCAATGCAAATACCATTGAGTACGACAGCGCAGCAAGTCGAAATGCCAAGCTCTGCCGTTCCTGCTACCCTTGACGATGGCGAGCTAGAGTACTTCGATATTCCCAGCACGCCGCCTCAGATTCGATGGCAGAGACAGGAGGATCAAAGGCGCATACAGCAGGCGAAGGCAACTGTGCACGAAAATGGACAGTCAGGAGACTCGGATCAGTCTGCGTTCGCACACCTGCCGAGCACGCCGCCGCATATAAGATGGCAGCGCGAGGAGCAGGGTGATCCGCCGGAGACCAGCCGCGATGCACCTAGCGGAGAAAGCGTCCAGATATTAGCACAAAAACCTACAGAGGAGGCAGAGGAGGAGGATCAGGGCACTTCGGACAAGGAAAACACAAAGCCGGCCAATGCGCGCTCGCGTGCGCTTCTCATACATTTGCAGACGCGACGAGGCAAGCCGAGTGCCCCATCTTCATCAAGTTCGAATTCGCGAGCGGATGCAACGATGCTCGACCAGAGCAATGCTCTCGGGCTGCTAGCGGTGCAGGAGCCAGTGCATTCGACGCCAATAGCTGTGAATGCGCTTGACCAGCGACGCAAGCCGCCACAGGCGGGGTGGGCCACAGGACGTCCAGCACCAGGTGGTGAGGCGCTGCAGGGAGTGGGTGAAGAGCTGCGTCGAGAAAACGGCAGCAAAATCCGCCGGCCGCTTGCTCCACTTAAGATTGCTGAAGCGGTTGACATCCAGCTGGGCGGTGTGAGCGCATCAAAGAAGCGGTCTGCAGAGACTCTCGACGATCTTCTTGGAATGAACGAGGGTGCGCGCGGACAACGCGACCGTCGCGCTCTGCTTCCAGATCGCGCCGATAAAGACTCCTCGACGGCCGCCATCACGTCATTTCCCCCTCAGGATCCCGAGCGACTGCAACGCTGGCTAAATGCACATGCGCGAGAGTCAGCGTCGGCGTCGGCTACAGCGTCGCCAGGTGGAGCAGGGGGGCCAAATCTGACCCCTCCCTCGCCGCCGTCGACGCAGCTGGATGACCGCCAGAACGATAGAGCTCGCGCGCAGCGAAATCATCTTCGTAGCAGGGCTCCTGGGCCGAACAAGGACGCCGACGACGAGTGCGCATTCAACACCGGGCAGCGCGATGATGATGATAACGCAGCAGCGCGAATGGATGCGGAGCACAGCGACGATGATCCGTTTGGAATCATGCAGGAGATCCGAGCGACGTCGCGTATACAAAGGCGTAAAGGCCTGTACGTCCCTAGACCCCATCACTCACCCAGCCAGTCGCTCACGGGGTTTACGGCGTCTCGATACGATGCGCGAAATCCATTGACACACGAGCGCGCGCCGCCTGTGTCGAGTGCGGCATTGCCGCGCGCAAACCGCCTTGCCGTACAGGAGGGGAGCAAGGATGAGCACGGAATATCCGCCCTCTCATCCTGCTCGTCACCCTTGACATCCGTCGCACATGAAACCGCGCCGCAGAACCCGGCCGCCAATTCTGGCGGCGGCTTGAGCCTACCGCCTGCATCGTCACCGCCACGCGTACAGGACTTGCTCGAGCTCCTGCCAAAGCGGGCAGGAAAGCATATAAATGACCGCAAGGCGTCAGGAGCTTCAAACAAGAGGGGCAGGAAGGGAGCAAGCAAGGTTCAGCACGCACCGGTCAAGTCAGTCAAGCGCCAGATCATCAAGCTCTCCAAATCTCCTAAACACACTGTGAGAGCCTTACGCGATTCTTCTTCTGAGAGTGGAGCGGGAATGGGCGACAAGCTCGACATTCAGCAAAGCACGACGCTCCCCAGAGCACGAGCGGGTCTGCAGCCCAGGAGCGACAGTATCCAATTATCTCCGCGCGTGAGTCTGCCAGTTGTTGTCACATATACTCATCGACTTTGGCTGATTGTCTACCAATGCGCACAACAGGCCGTGGCAGAGCGCAAGGCGCGCCTCCAACTTTACCACGATCTCGATCACTACGCATTAGGAGAAGAGCTGGTCTTGTGAGGTATATTCAATTGCTGCTTGACTAGAGGACACGCTCCTTGCGCAGGTCAAAAATGCCTACAATGTGTCCGCAACGAGCCATGCGCAGACCACCAGACTCCTCCGCCATCCGAACGCCCCACTTCCGAGCCGACGATACTGCCACGCCGCTCCGCTCCTCCGCATTGTCCTCTCCTGCTTCAAATGGAATGTGAAGCGGCGCAAACGCCAGCCGATACTTGCTCAGATGATCCTTCTTGCTCTGGACCTGTTGCTCGGCCACAATGCGCTGCAGCAGTGTGTATTCGGCGGTCATGAGGATCGCGTGGCCGCCCGGCTTGAGTAAGGCGAGCAGCGCCGGGAGGAGGTTCCTGTATAGCCTGTGGACCTGATTCTTCGTGAGCACCCTGTGGCCCCACGGCAGGTCGGTGACGACGGTGTCGATCGTCTCACGGCCGCCAAGGAAGGCGGCCATGGCGTCAACATCCGTCGCGTCCTGCGTGCTCGTCTTGATGCGGTCATGCAGGTTGCACAGAGTGATGGCTGCGTCGGCTTTAGCAATTGAGGCCGTGTCGATGTCACAAGCAAACACCTTGAAGTCCAGTTGCAGATTCTGCAAGGTTGCAACCATCTCTGTTGCGATACGCCCGACACCGACGCAGGGCTCGAGTAACTTGACCTCAGACTGGCCTGGTTCCGGGAAGACTCGAGCAAGGTTCGCAAGAGTGTGCGCTCTGTAGAAAGCCAGGGCAGTTCCGCCACCTGCAGCTGCGCCAGTGAGAGCCGCTGGTCGAAGCTGTGACTCGCCGACGGGTGGATCCAGTTCCAGGAGAACGAACAGCGCCCCTGCCGGGGGTGGACCGTGCTCGATGAGGTTGTTGGGACGCTCATTGGCCCCAAAATTCGGCACCATCTTGAACACGATGTTCAATTGTGGCGCCTTGAGATCCACGGTCCATTCATTGCGTGGATCATCCGCCTTGGTGTTTCCATTAAGCCAGCTCCACACGCAATCGCTCAACTCATATTCCATGGTCTTGGAGATGAGCGTCGGGAGAAGGTATCCGCAGCGATTGAAAGTGCATCGAAAACTTTGTAGTGGCGCGTTGTATTGGGTTTTCCTGCGTTGTCGCCAGAACGCCAACGCTTGATCTCGCGCTGGCAGGCAATCATCCCATAGCTTTCGGATGAGTGCTATGAGGTCCCTTTCAGACTGCGGCAGTTTCTCCGGGTGATCAGATGAGGAATGCTCCTGCTCCACTTCTGCAGTGTGCTCTGCATTGCTTTTCGGTGCTGCAGATTTTGCTTTGACTGATGCAATTTTCTCCCGTCGTCTGCTCCGACCTCCAGAGCGTCGATCGTCGCGCAGTCGTTGCACCACCTCTTGAGCCAGGGGTGCTTCGCCCATTACGAGGTGCGCTGCTTCTGCACTGCGCACTTGTCCATCCTGCCAGGCATCAACGAGAGTCGCGCTGATTCCGTCCTCCACCTGTGCTCGTACGTGCCCGGCTTGAAGCCATGCTCCGAGCGGTGGTGGCCGCACCATTGCACCGCGCTCTTTCAGCACACGCTGCAGATCCTGCTCAGCAAAGTCCTCGAGACCATGGAAAACCTCAAAGAGCACAGGGAATGGGCAGGCTGGTGCAGGAGCACTTGACGAGGATGGGGCGCTGCACATGTCCAGCAGACGAACTGTAGTATCCTGTTCTTGCTGTGGGGGCACAGCCGGATGCGCTGGATCACTGAGTTCAACACCTGGATCCAGAAACTCCTTCGAGAAGCCAACAGGTTCTGCTGGAGGTGCGGATCCCGATGAAAACATTTGACCGCCTCGTTTGCGTTCGGCTTGTGAGATTGCTTCTTGCCAGTCTTCGCGTGCCCACCACGGCAACTCATCCTCATAGCACCACTCTTCTGTTTCGTACTTCATCGCATGAAGATAAATGAATAGCTCTTCTGGTCTGGGATCAGGAAGAAGCGGGATCTTGCACTCGTCGCACATGCCGCATGCTTCTGTCTCCACGCGCTTGAGCCAGCGGTTGCTTTGGGTGTCAATTTCGATCCCGAGGCTCTTGAGAACTTCTTCGCCCTTGCCTTTTGCAGGGCGCGCGGTCTGAGCATTTGCCCCGGGTAAATCGGGAAGTTCAAGCTCGGCCTCTTGGAGAAGGTGGCCGTAGATGACTTCGTCCTTCCACCGCGCCCAGTCCTCCTGTCCGTCCCGCTGCGCCTTGATGGCGGCGATGATCGCATCCACCTTCGAGGAACCGGTCGAGCCGGTTCCCCCCTCTCCCTTCCAGCTTTCAGTACTCACTGTCTCTTTCGCCATGTCCTCCTGCGACCTGCCTTCCCAGATTGCGTGACCGTAGACGGGGTCGTTGCATATCGGATGGCCGAGATACTGGACATGTACCCTAATCTGATGTGTTCGCCCAGTTAGCGGTCTACACCATACAACGCTGGTATCCGTTGCAGAGTCATAGGAGAGACGATGGAAGATGGTCTTACACGGCTTCCCAAGCGGGTGTACGATGTTGACGCCTGACTGACGGTCGACGCTCAATATTGGTTGTTCGCACGTCACTTCCTTCCCGTCTCCGGGAAAGCGCCCACGTACTCTGCAGACGTAGTTCTTGCGAACGTCGCCAGATAAATAGACAGCAGCAAGCTTTGAAGCTGCTTCCTTCTTTGTGGAAAGTACCATGACTCCAGATGTAAGACGGTCGAGTCGATTGGCAGTGTGGACTTGTGATATACCGTGGTCTGCTTTCAGCATCTCAATGAGCGTTGAGCGGTGATACCTCCCGGCGCTGTGGACGGGTATGCTGCCTGGTTTGATCACCACAAGTCTTCCGGCATCGTCGTCTCTGTGCAGTATCCGGATGGGCTCTGCGGTGACGGGAGGCTCATGTCGATGCACACGGTTGACAATTAAGTCGCCATCTTTCACGATCTGCCGCGGTGATGCTTTAGAGCCGTTGACTGTGCAGACGCCTTTGTGAATGGCCCACAGGTAGTATTCCTTGGTGCGATCGCGGAATTCAGTGGTGAAGATCTCGAGCAACTCGCGTCCGATCCACCGTTGTTTTGCGTGTGTGGTATAGTCATGCCTAGCCGCAAAAGGTCATTGAATGTCAGTCACGAAGAATGTGTGCTGCTAACTCATACAGATTGACGCACCAATATGGTTCTTGCGTGCGCAGACGAAGACCCGGCAGGGCTGTCAATCACCGCATAAAAGTCGCACACACAGTCAGCTTTCGCACACCAGCGGTAGCATCGCAGTGCTCACCTGAGGCGCTGCCCTCGGCATTCTCCGTGCCCATTTTGCGGCTCTTGCACTCTGCGAGTTTCGCAATCCTCTTTCCTGTCGTTGAAATGCCCGCCGTCAGCTCAATCGGCACTCATGCGCGTCAGCGCTCCAAATAGACAATCCGAGGTCCATGCCGCTGGCGAAGTTACGACTGCTGGACGACTGGATCCAAAAATTGGCGGAACTGGGAAAAGGCGAGAAAACAGAGAACAGGGAGGCGACGAGGAGAGGAAGCGGATGGCACTGTAGTGCCTTTCGCCGTTCCGCCCCGGAGGTGGATTGGTTGCCTGTGCTTTCTCATCAGCTCGCCGTGATACTTACCTGGAAGAACGTTGCAGACGTGCATACTGATGCGCAGCGGGAGATACTTGACGGCCATTGAAGGAGCAGAGAGCAGCAAGTGAGACCACCGGTATACCACATTGAAGCGAGCTGTACCTTGTTGGCAGAATGGCGGCTCCAATTTTTGCCCAAGAGGTGAGACCAGCGTAGTGGTTGTCAGATGTGCATTCCGGACGTTGGCTGACTCTGGATTGTCGTGATTCGTGAATCCTTAGGCGACTGAGGAGAGGGCTGAAAATGCTCGGCTCTCCTCCTTTGTCGGTGCGCTGGCACTGGGAGATCTTGTCAAGTCGACCCTTGGGCCAAAGGGAATGAACAAGATGCTGCAGTCCGTCGGCTCCAACGACATTATCGTCACCAACGACGGCGCGACGATTCTGCGCTCGATTCACCTCGACAACGCGGCAGCCAAGATCCTGGTCAATATTTCTAAAGTACAAGATGACGAGGTCGGCGATGGCACGACTTCCGTCTGTGTCCTCGCCGCAGAGCTGCTCCGGGAGGCTGAGAAGCTCATTGAGACCAGGATTCATCCGCAGACAATTGTCGAGGGCTACAGGATTGCATCGGCGGCGGCGCTGCGAGCGCTAGAAGAGTCGGCCGTGGACAACGGAAACGATGCGGAAAAGTTTAGGAAGGACTTGATCAACATTGCCAAAACGACGTTGTCATCGAAGGTGCTTTCTACCGACAAGGACTACTTTGCCAATCTTGCAGTGGAAGCAGTGATGCGGTTAAAGGTGCGAGGTGCTGATTTCTCTTCTAGAAAAATCGATAGAGCTGACTTTGACTTACCGCAACCATGCGCAGGGCTCCACCAACCTTGAGCACATTCAAATCATCAAGAAGGTGGGCGGGAAGCTGACAGATTCGTTCCTGTCAGAGGGGTTTATCATGAACAAGCGCATCGGGACAAACTGCCCCAAGACGCTGCGGAATGCGAAGATCCTCATCGCAAACACGAGCATGGACACGGACAAGATCAAGATCTTCGGCGCACGCGTGCGCGTCGACGGGACGGGCAAGCTCGCCGAGCTGGAGAAAGCCGAGCGCGAGAAGATGAAGGCCAAGGTAGAGCGGATCAAGAAGCACGGCATCAACTGCTTTGTAAACCGTCAGCTTATCTACAATTACCCGGAGAGCCTGCTTGCGGAGGCGGGCATCGTCAGCATCGAGCATGCCGACTTTGAGGGTGTGGAGCGGCTTGCGCTCGTCACGGGTGGAGAGATCGCGAGCACCTTCGACCGGCCGGACTTGGTCAAGCTGGGCCAGTGTGATCTGATCGAAGAGATTATGATCGGCGAGGACAAGGTGAGTGCAGCAGCCATGTAAGCGCGCAACTGGCGGACACGCTTTGTCTGACGCATCATTTATTCATTCGCTCGCTCGTGCTGCTTTGCTTTTCTCGTGTGTAATTGCTGCTCGAAGCTCATCCGCTTCTCGGGCGTTGCAGCCGGCGAGGCCTGCACGGTCGTTCTGCGCGGCGCGACGACGCAGATGGTGGACGAAGCGGAACGCTCGCTGCATGATGCGCTGTCCGTGCTGTCGCAGACGGTCGGCGAGACGCGCGTCACGCTCGGCGGAGGCTGCTCGGAGATGGCGATGAGCAAGCAGGTGGACGAGGAGGCTCGCAAGACGTCGGGAAAGAAGGCGATTGCCACGGAGGCTTTTGCGCGCGCTTTGCGTCAGGTGTGTTGGTGCTTGCTCCCTCCGAAGAAGGAAGCTTTGTTGCTGACGCCTCTTCCCGTCTTTGCCACCTTCTCCCTCCCCTTTTCAGCTGCCCACCATTCTGGCAGACAACGCAGGGCTGGACTCGTCGGAGCTGGTAGCGCAGCTGCGTGCCGCACACCAGGCCGGAAAGAAAGACGCAGGTTTGGATCTCAATGAGGGCGCAGTCGCGTCGATGGTCGAACTCGGCGTGACGGAGAGTTACAAGCTCAAGAGGCAGGTGGTCATTAGCGCCAGCGAGGCAGCTGAGATGATTCTGCGCGTCGACGACATCCTCAAAGCGGCGCCGAGGAAGAGAGAGGCACATTGATGATGACCGTCCCGCAATCTTCTGCCGCTTTCGTCTGCGCTCCGTCTGTTCAAGCCGTACACGCTGTACGATCACACACGCGAGACCGCCCCTGGCAAGTGGCACCCCGTCGGTCGCTCTTGTATCTGGAGCGCTCTGACATGTACATCCGCGCATGTAGTTTGCAACATTGGACATGGCTAATGAGAGCATGGTGCAAAGGCCATGCGCAGGGTTCGATGAATGCTACAAATGAAAAACATGTCGTCATCAACTAGCAGCCAGCGCTCTTTGATATGCTTCGTGCGCTGGTACAGATGTCCAGCGGCATGAGTTAGCTTGGGGGGCACTGAGCGCTGGAGCTCGAGTATGCTCGACATGGCCTAGCTGCTCTCGTTCGAGCTCAACCTAACCCCACCTGCCCCGATCGCCCTTGTTGGACATGCCCGATGCCTGCTCATCGGTTTCGCTGCCCTGCTTCCAAATAGTGGTTGCGCCATCCCAATCGGACAGAACTTGCCAAATCCCGATCCTTTTAAAGTGAAATGGAGTCGCAGTGTCGAGCACGCGCCACACACGCACAGACCACATTGATGAGGCGACGAGGCCCAGAGAGCATCGCATGCAAGCACCGTGAAGGAAAGCGGAGCAATGCTGGTGGCATCTCGTTTCCACCTTTCGCAACACTCGGTCAGCTGGCCTTACGTTGCGGGTTGCCGCCTGGCGGCACGCTCTCAGGCTTTATGCAATCTGCACCCGCCACTGACATCACCTTCTTCGCCAAGGAGACCGCGGACGACGCGGAATGAAATGCGTCACGCAGTGACGAGGTCAAAGAAAATGATGCCGAGAATGAGGAATTGCAAGGCAGGATTACATGAAAAAACCTACAAACCTCTCCCCTAGGGCCGAGGGGGCGAAAAGCGAGAGAGGAGAAAAGAAAAGGCCAGCAAGGCGTGGGAGCAATTACTGGTACCGCTGGTGAGACATTTGGTGTGAGAGGGGTGTCCAGACTCTAGAAACCAGAAACCAGAAGGAACGTGAGAAGCATGGTTGGATGGACTGGCGCAGTGGCCAACCAGCACGTATGGTCACACGCAGAGGGCGCGAGACCTAGCCTAGCCGACGCAACGCAGCGCAGCGCATCGCATCGCATCTGATTAACGGGGCAACAAACGATCATGATCCAGATCAACTTTGCGTTGTAAGCAGCCACCCGCTGGTCGCAGACAAGACCAGAACACTCTTTTTGAAGTCCCGGAATCTCGTCAGTTTCTGCTGTGCACATCGTCGGTGCAACCCTAACAACAAAAGCGCGCCAGTGTGTTTGTACGTACGGTGGTACTGGGGTGATGGAAATTCACCAAATTCACGCACCAGACACATGGGAATCTGGTGAATGTGCTCGGTGTGCGTCGGGGTACAAGTCTTGTCTGTGCTCGTGGTCGAAGGGCACTTTCTCACGGGTTGCCAAAAACTTGCAGCCCGGCCCCTTGTACACTGCTCCAATGCCTGGTTCTTCTCGGTCGTGCAAGCTTGTATAGAGCACACTCATCACGTCGCACTGGCGAGCAGCCAGACGCAATCGAATTGTGAAGGCACCTGCTTGCTATCGCGCCAGCCTTGCTTTTTAGGGAGAGAATCAGGTGAATGACGCGAGAGAGGATTAGAGTGGAGCAGGGTGCGAGCGCAGAGCAGCGCAGTGCTGCAGCGAGCAGCAGCAGTAGCAATAGCTACAGTGAGACAGTGGACGGTCGGCACGGTGAGAGAGGAAGCAACACCCCCACACAGCAGGCAGCCGCCAGCCAGCCTCGCGCTCCCTCCATCTCGCTCCTATCCACCCGCACGCAGACTCCACCATCCTCCTTTTTTTATCAATCCTCCAACCCCCCTTCCTTGCTCATCCTCTTAGGTTGTCCACCTCGTTCTCTCCGCTGCCCTTATCCAGCGC